ATCGATTTCGTTCTGGGCTGGAAAAAAATTGTTAATAACAAACAAAATTATATTGTTTTTGTGAGATCCGCTTGGTGGTTTTGGGGCCTGCTAAACGTTCCCATATCCGCCGACGAAAATGAATGTAATTAACAACTTCTAGAAACAGAATCCACCTCGCTAATTAATGGTTTTGAATCACTAGACCATTAAAATAATTAGCTTAATATGGCACGGGTTATATCATGAATATTACTGAAGCCATCCATCGTAAATACAAATAACATTGTACAGTATAATTGCGTCTTCAACATTGGCAATGTTGGTGGGCCTTCGGACGACAATTAAGAAAATAACTGCACTTTGCCCGATCGGGGGCGCTTAGTCACGTGTCGAACTTATCCTTTATTGTGGTTTTTACTGTGCGTGTTTTACATTTTTTTCTTTAATGAGCGCCCAACCACTGGAAAAAATACAATTTGTGTAGTGTAACATCTTCATTGACGAGACAGAACCAATGTGAAAACCTGCCAACCAGAAAAGGTTACAGATTTAACAAGGATGTCATTACATATTCAACAAACATACCATTAGTTTAAACTGGTATCTGATAAAATATAAATCATGACGGTATTATCAGCGGAACCTCCAAACCAGTAATTGTGGGAGAGGAGCAACTTCGGGGACGCTTATATAAAGTACCAATTAGTGGCCGCAAAAAATCCCGACGAAAATAAACACTAAAAGTCGGGTTAGAATCAGCTTCTGTCACTTCTGATCGTACTTTTTTGACATGGTTAGTACATAATCCGTGTTTGGTGATTTTCTAAGCTAGAACGAGGAGTAATTAGAGAACACAAAAATTGTTGTGATTTTACTCTATTGTGTTAAATGTTATTATGATTTTTTTATGTCATGTAAGCGTAATAACCTTTGCGTTCGTAATGCGAAGTGGCAATTATAAACATATTTGATGTTATTTGTCACAATTGCATATTTATTTCCTTCGTAAAGATAACTGTAACAGGTGTAAAACACAATCAAATAGAATATTACACATGTTCATGCTGCAAGTGTATAGTTTTCACACACGAATGTCACTTCAATTACTGATTTTTTTTATTACAAATATATTTGTGCTTTTTGTTGTTTGTTGACTAATATGTTAAGCTTGCAGTATTATTATTAGCTGTTTTTTGCCAAAAATTTGACAGTTTAAAAATGTGTCAGTTGGATCTGTGGTTTGACCATAACACAATTAACTTTAGTGCTCATTCAGTTTTTGCATTTATCAAACATAATTGATTAGGCTTGAATCATTCAATTTATTTTGATACAGCATTAAAAAAAAATGGCTACAATCGCATGCAATAAATCATTGTCATAAATTATTAATCATTCTGTAACTGGATAATTGGCTTGTAAAAAATTTGAATATATTAATAAATAAAGACATTGTCGATATCTGCACGCGTCGTTGACTATTTTTTTTTTTCAAAAATAATTAAAAAACATCCATCTGGACGTGCCACGACAAATCACCTTTACTATTAATAGATTAACAGTACCTTTGATAGCAAGAAAAAACTAATTGCCGCTTATCAAAAAAGAAATCTTCGTATGTCCAATAACTGTACATTAATAGTCATTAGGAGTATCGAAAACTCAAAAAGTTTTCATTTCATCTTCCACCGTCTTCGCCTTCGAAAGCGAGCTGTAACAGCACTCCAAGATTTAATAAATTTAATGAGATAATTTTTCTATAATCAACATTCCACTCCGCAATTATGCTCCGCTGCATTTTGATCGCGTGCAAAAACCGAAATCCTGTTACTTTTAGCTTTTTCTAATCGCATGTCAATCTCAAACGCTGCGCTCGAAATCCATATATTTTTTCCAAATTGTACGTTCCATCGCAAATACACTAAACGTTCGAATTAATTTTAATCGTCTTAATTAGACGTCTATGAAAGAATTTTTTTGGCATCGCCGCAGGTTGCGAAAATCCGTCTCGATTGTAGCAACACCTGCCAACTATTGATAACCATTTCGAGGAAGCATAGGCAAATAAAATTTTTCTTTTCTTGCAAAATAGCGGATACGCGACACCGCGTATGCAGTTTCTCAGTAAATAATTTATGTTTATGGTTATGTGTATGAATGCACAGGTACGGACATAAATAATCACACGCCGAAGACATTCAACCGTGAAAAATGCACACAATAGCAAGGAATCGCTCACAAATGCGACACTCGCCTTAATACTCGTTTTATAAATTTCCTGTTACAAATGCACAATAGTCACCATTACGATAATACACGGGTTACGTCTCAAGGCTGTAACTGCAGTATGAAATTATCCTTATGCAACATTTAGTGTGCTCATAAACGACAAGACAGAGCAAAGTAGTGATTTCTTAGTGCTATAATGACAATAGAGGTGTGATCGCGATGAGCAGCGAAAACAAGAGACTTTCGGTGTCTTCGGTGCACTCTGCTGGTAGTTCAAGCTCTAGACCCAGACGGATGTCCGTCGTGAGCTTCTACTGGATTTTGGTCGACTCCATGGTAACGTTTATTATTGTAATCATCTGATTCAGCGCACAAGAAACTCATTACCGTCTTCCACGGAAGGACAAAAAAATAATGGACATCCACTTTTTCGATCTGCTATATTTGATTCGCCGTTCTGCTTCATGATCACCTTAGCCCCCTCTTAGACTTTATTTGAACATAAATTATGTTGGCTCAATGCTGCGGCGACTGTCAGCCTGCAATTACTTTTTTCAAGCGCAAAAATTGTGCCGACTGTTGGTACCTTTGGTGTGGTGTTATGAGTTAGGGCGGCTGAGTGGTGAGTCTAGATCTACATTTTCGTTCATTGTCTTCCTCACCCTTCCAAATCCTTGTTTTGGTTTTTGGCACGTTTAGATCGAGAGAAAAATTTAATAATTAATAACAAATCGGACCTCATGCTCTTGAAGCAAGGTCCCAATAAATGTCATACTAATATCGCATATTTCGGCGAAGAATTCGCACTTCATTTGCTCTTTAAAGTGTCCTCAATCCGCATTCTTCGAATATCTACTCTTCACCCAATTTTTCGAACATAAGTTGTGTTGACCCAAATTATTATTTTGCAATTATTGTACGATCGACCATGACATATGGATATCGAAAATGCATAAAAATCCCAACAGAATCGGATGCATAATTTACGCGAGTCCGAATCCGAGTGACGCAAGCGTTTTCAAAAAGTGAAAATTGTCCTAGATCGAGCCGCATTGTGTTTTTGCTATTGAGGCCAATGCTCAGGATTTGGTCGCGATGGTAAAAAGAACAAACTTTCTAATTATCACGTATGGCGATTCATCAGATCGTGTCGCAAATTGCGCTCCCACAAACTATTAATTATTACATAATCACCAATTATTATCACTTGAGAGTCTTCTTAGCGCGGGTTTTTCTCCTCATCCCATAATTAAAGATTGCATCCAGCTAGATCTGCGTGCGCATCTGCACGACCTTGTCACTCAATGGTACGGAAGTTTATAATAACATGTTTCCGACACTCGAATTAGCAATAATAACAAACTAATATGGGAACGTGCGTTTTTTATTGCTTTTATCGTCGGCTCACTTCCAGCAATCCATCTCAATGCTAACGCGAAAACATCCCAGCCTTCACCGGGCGGTTCTGGTAGGAGCGTCATGGCCCTGCTCCTGAACCACCGCGACTACCGTTTGCCGACACCTTCTCCCAACCCAGATCCTAGACTATCAAGATCCTTCACTGAATCGACATCTACCTGTTCCCAAGAATTCGAATCAAAAGTCCCCACTACGACCTTCCGATCTTCAAGAACCCAAATCCAGAATCTCCAAGATCCTCCAGTGATGCACCCGCCTTGTCGCTTGGTCCCGGTCCGCCGAATCCAGGTTACCTTGCCAAAACTCCCGCCCCCTCCCCAGTCCCCGGTCCGGCTCCTCGAGCTCGTCTCGCTGCGTTTGTTGCCATCCAGCCGTGCAGCACGAGCAAATAAACGACCCGTCCGACGAGCGTAAATCATAATCAAGTGCAACCTGCTGCAGGTTTATTTATACCTTAAACAGATACTACTTTGTGGCATTCCATCTTTATGTCTGTAATTTTAGCACGCATCACGCCCAGCGTTCCAAAAATAGCCGGGCAAAAAGAGCACGACGGCCCGCCGTAGCTGCACTTGCAGGTCCTTTTTCCTTCTGTTTCGTCGTTTTGTTTCCATGTAAGGCGAAGGCAATATTTCAGCTGTTGCATTGGGCAAGCGGGGTTGACGTCCGAACCGAGCAACCCGTCGTCCTTGGAAGTGCAAAAGCTACGCACCCACGTCGCCGATCTTCGGCGTAACCGTTAACGACCTCACGCGTTTCCTTCTGCTGGAGCCGGAGTTTACTGTTAGGTCGACGAAGCTGCGCCAAGATCGGGTGGCTAGACGAGGGACCTAAATTTTAGGCGGCGGGGAGAGGGATGGGGGAGGAGACGAGGGAACGGGCGCAGCGGAGACGCAATCAGACAATGCGGTGTCTTCGGGTCATGTTCGCCGTCGACAAACAATTACCAGCTTGGAAATGTAATGTGGCTGTAAAATCGCTATAGCTGGTTTATCAAAGGCATTTTGCCTCATTAATTTAATAAGTTCTAAAGGATGTAGGTCATTGTTGATCGAGAATAACTACTATATCGGTATCGCATAAAGCAACCTGAAAGATAGTGTGCGTGCCTTGGTTCTGTGTTTGTTCTCCAACTGGTTTTTCTGCACATGGAACCGTTTTCGAATCTTAACGTTTATGCGGTCAGTTAGACCCTCACACATGATTGATACTAATTTAGACCAATACAATTCCGTGACCAGTGACCTTAATCACAAGTTAGATGTATTCCAAACAATATTCTTATTTATCGTTATCACTCGTTTTTAAATCTCGGGCACCAGTTTTTTAATATTATTTTGTAAGTTTCCTAACCCCTTTCTTTGTTGCAGATCGAGGAGGGCGACCGCGGCCGCGAGATGACCGCGTCCCTCGACAACAACACTGGTGGCGACCAAAGAGACGGCGCCAACAAGGGCGCCGACGATGTGTACACCGTATCGGTGACCGGCGGCTACGACAACAAGGGCTTCAAGGGTGACGGCGACAATGGCTGGCCAGGCAAACCCCCACGGGAGATCACCGACGAGGAGGCCTCCTCGCAGGGCAAATTCAAAATGTCCACGAAGGAAAAGTGGCGGATACTCAAGAACGTCTCCCTCATCTCCTGCGCCTTCATGATCCAGTTCACGGCCTTCCAGGGTACGGCCAACCTGCAGAGCAGTATCAACGCCAAAGACGGGCTAGGGACTGTTTCGCTGAGCGCGATCTACGCCGCTCTCGTAGTTAGTTGTATTTTCGTTCCCACGTTCCTCATCAAGAGGCTCACGGTTAAGTGGACCCTTTGCGTTTCGCTCTTGTGCTACGCGCCCTACATCGGATCGCAGTTCTACCCAAGGTTCTACACGCTGGTGCCCGCCGGCGTGCTGCTGGGCATCGGCGCCGCGCCTATGTGGGCTTCCAAGGCCACCTACCTCACCCAGGTCGCGGGGGTCTACGCCAAGCTCACCGACCAGGCCGTGGACGGGATCATCGTCCGCTTCTTCGGGTTCTTCTTCCTTGCCTGGCAGACCTCTGAGCTCTGGGGCAATCTGATTTCCTCGCTAGGTAAGGACATACAACACACCCTTTGCCTAAGCTGCAGCTCTAAACACTGACAACTGTCGGGTAGTACCGTTAGATTAGACTTAAGGTCAACTTGGTCCAATTGTGTTCCTTGTTGCTTCCTTCAGCTTCGCTAGAAGTTAAATTACTTCATGCAACACAAGGTCCTCAGGCGGTACTACTGGTCTTAGTTGCTTATTATTATCTAAGAATTTGTAGTTTTTATCTGGCAATTGGTTTCACTTCCTCGCCAGGTAAGAACGCCCATTTGCAACGAAAAAAAAAACACTTTTTTCCACTGCTGTAGCTTTAATCCCATCTAGAACCATTTTTTCCAAACACTGTCGGGTAGTACCCTTGGATCAGAGTTAAGGCCTTGCAAAATTGTTGACTTCTCTCGCTTTGTTAGGGTCTAAATTACTTTAGGCAACAACAAAGTCTCAAGCGGTACTACTGATTTTAATTGCTTATGGTTAGAATTTTTGGTGTTCATCTGACGGTTGTTTCAGTCCTCAGCAACCCTCATGGAAGCGGCGGCGGTTTGAGCTTGAACGACACATTCGACGGCTGTGGTGCAAACTTTTGCACGCAAATGAGTTCCAGTAACGACAATCTAGCTCGACCAGACGACATAGAAATTTACGAAATCTCAGGGATTTACTTGGCCTGCATTTTCGCAGCGGTGCTGCTTATCGCCACGACTGTGGATCCTCTATCAAGGTCAGTGGCGTTACCGTTATGCTTTTTCGCCGTATCTCAAGAAGTGGCTTAAGCCATGTAGGCAACATTGTCATTTTGTCTTGATCGATTAGCGCGAGCCGGATTTCGATCTTCGAGACCATTCATTGCGTAACTATTTTATGCCATTTTTGGACGATGGCTCAGTTAATACATCCGCGTATTATAATTATCCGAGTCGGTTGGGTCGTTATCTTCATAATCGCGTCGAACCGGTTACATCTAACAGGCGCTGGGTAATTAATCGAGAATTAATTAGGTGAGTCATTTGGTAGGTGGGGGTGCTAGGCGTGGAAGATGGAGACAATGGTACTGATTTGAAGCGTTGTCGCAGACAATAATAGAGAGGATAGGTTTAGCTTGAGGCAAAGCCGGGGTTCCGCGTTTCCTGAGCAGTAATTTATTGCATTTGTAATTGACGAAAAAAATCTCTTGCCGTGAAGATGAGTAAGGTACTAATTATAAGTTTTTGCTTCAACGGTATGGTAAGTAAAAGAAGGAAGTAATAAACGTTTATTAACGATGAAGGAAGCACGAAGATTATCAGTGGAGTCTCGGATCCGGTGATTACCTTTCAGCAATCTCTGAAAAACAACGACATAGCTGTTACATAACCGTCACCTCATTAAGACGATTTTCTGCGAAAACCCAACCAAAAGGTGGTCGCTAGATAACAAGGTGCGAACATTCGTACCCACAATAATTCCAAGGTAACTCGTGGGAAAAAATTAAAATTCAGACTTCGCAGGTGCTTGTTACTGTTGATATTAATAAATCAGTGAGAAATGTCTCCACCTACGCGTCCGAGGACTCGAACTTTCCATGACTTTTTGATCCGGTATGCATACAAATATGCAAAACGAAGAATAAATAAACACTGGCGTTGTTTCGTCAATTCTTACTGTTTTACGGCTTGGGGAAATTTTTCCAGAAGTTAATTACTCTTATCAGAACTAAACAAACAAATTTAATGGCAATAAAACTCAAAGAGTAATAAAGTTAATTTTTGGCATAAGACGCACCACTCGCACGCAGAGACGGGTTAACGAGATTGATGAGGAGCCTTGAAATTTGCAAACACTTTTGTTAAGCAACCACACATTTTCACTTTCCCCGGGAAAATCGCGGCTCGCTATCACGAGGAAATTCTGATTCAACCGGCATCCGTGCATTCGTTGCACCATCGCCGATATTTCCTTTGTTCTATTATATAACTAAAAACGCCATAATCGTAAAATGAGTTTACCTTGACTCACACGAGCGCGTGTCACTTCGCCGTTTTCGCCCCTCGGTACCGCCAAGTCAAAATCGCCCGGCGGATTTTCGCCCCTTGGTGGTCGAAATCGACCAGCGGAAGCCAATTACATAACGGCCCGCAATAATCCTAGTGTTTATGCCCCAGCATCCGTTCCAATGGTACTGCTTCCGGTCAACTTTTTCGAAATTGTCCTCGCGTGTCAGTCACCTCTGCGTACCCCACGGGTACCCAAATTCGAAAGCAATGGAACTCTTCGCGAGTCGACGGCCAACACTTTGGCATCACCTTTCTCCGGCGAAGGCCGCCATCTTGGATGTGGTATTTGGCGGCAAGGCCGCGTACTCGCCCGGAATGCTCCTCTAATTATCCGGCGACAATTCGGTGCATTTTTGACCTTTAAACCGAGTTTTTTCGAAATTTCGGCTGTTTTAGCTTCTTGTTTGCGCACTTTATGGCCCCCTTGATTTATTCGCGCGCCAAATATTTGCGCCATAAAGTTGCAAAAGTCGCAAGGTCGCAGGCAATATTGACGCCCGGACCGTTTTTAAGGATTTATGGATTTCCGCGGATTGCGTCAGCGTGACAGTTTGGTGGCAGAAGAGCAACCGGATCGAAGCGGTTTTGATAAAGCCGATGACAATTCCAGTTAGTCGGACAACTGGTCGATAATTGGTGGACTTCTTGTTAATTCAGTGAGTGTTGCTGCGATCAAGATTGCTCGCAACATGCGAACTTGGTTGCATGCAGAACAATCCTCCGGTTATGTAAAGCCTCAATTAGAGATAAGTCTGGCGCCAGGAAGTGCGAGAGTATCGCCATGTCCGACTTTCGCAGATATCTTGTACTGAAATAAACCTGTGGGTTTTAGTTGACGTTACAGTTAGTGTTCTGTAGCAATTGTGCTTCGCAGAACGTCAGGTGCATGGCGGTTTTATTCCGCGCCGGCTTTTTGCTGCCGTTTTTGGATTGCTGTTCCTTGAAATTTCAGCCTGTCACAGTTGGGTTGTCAAAGAATGATCATGCACTTACGTAAGGAGTTGGATTGCATACTTTCGAGCTCCACCCTTGCGTCTAAGGATTGCTGGCTGGCCTTGAACTATGCAAATGGATCGCATAATAGCTCGAGGATTTTACAGACAAGTGTGATCTAGTTCCCAGCAACAAGTTTGCGGTTGTATAATCCTTCCTAGTTTGTTTATCTGAGAAAAAACTGTTTCTAGATACTTAATATCGTCTGTTGCTTGGTGGTTGACGTTCAGACGTTGCGCATTCTTAGCATCGTGCAAGACTTCGTGTTATTATTGCGGACTCGCATTTGTATGATCTAGAATGTTCCAGTCGTTGTCACATTTTACGTTGTTCTTACACATCAAGCTGGATTAAAATTTGTTGTCAATTCATTGTTGACTGAGAATTGTTTTGCGAACTGTTTACAGGTGGATTAAGAGCATATTAAATTATTAGCAAAAACAATAAAATACAATGGGTATTTATAACTTTCTTGGAATCAGAAGAGTCACCCAAATTAGTTTTTACAAATTGTGGTTAGTAGGTTAAAAGTGTTTTTAAAGGTGCCCTACAAAATCTAAAAAATCAGTATGACAATTAAATCTATTAAATTTGTGTAAAACTTAACATATTGTTTCTTCTTGTGCTTCTTTTGAAAAATCAGCGCCTTTAGTTGTTTTCTCATAAAATAATAACAAAAAATTGGTCTAAAGAGTTAGACAGTACTTCCCTCGCTGTCGGAAACTTGACGACTGCATGCCTATTATGTTTTTTTTTCTCATTACATTTTTGTAGTGGGAATTTAAAAAAAAATTGTGATGACGTCATCAACATTTTTGCAAGGACACGTATATCAGTTGGGATAGATGTAGTGTAATACTAAGGATAAAATTATTGTGTTCCCAAATTTTCGGGAAAATGAATTGGGTCGTTTTGAATATTGATTTCTTATAATCAATAAAATAATGAAACAATTTACTCACGTATACGGCGCCGGTGTGTAATATCTAGAGAGCGGATTTCTGTCGGGCTAGGCAAGGCCAAACTCGGTACGGCTCGCACGGGATGCGAATTCATTGCCGTTGCGGACTGCACTTCGTTTATTTGAGATTAGAATAACGTTGTTTCGTTGCACTCTGCTGTTAATTCCCGTTCTCATTTACTTAGCCGTTTGATTAATAAATCGTTAATTATATTTATGGAATCCAGCACGTCCCCCCCTATAATCGTGACGTAGCCCGACAGAAATCCGCTGTCTAGTAATATGAGGGGCAACTGAAAATCGTTTATGTATAAACATTCTTAATTTAAGATGACAAGCGTAACAGCATACGTGAGAGTCAAACAGAGAAACTGTAAACAACACGACCATCGGTTTTATTGCTTCGACTTCCGCTTATTATATAAAACATTGGGTTTTATTTTAATTCTTGACGGTGAAATTCACAATTATAAACATGTCTATTTCGCATTCGCGGAACCAAGTGACCGCATAAAACAAATGCAGGTCTGTAATGTTAAAGTCGATGTAAATAAGCGTGCTACCCGTATGTTTCAACCGAGTTTTTCCTTTAACAAATTTTGTGTCTACCAAATTGGGTTGGTTGGGGTGTAATACTAATAATAAGTGTTGCCTTTAATTTAATCAATAAAATAAATTGACTTCATTAATTTTTTTGAACCACCTCTTAAGAAAATCTAAAAAATATGAATGGAATGATAAATCACAAGTACAAACTCATCATATTTTTTGCATTTTAGATAGGATTTATTCAGCAAAATTTAAGGGTGACGTCATCAATTTTTTTAGGAAGGATGAACAAATACATTTTGAACAAAAGTTTACCATGCTTATAATAACTTTAAAATATTCCCAAGATTTCAAAGCATTCGGTTTTGTAATTCCTGATTAAATCGATAAAATAAATTCACGCTTTCATTAATTTTTTTGAGTCACCCTGCATATGCAAATCCAAAAATATGAATGGAATGATAAATCACAAGTACAGACTCATCATATTTTGTACATTTTAGATACGATTTATTCGGCAAACTTTTGAGCTGACGTCATCAGTTTTTTGTAGAAGATAACCAAATATATTTTGACTAAAAATTTATTATGCTCTTTATAACCTTAAAACATCTGCAAGATTTCAAAGCATTCGGTTTTGTAGTTCCTGATTAAATCAATAAAATAAATTTACGCATTCATTAATTTTTTTGAGTCACCCTGTATATGCAAATCGAAAAAATTTGAATGGAATGATAAATCACAAGAAGAGACTCACCATATTTTGTACATTTTAGATAGGATTTATTCAGCAAAATTTTGTGGTGACATCATACATTTTTTAGGGGGGACGACCAAATACGTTTTGATCAAAAATTTACCATGCTTATGATAATTTTAAAATATCTTTAAGATTTCGAAGCATTCGGTTTTGTACTTCCTGAGTAAATCAGTAAAATAAATTTACGCTTTCATTTATTTTCTTGAATCACCCTGTATATGCAAATCCAAAAAATATGAATGGAGTGATAGATCACAAGTACAGACTGATCATATTTTGTACATTTTAGATATGATTTATTCGGCAAATTTTCGAGCTGACGTCATCAAGTTTTTGGAGGGGATAAGCAAATATATTTTGACTAAACATTTATTATGCTCTTTATAACCTTAAAGCATCTGCAAGATGTCAGAGCATTCCGTTTTGTAGTTCCTGATTAAATCAATAAAATATATTTACGCATTCATTAATTTTTTTGAGTCACTCTGTATATGCAAATCCAAAAAATATGAATGGAGTGATAAATGACAAGTACAGGCTCATCATATTTTGTACATTTTAGATATGATTTATTCGGCAAACTTTCGAGCTGACGTCATCAAGTTTTTGGAGGGGATAAGCAAATATTTTTTGACTAAAGATTTATGATGCTCTTTATAGCCTTAAAACATCTGCAACATTTCAAAGCATTCTGGTTAGCAGATTAAAAATGAAATTTCAAAATGTTGTTTTATAATTTTGATTTTTTTTCCAAAAATCTGGACGTTTCGGGTGAAAAGTCGATTCGGAGTTGTAAACTACATGTGTAGGACTATGTTATTTTATACAATTGAAAACCCATTTACTATGTACAATTTTGAAGTGACGTCATCGCATTAGTGGTGGAGATGATTAGACAAATTTTGGTTAGCGTTTTACCATCTACATGACATTCTTAATATAAGTACCAAATTTCACAACAATCGGTCGAGTACTTTCGGAGATTATCTGTCTAATAAAAATCCGGGACGGCAGACGGACAGACGGACGGACAGACGGACAGACAGACGGAAATGGGAGACCTATTTCTTCGTCTTCTAGGGGTTATGAAAGATCGAGAAAACGTAAAAGTAGAGAGTCGGCCGACGGACTCGATTACAATACTTCCTTTGCTTACGCTCGGGAAGTAAAAATCCATATAAGACAAGATGGCAAAAGTTTGTTGAAAACACCCAATAACAAAATTTTATAGGTATCACTTGTCCAAACAAGTGTCAGAAATTTCAAGATAGATGGAGCGAACGAAGCTCGAGACATCATGCAGAACGATGTCTAATTTCCGTTCCGCCATATTTATCATTTACGACATTTTCAAATGAAAATGTTGCCTGAATTTTTTTTTTTTTTTTTTTCAATTGTATCAGAGATATTTAGTTCAGTTTTATAGTCTTGTATAAAGTGTTACCGTTGGGAAAAAAAATTGAACGATACTTATATAACATTCTATAATTATATGATATGTAAAATTAAGTTGATGGCGATAGTCAGCCTTCTATCAATAGCGAAAGCCCGTTTCAGTTTGTTCCTTCAAGTTTTTTTGCTCTACCATAGAAAAAAATACCACAACATGAAATTCAATTTATTATTATTTTTTACCATCATTTCCAAGAGCCTTGTTGAGATAAAAAAAATTACAAATGGACACACTGTAATTGGTTTAGAAAATCTATTTACAAGATGTTCAGCTAAAAATTTATAGTCTTTAAAAAGTGTCAGCTTTGACACAAAAACTAAACAATCCTTATATAACATTCCGTAATTATGTGTAATTATATGATGAGCAAATTAAATTTTTAGCGATTTCATCACGGCAGCCTTCCAGCAATCCCAAACCCATATTTCAATCTGTTCCCTCAAGATTTCGCTTCGACTTCTACCGTCAAAAAAACCCAAAACATAAACGTAATTTATTATCCATTTTTTCCCACCGCTTCACAGAACCACGCGTTATTAAAAAAATCTGCACGTGCTCGCTCCGTCTGCGCTTTGTTTCGGAAATCCAGCGTCAAAAGTCCGCGCCAACTTCACGTGAACTCAAATTCTAAAAATGCCATCCGAAGGTCGCCGAGTGCATTTCTCGTAAAATATGCAAGCCAAACATTCTCTGGGATTTCCCAAATGCATTCGTTGAACGGCTGCCCCATTACTGTCGCGATCTATCATTAAAATCTCCGTCGGCCACCGCTCGACGCCTAATTAACGCAACAATCTCCGCAACTTACATCATTTTGAATATATTTCACAGAACCGGCAAAAACAGACTTGCTCCAGTTTAAGCCAGGTCAATGCACACCGAGATTATCTAAATTTTTCTGACAGACCATAGCTTCAACAACGCGGTAGATCGAAGACAAAAACCAACAAAAGTTAATTTGTTTCTAGTTAAGAGAACTGGATTAATTACGTAGGCTGACGTCAATGAAAGTGTCTGACGAAGACTATAACCTCAATCGGGGAGCGAAAAGGCGAAGTAGCAGTTTTTGATAGTTTGTTGCTTTTACTTTTGCAATTTATCAGTCTTGCTCAATCCGTTCATAACGCGCAGAAAATTGGATCGACGCGCGAAATCTTTTGACAACGACAATTTTGATAAATCGTCTTCTTCTCCAGATATGGCGAGAAAAGGCGATCCAGCAGCGGCCAGGCCGAGATGACCCCCATCCAACTCCTCTCGGCCACGGCTTACCAGATGAAGAAACCCTACCAGCAGTTGCTCATTCCCATCACAATATGGATCGGCATGGAGCAAGCCTTCATCGGCGCCGACTTCACCCAGGCCTTCGTGTCCTGCGCCTTGGGGATCCCCTCAGTAGGCTACGTGATGATCTGCTTCGGCGTTGTCAACGCCATCTGTTGCCTGCTCTTCGGCTCGGTGATGAAGTACATCGGGAGGGCGCCCATCATGGCTCTGGGCTGCCTGGTACACACGGGCCTGCAAGTATGGCTGCTGCTGTGGCGGCCGCACCCATCCAACCCCATCATCTTCTTCGTGGCGGCGGGTATGTGGGGCGTCGGGGACGCCGTGTGGCAGACGCAAGTCAATGGTGAGTCGTCAAAAAAATTCGCATTTTGCGCTGAGTTGATGTTCTGGTAAGGTAAAAACTACGATTTAGCGTCCCGCTGTCGGTTTTTTGATAGCTCATCGCTACGTTATGTCTAAAAATAGCTTTATTATTTGTTGAATTTCGCCGGTGACCCTTATGCAAGAACTGGAGGTCGTACGGTGCTTTTGACGGCTGAAGTGCAGCCCGGGGCGCCCTAACCAGCCGTAACTGGTTCCGTCTTCGGCTGGAGGCGAAGCAGGTTGGCTCTTGAACCGAGCCGTTGCGCGAGAATGTCAAGAGAACATTATCATTGCAAATTTTTATTGATTATTGTTGTTGGACATTCTTATTTTAATTTTCTTCTTCCAGTTACAGCCGACTTATTTTTATTGGGTTTTAATGAGATGCGCATTGTGAATCGATACGATCAGAGTTCTGAAAATTGTTGAAAATCCTGAATTCGTCTCGGTCGTTCGTGGAAATTATCCATAATAGCTCGGATGATGTTACGTAATGGTAATAACTGGGATTAAGAACGGTCTTGACGCGTAATTTTTGCTGTTTTGCGGGTATGTTTGGAAGAGTTGCGTATTTTAATGCCGGGGAATTAGGAGCTCGGCTGGCCTCAGTTTTTGTAGACGGTTTATTAAATTGCTGGCCGACAATTTCAGTATTCATAAATAATAAAAAGATGGACGACGGAAAGTAAGTCAATGTCGGAGGATAATTGGTAGGACGGGTGCAATAAAAATGGAAATTGGTGGTAACATTCTTTCGTGGTTTGGCCCGAAAATAACTTTGGATCGATAAATATTCAATATTAATTATACAAAAGTTATAGAAATTATATTTCGTAACTGCAAAACTCAAGGAAAAATTATCCTTTTTTTTGTGTAAATTGTTTAAAAATTAAAATATGTTTCGAAAGTATTAGAACAAGAATTTTTAATATTAAGATCATTCCAAACTGTTCTAAATACCTAATAAAATTCTAAAATAGCACCAAATTGTTAATTATGCGACGGAAAAAAATCTGTCGTCAAAAACCAAAGATTCTTCACAAAAAAAAAATTAAATAATCAAAAAAAGATTACGTGTATAAACAATAACGAACTGTTATACTAGCATAACAAACGTCAATATAAAAGTTCTCCAAATCTAACATGTCTAAAGACACCATCAAAAAAAAGTTTTCCAAAATTTTGAAAATCAGATGCATATAAAAATTGTTTGAAATAGTTTTAAAATCCCCCAGCTACAATACAAACAAATTCTGTTTCTTTAAAACGACTCTAAAAAATATGCAAGTTCTAAATCCTATAAACGTGTCATTTTTTTCACAAATTATATTTACACCGTCTGCAACGCAAATAAAATTAACCAACTTCAGGCTTAAACCTTTAGAATAAACAAAATAGACACAATGCAATGCAACATCCTTTGTTTAATTTTGACTTTCTATGAGCCCAACGCAAATTTTAAACATTATATTTATAATTACAGTTGTTAATTACTTCAGTACACAAGAATATCTCGGCGTGCAAATATTTGCGACCGCAAGGTCGCAATAAATGTCAGAAATTTGGTCTTCTGAGAACGCCAATTATGATATTTACCTGTCATCTTCAGCGTAACGATATGTTTCACTCTTCGTTTATTTTTAAACTAGTAGTCGTGACTTGAGGGTAAACGGCTGTGATTATTAAAATTTCACCCCGTTTGCACGTACGTGCGAACTTTCTCAAGTTTTCTACTCCAGCTAATTGCTAAATTTTAACAATCTCATTGTTGAGTCGTGCTATGGTTTCACTTCAGCAATACTTTTACTTCACGAAGATTTAATTGCGCTGTTATCAAATTAAAGTCAAACTATTTCAATTTAAAACTTTGTATACCGTAAATGCTAGGTTTAATGGCAAGTTGAATAGTGTGCATTGTAGTTGTCACCTGGGGACCAGAATCTGAGACACCATATATTACTTTTGCACCATGGGCTAGAAACCTGTTAGATTTATGGTCGAAAGATCCTTCAGCAAGCTAATAACACCTTACGGTTTCACTTCCCAGAACACCTCCAAGCGCTTCAACCCAACCTAGTTATTACCCATACAAGAACACAAACCCGCCAGTGTCTTAACATTAACATATCCCCTTCCTTCCAGGTCTCTACGGTACCCTCTTCCGAAGGAACAAAGAACCAGCCTTCTCCAACTACCGTCTATGGGAGAGCGCCGGTTTCGTCATCGCCTACGCCTACTCCACCCACTTGTGCGCCCGCATGAAGCTCTACGTCCAGCTCACCATCCTCCTGGTGGGCTTCTTCATGTACACCATCGTCGAAATCCACCACATGCGTAAAATCAGACGGCAGAAGGAGAAGGAGAAGAGGGCCGCCGCCATGGAGGCCGCCAACAAGACCGCCATCCAAGAGCCGGAGGAAACCGACGATGAAAAAGACGATATTGACGATGACATTATTGTTACACATTTGTAAAAAGTGAGTACCAGTTTGAGCGTGACGTGATCGGGCAAAAAGCGGCTAAGACAAACAGGTTAGATCACGGCTTTTCTGGGCGAGGGACCGAGCCGGATATGGCGCTGCGGTGGGTACAAAAGATCGAGTAGAAAGATAAATGAAAAAAAATGAAAGCTATGAAAGAGATACTGACTTCTATTATGAGTAGTTGCGATGTTTGCATATAATTGTTTTTGATTGTATCGCACTTACTTGCCTTGAGTGGGAGATAACGTGTCAGATGTGGTTACTCTGTTCATTCATAGAATCAGGTTATCTTGTAAATTTAAGAGTCTATAAGTGAGTTTAACGTCGTCGGTGCAACAATGACGTTAACTGCATCGTTAATGATCTGTAGAAAAAGTAGTAGATTTGTTTGAACCTTGAGTTTCTCCAGACGAAAAAACTGCTTCTGCGTGTATTACTTATGCAATGTAATGACAGCTTATTAAATCAAAATTAATTGGAAAAATACGTGCGAAAGAAGAAATAACTCGTAATACAACTATTGACTGTTACAAAAATTGGAAATACAGACATTATTTTATTCTTTTGTATGTTTTTTTACATTTAAAAAGTTGTGGAATTTCTAGAATTCTGCATTTGAGAGAAGTATTTAGAAACTTGGGAGACAAAAAAAAATTAATATCGTTTATCTTTAGTCTTTCTCTTTCTGCCAACTCCTTTTTTGCCTCGCTTCTCGCACTTCTATTTTCTTCTTCATGTGTCCTACGTTTCTTTCCCTGCCTTTCATTTCATTATTTCTTTGCTTCCCACTTCTTCTTTCGATGTCTTTCTCTATCTTATCCCTTTGTTATCCTGCCTCTACTTTGCTCTTCGTTCCGTATTGTATGTTCTTTTGTTATCTTTATTTTTCTCTCTTATTTTTTCCTTTTCTTTATGCTTCTACGTTGTCCTTTCTTCTCCTCTCTTATCCTCATTGTCCCCTGTTCTTTTTCTTTCCTCTTTATCTTGTTTTGCTCCTATTTTGCTGTATCTTTTTTTCACGTTTTTAATTTCATTCTGTTCCTCTCCGTCTGTCTTCTTTCTAATATCATCTTTTGTTCACTCTTTATTATTTTACTGTGACTTTTTTTTGTCACTACTTTACTCTTCTTATATTGAATCTGCTTTTACTATCCCTATTTTTCTCTTTTCTTCTTGCCTATCTTCTGTTTCTATGTCTTCTTTTTTTACATCCCTTCTTCTTGTCCCTTCCTCTTTCGCTTTTCTCATTATCTCGGTTTAACACCCATGTTTTTTCTCTTAATGTATTAACTTTGTCACTTGTTTTGTTTACCCCTTTTTATCTTTCTTTCTTGTTCTTCCTTAGTTTTCTGGGTTCATTCTACCCATCTCTTTCTATTCTTTTCTGCCACTCTTTCGCTATCTCTATTTTTCCTCCTTTATCTTTCACCTTTCTTTTTCTCCTTCCACTTGTTATTTCTCAATCCCCTTTTCATTTCTTACCCCCGTTTTTCCTTCTTTTCTCTTTTTCTTCCGCCTCTTTTTCTGTCTCCTTTTTGTCCTTCTGTTTTGCTCCTATTTTACCTCTCCTGAATTCACATTTTTATTTTTTCTGTCCCTCTCAAACCGTGTTTCTGTTGCTAATTTTGTTTTCTCTTTCTCTTTCTAACTTCTTGTTGCGTTCTTTTTTTTATGCTTCTGTGGACTTTTTCCGCCTCTACTTTGCTCTTGTTCATGTATTGTGTCTTCTTTTACTATCCTTATTCTTCCCATTTCTTCTGCCCTATCTCGTTTCTACGCTTTCCTTTCTTCACCTCCCCTATTTTCTTTGTCTACTTCTCTTTCTCTTTTCTATTATCTCTATTTAATGCTCGTCTTTTCTTCTCTTAACTTACTTCCTTTAGCACTTGTTCTCTGGCGTTTTCCTTCCGTATTCACCTTTTTTCTGTTTCCTTCTTTTTTCCCTTTTCTTTTTTATTGTTCCTTGTTTTCTGGGTTCATCCTACATTTGTTTCACTCTTTTCTGTTACTCTTTTGTCACCTGTTTTTTGTTTACCCTCCTTTCTCGTTCCCTTTTCTTTCTTCCTTCCTCGTTTTATACCTTTATATTCTCTTCTATTTCTTACCCGGTTTTTCCTCTTTCTCTCCTTTTCTTTCGACTCTTTTTTGTCTTTTTTCTTTGCGTCTCTTTTGTTTCTATTTTGTTCCTTGTTTCTCAACTCCATATTTTTTTCTATTGCTCTTAATCTCTCCTTCTTTTTACCTATTTTCTTGTGTCACTTTCTCACTTTTTTTATCTCACATGCACTCCCTGTGTCTCCAGTTTTACCACGAGAGCGGTATACAGAAACCGTAATAAGATATTCTAAAACTGTATTGTATGAAAGCAACAAAATTTTAAAATATAAATAAAAAGAAAAATAGAAAAGTCAGTAAAAAACTATAAAACATCACGAAAATCTTAAAGTAGATCCAAAAGCTCGAAGTTTCAGACGCAAAAAAAAACACAAGAAAATAAGACTTTATGAATATTATGAATAAAACGAAAATATTACATTGAAAAATGAAGAAACAAACGTACTCGAGTAAAGCAATTAATAACATGAAACATACAAATAAACAGTATCGAACAAAAAAGAAAGATTAATTCCCCGACTGAAAAAAAACTTTGACGAGGTAAATTTTAATTGAGTAGATGTCAAACTCTGACGACATAATGTAGTTGTTTGTCACTTTTTGCCAATTAACCTCTTTCGGAAAAATTAGTTTTAATTGCGGTTACAAAATATGTAAAGGTGCTTTATTAATTATTTCTAATTACTGCTCCCAACAGTTTTAAAATATTCTATTGAATATTGATCAGAAAAGCTTTCAGAACCGTCGCGTAAATTACGTCCTCGGGTGCTTTGACCGTCAATCAAAACATATTAAACACTTCCTAAAAAATCGGTGCTTATTATTTATTAACCGAACATTGTATTAAGTAAGATATCAAAACAGCGCAACTTTCATTTTTATCCCGCAGTTCCGGCTTTACCCACCGTTGAAGTCTCCGCGAATCACCCATGCAAAACCCATTCAAACGCATCCTCTCCATCATCAATCGTTCCCAGCCTTTCGCGTCCACAGGAACAATAAATTTTTGCACGTGTAGAATAATTTAATTGCGTGCTCTTAAATCAGTCTCGATTGTCTTGTTGTGAGACACGTGTGACGTGGAGGGTAATTATTATAATCAAGTCCGACCTTGAGGATTTTCGTGTTTAAAAGCCCGACTAAGTCTTGTCGGACTTAATGAAGGCATTTTTTGCCGCGAAAATGAGACATGTTTTGTTCGCAATTAAGCCCAATCCTAGAAAATAACAAGGCCGCAATCGTTTCCGCATTTAATATGCAAACGTATTCAATCGATTTAGCCCTCAGCGGCATCCTTATCACGACACTTTTAATAGATTCTGCAGTGCCCGACGGCCGGTTCCCAGAATGCGCCGTGGGAAGCGTCTACACTTGACCCAACGTCCGCCCATTGTTTAATAACTTTTTTTTTTTGTTGCAGATCCCTCGAGTGCAAGCGCTTCGGGACCAGTGCACATATTACGTCATTTTTTATTGTCAAAAAATGCAGTAGTAGATCAGTATTGTCCATTTCATCTGGCATAAGTTACACTTATTGTATATAAAGTTTAACAAAGCTATACGTATTTATGAGACTTAAGATTAGCGGTTTTTGTTCTCGATTTATCATTGCATCTGTGATGGTGAAGCAAAAAACCTTGCCTTAAATTTTCGGATACGGCTCTGGCTTTATTCATAAACAACGCGATCTTCCCAGGATAATTACGTCGATTGTGTTTTAGCCTTGAACAATGTCATTTTAGGATTTTTTTATATTTCAAGTGCCATTACAAGAAAACGTTTGATTTGTTTATGAATACGGCGACAAATTTCACAGTGCGTTCTTGTTCTGAGAATTCTGCAGTTATTATACATATTTACTCAATGCTTTTTACGCATAAGCAAAACCGAAAATTTTATTTCGTGGTTTTGTTGTTAGTTTATTTATATTATTTTATTTTCCTGATAATTATAGATAATTGTGTACAGTATAGTTTATAAATATTTAGGTGTTACTTGTAATGATCATAGATTTTAAAACGTTAAGTGTAAATTTACTCAGTATTCCATGAGCAATACTGTAGCAATAAACTCTTCTAAGTTATTAAACTGTGCTTTTTTACCCACCCTACGCCAAATTTAACTAAAACGACCAATATAGTAAGGAAATCCAACTTTCCTTTTATAAAATCCTCTTAGCAACTGGAAGGATAACATCCTCGACGAAAAAATCAAGATTTATGAAGTCACTTCTAAAGATGGCAATCAAAAATACATTGAACAAAGAAGGTCGCTCATTACAAGGTTCAAGGAATACGCGGGTCATCGAAGATTACGTGGAATTCTAAATCAAGTATTTTAATAATAAAAAAAAGTTTAGACCATCCAATTTTGCAATCTATATCGACAACAATTACGCAACAGACTTCTTCGAAATTTTACCAACACAATTAATCAATAAATTAAAACACATTAATTAAAATTATCCATCCCCTGCGGAAAATCGATGACGTAATTTCTAAAACTTTTTGCTAAACCTTTATTTAAATAAACAACCTTCAACGCCACTCCATGTGCACGACAACATTAACAACTTTACGGATTTTGTGTTTCGGCAGCCGTTTACCATTTCCAAAATCGACTTCTTGGAAGCCTATTAAAACAGCGCTCTTTCTGCGTTTTTTACAACAAAAACACGTATCCTTCATAAATATTGATTAAAGATTACGAAATGCCAAAATAATTTCAGACCATCATCATTAATCTTGACAACTTTCCCCATGAATCGCGAAACTAATTTGCATAACGAGATCCCAGCGGGTGGCTTCTCGCCCGGTGATAATAATAATAGAAAGTCCGTCTGTTTAGCTGTGACGGTGAATTCTTTTTGACACATCATAAATAAATAAATGCCGCGAATTCGCAGAAATGTGCGGCGAGTGGACAGGTTATGCTGGTTTAAGTCGTGGTCGCTAATTAGCAGGTAGGTTAAGTAGATTTCGTGTTTACATAATTTTTCCCACGAAGTGTTATTAGGGGAATAACCCGCAGCTAATTTAGAAGCGTTTATCTGGCGTGTTTTGAGATTGTTTTTGTTTGTGTTTTTTCGGTGGTGCTGGTGGACTACTCTGGTTTTATGCTTTCATATTTTATTCCTCGCCGCTTAATGTGTTTTCGTTTATTTGATGTATTTTTATTTTTTATTGTAACTTTCATAAATCATATCGTAACAACAAAAAAGTAAATTCCTTGTCTGCATGAACAGCTGCTCTCGTGTTTTATGGAGATTAATTTATTTTCTATTAGGTGGCGCCAGATAGGTCAAATTTCAACTGGCTCAAATTTAAATATCTACCTGTTTGGTACCTTTTTTGGTAAGGATTTTTGAAAATTTAAAGATTTTAGATTCTACAATTTCCCAGTTTTTCGTTTTTTCTCAATTTCATAACTCGATTTTGTAGACTTTTGATTTATATTTTGAAATTTTTCAAGTTTTCAATTTTTCGATTTTTTTAATTTTTAAATTTTTCTATTTTCACGGTTTCGATTTTTCAATTTTACAAGTTTTGAACTTTTTATTTTTCTTTCAATTTTTGGATTTTAATTTTTCGATTTCTATTTTTAATTTTTTTAATTTTTCGATTTTTTATCCTTCACTGTTACAATTTTACAATTTCTAGATCTTATTTTTCGTTTTTTCAATTTATCGATTTCTCGATTTTTAAGTTTTCGATTATCTGATTTTTGACTTTAATTTTTTCAATTTGTCGATTACTCATCTCAATTTTTAAATCTTTCGAGTTTTTAATAAATTTTTTTCGATGTTTAATTGTTTCCACTTTTCGATTGTTTCATTTATGATTTCTCAATTTTTAATTTTTCAATTTTTCCAATTTTTGACTTTTCAATTAATGGAGTTTTCAGTTTCTCCATGTTTTCAATTCTCCGATTTTTCATTCTCTCGATTTTTAATTTTATAATTTTTCCATTTTTAGTTTTCATTTTTTTCGATTTGAAAAACTGAAAATTTTAAAATATAAAAACCGAGGAAATAAATGAAAAAATTGAAAAATCAGATAGTTGAAAAATCGAAAAATTCCAAAATTGTAAAATTCAAAAACTAAAAAATTGGGAAATTGACAATAAAAAAGTGGAAATTAAAAATTTGAAAAATCGAAAAATTGAAAAGTCGAAAAACCGAAAAATCGGACAACTGAAAAGTCGAAAAACTTGAAAATTGAAAACACGAAAACTTGCAAAACTGAAAAATTGAAACTGTGAAAGATCGAAAAATCATTGAAAAATCAGAGCATCAATAGATTAAAAGTTGAGAAATTGCAAAAATTAAAAAACCGGAAAATTGGAAAAATTGACAGAACAGAAAGTGAAAAATCAAAAATTGAAACAACGAGAAATTGTAAAACTGAAAAACCGCAACATAAAAATACGAAATAAGTAAGGAAAAATTAAAAACGGAAAAATTAAAAGTGAAGAAGAGCAAACTAAAAAAGCAGAGAAAATGAAAAATGAATAAACGAAAAATCGGATAATTAAGAATTCGAAAAATTGCAAAATTGCAAAAATGAGAAATCGAAAAAAGAAACATTGAAAAATCGAAACATTAAAATCGAAAAATAAATAAAACGAAAAACTGTAAAATTGAAAAATTGCAGAAAATATGGAAAAAACGAGAACTTTTCTTTTCGGTTCTTCCTTTTCGCCCTTCTCATCGTTTTCGTCCTTTTCGTCCTGTTGGTTCTTTTGGTCCTGTTCGTCTTTTTGGTCCTTTTCGTCCAGTTGGTCCTGTTGGTCCTTTTGGTCCCTTTGATCCTTTTGGTCCTTTTCGTCGTTTTGGTACTTTTCGTCCTTCCTTTTCGTCCTGTTGATCCTTTTCATCTTTCTTGTCCCTTTCGACTTTTTTGTCCTTTCCGTCTTTCGCCCTTTTTGTCCTTTTCTTCCTTTTCGTCCTTTTGGTCCTTTTGGTCCTTTTCGTCCTGTTGGTCCTTTCCGTCCTCTTCTTCCTTTTCGGCCTTCTCGTCCTTTTCGTCCTGTTGGTTCTTTTGGTCCTTTTCCTCCTTTTCGTCCTTTTGGTCCCTTTCGTCCTTGTCGTCCTTTGCGTCCTTTTCGTTCTGTTGGTCCTTTTCGTCCTTTTCGTCCTGTTGGTCCTTTGCGTCCTTTTCGTCCTGTTGGTCCTTTTGGTCCCTTTGGTCTTTTTGGTCCATTTGGTCCTTTTCGTCCTTCTGCTACTTTTCGTCCTTTCCGTCCTTTTCCTCCTATTCGTCCTTTTGATCCTTTTCGTCCTGTTGGTCATTTCCGTCCTGTTGGTCCTGTTGGTCCTTTTGGGCCTTTTGGTCCTTTTCGTCCCTTTGGTCCTTTTGGTCCGTTTGGTCCTTTTGCTCATTTTTGTCCTTTTCATCCTTTTGGTACTTTTCGTAAATCGTAACATTAAAACATGAAATAATTGAAAAACTAAAAATGGAAATTTTGAAAAATTATAAATGGAGGAATTGAAAAATCGAAAAATTGCAATATTTCAAAACTAAAAAAGTGAAAAATTGTAAAACTAAAACTCGAAAGACGGAGAAATTAAAAAGTAAAAATCTAAAATTAGAAAAAGTGAAAAATTGGATAACTGAAATTGAAAACAAGAAAACTTGCAAAACTGAAAAATTGTAACTACCTTATGAAAGATGGAAAAATCATTGAAAAATCAGAGCATGAAAAAATCAAAAAGATGAAAAATTGAGAAACTGCAAAATTAAAAAATTGCAAAATTGGAAAAACTGAGAAACTGAAAAATCAAAAATTGAAAAAACGAAAAATATGAAGATCTAGAAGGTAAAAAATCGAAAAACTGAAACAACGAAAAATTGTACAATTGAAAAGTCGCAACATTAAAATATGAAAGAATGAAAATCGAAAAATTGAGAAATTAAAAAATCCACAAATTTAAAATTCAAAAAATTTCAGAATTATAAAATTGCAAAATGGAAAAATTGGAAAGTCGAAAATTTCTGAAAAATCGAATAACTAAGATTTAAAAAAAGAAACACTGAAAAGTCGAAGCATTAAAAATCTAAAATTAAAAAATGAAAACTTGCAAAATTGAAAAATTGTAACAGTGAAAGATCGACAAATTGTAAAATTAACAACCAGAATTTAAAAAACTGTAAAATAAAATATTAAAAATTGAAAACACAAAATATTAAAGAATGAAACACTGAAAAATCGAAATATTGAAAAATTGAAAAAAAAATAGAAACTGAAAAGTTTGATAAGAGAAAATCAACTATTGAAAAATCGAAAAATTCAAACGAAAAATTATAAAACTGAAAAACTGCAACATGAAAATATGAAATAAATAATGGAAATTATATTAAAATCGAAGAGGAGAAAATTTAAAAAGCAGAGAAAATAAATAACGCAAAAACTCAAAAATCGGATAATGAAGAAATCGAAAAATTGTGGAATTGTGAAAATGAAGAATCGAAAGATTAAGATAAGAAATTGAAAAACCAAGAGATGAAAAATCAAAAATTAAAAAATCGCAACATTAAAATATGACAGAATGAAAAACGAGAAATTGAAAAATTTAAAAATGGAGGAATTTAAAAATCGGAAACTTGCAAAATAATAAAACTGAAAAGTCGAAAAATTAAAAAAAGGACAACTGAAAAATCGAATGATTGTGGAATTTAAAAAAGAAACATTGAAATATCCAAACATTAAAAACCTAAAATTTAAAACGAAAACTTGCAAAACTGAAAAATTATAACAGTAAAAAATCCAAAAATTGTAAAATTAACAACCAAGAAATTTAAAAATTCTAAAACCAAAAAATTAAAAAACAAAACACTGAAAAATTGAAACATTGAAGAATTGAAAATTTGAAAAAAATGAGAAACTGAAAAATCATATAACAGAAAATCAAATATTGAAAAATCGAAAAATTGAAACGGGAAATTGCAAAACTGAAAAATCGCAACATGGAAATATGAAATAAGGAAAAACCTGAAAAATCAAAAATTAAAGGGGAACAAATTAAAAAAGTAGAGAATATGAAAAAATTGGATAATTAAGAAATTGAAAAATCGAAACATTAAAATCAAAATAATGTAAAATCGGAAAATAGCAACATTAAAACATGAAAAAATTGAAAAACTGAAAAGGGACAATTTGAAAAATAATAAATCGGGGAATTGAACAATCGAAAAACTGCAAAATTCTAAAACTGAAAAATTGAAGAATTTAAAAATAAAAAAAAAGAATATTTGAAAAATTTAAACTCGAGAAAACAAAACATCGAAAATTTACAAAATTGTAAAACTAAATCTCGAAAGACGGAGAAATTGAAAAGTAAAAATCAAAAATTATAAAAAGTGAAAAATTGGAAAACTGAAATTGAAAACACGAAAACTTGCAAAACTGAAAAATTGTAACTATGAAAGATGGAAAAATCATTGAAAAATCAGAGCATGAAAAAATCAAAAAGATGAAAAATTGAGAAATTGCAAAATTAAAAAATCGCAAAATTGGAAAAATTGAGAAACTGAAAAATTGGATAATAGAAAATAAGTATGAAAGAATGAACAACGAGAAATTGAACATTTTAACAATCGAGAAATTTAAAAATGGAAAAATTGAAGTCGAAAAATTAAAAAAAGGACAACTGAAAAATCGAATAATTGTGAAATTTTAAAAAAGAAACATTGAAAAGTCGAAACATTAAAAACCTAAAATGGGAAAACGAAAACTTACAAAAATGAAAAACTGTGAAACCAAAAATTAAAAAACGAAACGTTGAAATTGAAACAACGAGACATTGTAAAACTGAAAAACCGTACAATGAAAATATTAAATAAGTATGATGGAAAAATTAAAAACTGAAAAATCAAAAATCGACGAAAAACAAATTAAAAAAGTAGAGAAAATGAAAATGAAAAAACGGATAATTAAGAAATCGAAAATTTGCAAAATTGTAAAAATTAAATATCGAAAGATTAATAAATTGAAAAACCAAGAGGAGGAAAATCAAAAATTGAAAAATCGAAAAATAGAGAAAATGAAAAACTGTAAAATTGAAAAATTTTAGAAAAAATTGAAAAAACGAGAATTTGTAAAATCGGAAAATCGTTACATTAACACATGAAAAAATTGAAAAACTGAAAAGGGAAAATTTGAAAAATTATAAATCCAGGAATTGAAAAATCGAAAAACTGCAAAATTCCAAAATTAAAAAAAGAAAACTTGAAACATTCAAACTCGAGAATATAAAACTTCAAAAGATTACAAAATTGTAAAATTGAAAACTCGAAAGGCGGAGATATTGAAAAGTAAAAGTCAAAAATTGGATAACTGAAATTGAAAATACGAAAACTTGCAAAACTGAAAACTTGTAATTATGAAAGATCGAAGAATCATTGAAAAATCAGGGCATTGAAAAGTCAAAAAGACTAAAAATTGAGAAATTGCAAAATTAAAAATTGAGAAACTGAAAAATTGGATAATAAAAAAATCAAAAATTGAAAAAACGAAAAATATAAAGATCTAGAAAGTGAAAAATCGAAGAATTGAAACAACGAGAAATTGTAAAATTGAAAAATTGCAAAATTAAAATATGAAAGAATAAAAATCGAGAAACTGAAAAATTAGAATACCGACGAATTTAAAAATCCAGCAGAATTGTAAAATTGGAAAATGGAAAAATTGAAAATTCGAAAAGTTAAAAAGAGGACAATTGAAAAATCGAATAATTGTGAAATTTAAAAATGAAACAATGCAAAGTCGATACATTAAAAACCTGAAAATTGGAAACATGAAAAGTTGGAAAAGTGAAAAATTGTAAGAGTGAAAGATCGAAAAATTGTGAAATTAACAGCCGAGAAATTGAAAAATTGTAAAATACAAAAATTAAAAATTGAAAAGTGAAACATTAAAAAATTGAAAAAAAAAATGAGAAACTGAAAAATCGAATAATCGAAAATCAAATATTGAAAGTCGAAAAATTTAAACAACAAATTTGTAGAACTGAACATAAAAATATGGAATGAGTAACGGAAAAATTAAAAATTGAAAAATCAAAAATCGAAGAACAAATTAAAAAAGTAAAGAAAATGAAAAATGAAAAAACTGAAAAATCGGATAAATAAGAAATCGCAAAACTGCAAATTTGTAAAAATGAAAAATCGGAAGATTGAGAAATTGAAAAATCAATAGGTGAAAAATCAAAAATCGAAAAATTGAAAAATCGGATAATTGTGAAACTTAAAAAAGAAACATTGAAAAATCGAAACTTTAAAATCGAAAAATTGAGAAAACGAAAAACTGTAAAACTGAAAAATTGTAGAAAATATTGAAAAAACGAGAAATTGTAAAATCGGAAAATTGTGACACTGAAAGATCGAAAAATTCCAAAAAAATCAAAGTAAAGATTGAAATTGAGAAATAGAAAAATTCAGATATTGAAAAAACTAGAAAATTTAAAAAACGAGAAAGTGTAAAATCGAAAAGTAGTCCCATTAAAACATGAAATAATTGAAAAACTAAAAATCGAAAAATTGAAAATATCGAGGAATTAAAAACTCCAAAAATTGCAAAATTGCAAAATTGTAAAATTGAAGAATCGATAAACTGTACATTCAACAAATTTAAAAATAAAAATATTCAAAAGCTGAAAACCAAAAAATCGACAATCCAGAAAATGAAAAATCGAAAAATTAAAATATGATGTCTTTTGAAATCGGAAAATTGAAAAATTGTAAAATCGCACACGAAACACTGAAAAACTGACAACTGAAGGAATAAAAAATTTTAAATCGCAAAATAAAAAAATTCAAAAACTGAGCAATACAAAACATTGCAAATCGAAAAACTCTAAAAGCGAAAAAGGGAATAATTAAGAAAAAAGAAAACTGAGACCCATAGAATAATTGTTGTTAGTTGTCAATTTACGATTGTAACAATAAAAAATTCAATCGTAAAAATATGTAATGAATTTGCTTACTAAAATTTTTAAAGCACATCCCGTGACCACCAGATTTTTGTACTCTGATATTGTCTTTCAGTAAAATTATTGACTGTAAATATTATATAAATTATAATTACTAAACAAATATTTGATGCAACCAGTTATACATTATATGAAATCCAAACTAGAGAACAGATTTGTGATTTTTGCCTTGAAATTCAACGGTGGCAACAGATTGAGTAATCGTCATTCTAAAATCTAAATTTAGAACAACAATGATGTAAGTAACTAGAAGGAAATAAAAATTTAGATAATTTCACCCAATGCATATTTTTGTTTTAGAACCGCTGAGAACTTTCTGCTGTCAAGGTCGTCGAAATGTCTATCAAATGTCATAATTTTTTTTAGGTTATGTTATGAAATATCTTGAGGTTACGAATCGTTTCAAATCGGAATTAATTCTTTATTTCAAATACTTGTATGTTTACAAATCAGTATATTCCTAAAAGTGATTTAAAAAGTAGTGAAAATGCCGAAGGAACAATTTCGCGAGACAGACGTGGCGAGAAAAATGTAACCCAAAAAAACTCGACAACGTGCCTTATTAATCCACTTTTCTTCTAGCTCCCACATCAGTTTTGGGGTCGAAAGCGCCGAATCCATGCAACAACAGTCACACATCCACGTGGTTGCGAAAAATTTGTACAACCAAGACATCCAGCGAACACCCATAGCCTACGGAGTGTTAGACAAACGACTGGCAAGTTCACACAACATTATAAAACACCCACTACAATTATATTTACAGGGAACAAACTCCAAGGAGTCCCCTTGCCAAACATGCGGCAAAAACATAAACTTATGTGTGGGCCACTTCGGCTACATCGATCTAGAACTTCCCGTATTTCACGTAGGCTACTTCAGAAGCATCATCAGCATCCTCCAAACGATATGCAAAAACTGTGCACGCGTTCTTCTCAACGAAGAGGAAAAAAGCCAGTTCAGAATTCGTCTCTCCAACGACAATCTCAGCTACATGGTGAAAAAAGCCATCAGGAAGAAAATCGTAGAGAAGTGTAAAAAATTAACGAAATGCCCGCACTGTAAATTCGACAACGGGTTCGTGAAGAAGTTGACAGCCGGTAAAGGAAGCACCGGAGGATCGGTTTTGAAAATCGTCTGCGAGAAACACGGGGGCGCCAATAAGGAAAACATGATGAAAAATCACATAGAAAAATTTAACTCGGCCATTGAGACTAACCCTGAGATTAAAAATGCTCTGACTGCAAGCAACAACGTGTCGCAGATTTTCACACCGATTGACGTTTTGAAGTTGTTTGAGAGAATTCCACAGAGTGACATTCCGCTACTTGCTATGGACACAAGACGGTTAATTGATTTAATTAATTTTTTTTTTTTTTTCTTACTAAAGAGAGTGATTTCAGGTCACAACCAAAAGATTTAATATTTACGCGAATGTTGGTACCGCCTGTATCCATCCGTCCGTCCGTAGTTTCAGATTTAAAAGCCGGAACGTACGTTATTCCACTCATTATTAATACATTCTTACGCGATTTTAATTTTAGGAACGAAGACGACCTAACCATGAGACAATCCGAAATAATTTTTATTAACGACGTCATCAAAAAACACAAATTGTCTGGAGCTTCAGTCAACATGTACCAGGAAGGCTGGGACTTTCTCCAATTACAAACCGCTCTCTACATCAACAGCGAATTATCCGGAGTCCCTTTAGCAATGATGGTACACAACTCGATTTTGAAACAACTTTTACATTGTTTTATTGTAGCCTAAAAAACCAGGACGCGGTCTCGTGCAACGCCTCAAAGGCAAACAAGGTCGCTTTCGCGGGAACCTTTCAGGAAAACGCGTCGATTTTTCCTCGAGGACTGTAATTTCGCCGGACCCGAATTTGCAGATTGATCAAGTTGGCGTTCCGTTGCATGTCGCTAAAATTTTAACCTACCCAGAGAGGGTGATTCACGCGAATATCGACCACATGAGGCAGTTGGTGATCAATGGACCCGATAAGTGGCCCGGCGCCAATTACGTCCAGCAGAAAGGGTCAGCGTTTAAGAAGTTTTTGAAATACGGAAATAGGGAGAAGTTGGCGCAGGAGTTGAAACTGGGGGATTTGGTGGAGCGGCACTTGCGCAATGGCGACGTGGTTTTGTTCAACAGGCAGCCGAGCTTGCACAAGTTGTCCATTATGGCGCATAGGGCGCAAATACACAAACATAGGACGTTCAGGCAAGTATAATTTAAACCTTAAGTACAATTAAACCACAAATTAATGACACTAAGAAGAAGAAACAACGACTTACCAACTTGAATACTTTTCGGCTTGAGACAGATGGCACCACGTGTGTATCTAACTCTAATGGTTATTAATTACTAAAAAATGTTCAAAAACTACCATAAGTAGCACTTTCTTGCGAGAAAACTACAATTAATTTGGATTTCTGTCCACTCACTAATCTAAATCGCAATTTTTCTGGTAGAACTGTCATTTTGCACAGCCTATGTGATTGCGAAAGTAAACTCGGTAATTGAAACTTTGTTCAAGTAAAATTAAACCATCAGCCAGGTTTATTACAACAATTATAAACAATTATTTAAAGTATTAATAAACGTGATCCGAGAAATGTTAAATATTACCAATTTTAATTTACACGATGCTTATGAAATTTGTTTTTCAAATAATGATGTTGGCAACAGTGACGCGTCCCTGTTTGACAGTAACAACACCCCCAATTTTAAAAAAATCCGGACACGCTAGAAGTTTTTTTCGATTGTATGCTTCCATAGTTTACGCTCAGGAAGTAATAAAAATCCAATTCCAGTATAAATAACGATGAGAAGGAGAGACAACGACTTACCGATTTTAACACTTTTCCGCTTGAGACAGATGGCACCACACTTGTATTTGTTACTAATTACTAAAAAATGTTAAAAAATCGTCGCAAATAGCACTTTTTTCCGATAAAACGACAATTTAATTATATTTCTGTCCACTAATCACTCATCTAAATTACAACTTTCTAATGAAACTGTCATTTTGCACAGCCTATGTGATTTTGAAAGAAAGCTCCATAATTGAAAATTTGTTATTGAAATAAAATTGAACCATCAGCCAGATTTATTACACAAATTATAAACAATTATTCAAAGTATTAATAAACGTGTTCCGAGAAATGTTAAATATTGTCAATTTTAATTTACTTGATGCTTATGAAATTTGTTTTTCAAATAATGATGTTGGCAACAGTGACGCGTCCCTGTTTGACAGTAACAACACCCCCAATTTAAAAAAATCCGGGCATGCTAGAGAGTTTTTTCGGTCGTATGCTGCCTTAGTTTACGCACAGGAAGTAATAAAAATACAATTCAAGTATAAATTAACGATGAGAAGAAGAAACAACGACTTACCGACTTCAGTATTTTTCCGCTTGAGACAGGTGGCACCGCACATGTATTTAATTGTATTTGTTATTAATCACTAAAAAATGTTTAAAAACCGTCGTAAATAACACTTTTTTCCAATAAAACGACAATTAATTGTTTTTCTGTCCACTAATCGCTCATTTAATTACGACTTTACCGATGAAACTGTCATTTTGCACAGCCTATGTGATTTCAAAAGAAAGCTCCATAATTGAAATTTTTTCTGTTGAAGTAAAATTGGGCCAGTTTTTACTAGAAAAATTATAAACAAATATTTAAAACGTTAAACGTCTTTCGATAAATGTTAATTCATGTCAGTTTTAATTTATATGATAAAAAAAAGTCCTGGAGTTCCGGTGAGAGATTGGGATTTCTTGACATTTGATATTTAAGTTGGCAGCAACGTAACACTACAAAATGCGCTCAATTACGCTCCACCCCTCGCTCTGACAACCAATGAAAAATTGATCACGATTGAGATCGAGACGGATGGGTGGGACTTCTCTTTTGGTTTTCTTTTTTAATTAATTCATATTTCTTTCTTAATATACATAGCATTCTTTGAACAACCCGATACTCAAAAACATGCTCCAAATTTTTCGTAGAGAAATAAGGATTTTGTAATTAAGCTCCGCCCTCTTGGCTCACGCCGAATAAAAAAAATCATCAGAATTGGGATAGGGCGGGTGGGTGGGGCTTATATTTTGCCTTTTTTTCTTAATATACATATCCATCTTTCATAATAAGAAACTTCAAACATGGTTAAAATGTTTTTTGCAAGGAAATATGGATTTTGCAATTATGGGGCGGAACCTAATTGCAAAATCGATATTTCTTTATATGAATTTTTCATTTTAAACAGGTGTTAAGTTTCATGTTGTGAAAATAAGTCTACACATATTGAAACAAAAAGACAAAATGTAAGCCCGCCCACCCGCCCCATCTCAATTCTGATGATTTTTTGTATTCATCGTGAACCAAAGGGCGAAGCTTAACTGCAAAATACTTATTTCTTTACAAGAAATTAAAAATATATTTTTGAGTGTCGTATTGTTCAAAGAATACTACGTATATTAGGAGCTGCCAAGATAAGACTAATTTTGGCAAATGAGGTCTCTCTAAGAAAATAGAGGGCGGATAGATATCTTAACAGCTACTAGCCCCACCCACCCTCTCTTTTAGAGAGTATGTCATTTGCCAAAATCAGTTTTATCTTAACAGGTACTAGCCCCGCCCACCCACCCTCTCTTTACTTAGAGGGTATGTCATCTGCCAAAATCAGTCTTATCCTATCTAGTAGCTGCTGATAAAAGAGATTTTGGCAAATGACATACCCTCTAAGAAAAGAGAGGGAGGGTGGGCGGTACTAGTACCTGATAAAATAAGACCGATATTGGAAAACGAGATACCTTGCAAGAAAAAAAAGGGTGGGTGGGTGGGGCTAGTAGCTGCTAAGATCAAACTGATTTTGGCAGATGACATATCCTTTAAGAAATGAGAGGGTGGGTGGGCGGGGCTAGTACCTGTTAAGATAAAAATGATTTTGGGAAATGACATACACTCTAAGAAAATAGAGGGCGGGGGGCGGGGCTAGTATCTGCTAAGATAACACTGATTTTGGCCAATAACATATTCTTTAAGAAAAGAGAGGGCGGGTGTATAACACGATTACTTAAAAACAATTTCACATCAGAATTGAGATAGGGCGGGTGGCGGGGCTTATATTTTGCCTTTTTTTATGTACATAGCCATCTTTTCACAACAAGAAACTTAAAACATGGATAAAATGGTACATTTTTGCAAGGAGCCTAATTGCAAAAGTGATATTTCTTTATACAAATTTTCCATTTTGAACATTTTTCATGTTGTGAAAATAAGTCTACACATATTGAAACCAAAAGACAAAATGTAAGCCCGCCCACCTGCCCCATCTCAATTCTGATGATTTTTTGTATTCACCGTGAACCAAGAGGGCGAAGCTTAACTGCAAAACACTTATTTCTTTACAGGAAATTAAAAACATGTTTTAAGTATCGTGTTGTTCAAAGAATACTATGTATATTAAGAAAAAAAAGGCAAATATAAACCCCGCCCACCCACCCCATCTCAATTATGATGATTTTTTTAATTCTTAGAAACCTAAAACACGTTTGAAATGGTAAATTTTTGTAAGAAAATACGGATTTTGCAAATAGGCTTCGCCGCCCCTAGTTCTTGCCAACGAATGACAACTTCATTACTATTGAGATCAGGGTGGGTATGGGTGGGGCTTAATCTTGGGCTTTAATTTTTTCTTAAAACTTTATTTACATAGTAATTTCTTGTAAAAGGTAAGAAGGGTTTTGCAATTAAATTCGGCTCTTTTGGCTCGCGACGATTAAAAAAAATCATCAGAATTGACATAGGGCGGGTGGGCGGGGCATAGTCGTGTTTTCAGAACAAGAAACTTAAAACATTCATACAACAAACATAAAATTCTTGTAGACAAATATGGATCTTGCAATTAAGGTACTATTATGTCTCAATTCCACTCCACAGAAGAAAAAATAATTTAGCCCGCCCACCCACCACGTCTCCATTTCAGTAATTATTTTATCTGCTTTGAATGAAAGATGGAACGTATACTAAACAGGAAGAATATTTGTCGTTAGAATGAGAAGAAGGTGGGTGGACGGGGTCACTACTTGCTAAGATAGGACTGATTTTGGCACACCTTTTATTGGCCAATGACATACTCTCTAAAAAATAGAGGTGTTTCATTTGAGGCAAACTGACTGAAAAATTATATATAAAATGAAATCTTCCATTTTAAAAAATGGCAGAACTGAATTTTTAATTTTTACAGTCTAGGTACTATTATTTGTCAATTCCACTCTACAGAAGAAAAAATAATTTACCCCGCCCACCCACCCCGTCTCCATTTCAGTAATTATTTTAGTTGATCTGAATGAAAGGTGGAACGCATACTAAACAGGAATAAAATTTATCATTAGAATGAGGGAGGGTGGGTGGGCGGGGTTACTACTTGCTAAGGTAGGACTGATTTTGGCAGATCTTTGATTGCGCAAATGACATACTCTCTAAAAAATAGAGGTGTTTCATTTGAGGCAAGCTGACTAAAAAATTATATATAAAATGAAATCTTCCAGTTTAAAAAACGGCAGAACTGAATTTTTAATTTTTAAAGTCTGGGTACTATTATTTCTCAATTCCACGGCACAGAAAAAAAAATAATTTGCCCCGCCCACCCACCCCGTTTCCATTTCAATAATTATTTTATCTGCTCTGAATGAAAGATGGAACGTATACTAAACAGGAATAATATTTGTCGTTAGAATGAGAAGAGGGTGGGTGGGCGGGGTCACTACTTGCTAAGGTAGGACTGATTTTGCAGATCTTTTATTGGCCAATGACATACTCTCTAAAAAATAGAGGTATTTCATTTGAGGCAAGCTGACTAAAATGAAATCTTCCATTTTAAAAAATGGCAGAATTGAATTTTTATTTTTTACAGTCTAGGTACTATTATTTCTCAATTCCACTCTACAGAAGAAAAAATAACTGACAACGAATGAAAATTCGTCATAATTGAGAATTGAGATCGGGGCGGGTGTGGGTGGGGCCTAATCTTTGGCTTTAGTTTTGTCTCAATATATGTACACAGTGTTCTTTGAATAACACGATACTCAAAAACATGTGTTAATTTCTCGCAGAGATATAAGGATTTTGCAGTTAAGCTCCGCCTTCTTGGTTCACGACGAATAAAAATAAATCATCACAATTGAGACAGGGCGGGTGGGCGGGGCTACATTTTGCCTTTTTATTCTTAACATGTGTAGACTTATTTCAACAACAAGAAAAAAGTAATCCTCCAATTTTTTTCTAGGTTACGAAATTTATTTTTAAAATGATGATGTTGGCAGCGCTGACGCGTTGTTTGTTCGTTTGACGTTTCTATTTTAAAAATAAATTCTAATCATGCTAGAGGATTTTTTTCGATCGTATAATGCTACAACAAATTGTTTATAATTTTTTATTATATATAAACATATTGCATTATTAGTACGATCTGTCACTAGGCGGGGACCAGTGGCGTACCATTCACGTTTTGAAATGGGGGCATACCAAAAAATATATTTAGTCAAATTTTAATTATTCATTTTTTCACTAGATTTAACGAATGCGTGTGCAATCCATACAACGCCGACTTTGACGGCGACGAAATGAACTTGCACTTGCCTCAAACAGAAGAAGCCAAAGCTGAGGCACTAATTCTAATGGGGGTATGTATATAATTAATTAAAACAACAAAAACACACTACAATGTATTTATTTTTAGAATAAAAGTAATCTAGTGACCCCTAGAAACGGCGAATTGTTAATAGCCGCCACCCAGGACTTCTTAACCGGGGGTTACCTCCTAACCAAAAAAGACACCTTCTTGGATAAAGCCCACGCTTCTCAGTTAGCGGCGACTCTTCTGGCAGAGGGCGACACTAACATGCAGATTGATTTACCAACACCTTGTATATTAAAGGTAAGCGTCAACCGCTAAAGTACCACTTACACATTTTTCAAAATTGTTAGCCCAAAGCGCTCTGGTCCGGCAAACAAATCTGCAGCCTCATCTTCCGCCCCAACAAAAAGTGCCCCATTAAGGCCAACCTGGAAGCCAAAGGCAAATCCTACACGAAAAACCGCGAGCTCTGCGTCAAAGACTCGTATGTCATAGTACGAAACTCGGAACTCATTTCGGGGACTCTGGACAAAAGCCACCTCGGAAACGGTGGCAAAGGCAGCAATATTTTTTACGTTATTTTGCGAGATTTTGGCCAGGAACACGCAATCAAAGCCATGTGGAGATTGGCCAAACTCACGTCGTGCTACCTCATGAATAGCGGATTTTCAATCGGAATCGGGGACGTCACACCCAGTCAAGGTCTCCTACGACGGAAACACAAGCTTTTGGAAGACGGGTTGGTGTAACTTGTGGCTAAACAATTATGTGACTGGGTTTTTCTAGGTACACGAAGTGTGACGAATTCATCCGACAGATGGCGGACGGGCGGCTGCAGTGTCAGCCGGGGTGTACCGCTGAAGAGACTCTAGAGGCTGTTATTCTGAAGGAGTTGTCGGTTATTCGGGAGCACGCAGGACAGGCGTGTTTGGCCGAGTTGCCACCTACTAATAGTCCATTGATTATGGCGCTATCCGGCTCAAAAGGATCGTTTATTAATATTTCTCAGATGATAGCGTGCGTGGGGCAGCAGGCCTTGAACGGGAAAAGAGTCCCAGATGGGTTTGAGAATCGATCGCTACCGCATTTTCAACATTATTGTGAGTGAGCTTTGTCTGGTTACTTATTTTTTAAAAACTATATGGTTTTCAGCGAAAACTCCAGAAGCGAAGGGTTTCGTTGAAAATAGTTTCTATACGGGGTTGACACCCACGGAGTTTTTTTTCCATACCATGGGTGGTCGTGAGGGTTTGGTTGATACTGCTGTCAAGACTGCCGAAACGGGGTATATGCAGAGGAGGCTCGTCAAGGTAACAAAACACAATTTGAAATGACACGTTTTTATTGTTCATAAATTATCATAGTCGTTGGAAGATCTGGTGGTCCATTATGATGGTTCAGTTAGAAACGCTGAAGGAGACATCGTCCAAGTGAATTACGGTTGCGATGGGCTAGACCCTACTTTCATGGAAGGTAATATTTTTGTAGCCGCCACTGTAAACTAGTGGTAGTATCAGATTATTATATTGTTATTATTTGTGACAGGAAAGGACTGCCCGGTCGATTTCGACCGCGTCTTGCGTCACGTGCAAGCCAAGTGTCCCTACAGGGAAGAAAACGCCCTCACTGGAGTCCAAATCCGAAGGGCCACCAACGCTTTCCTGGAAACAGACGCGCTAAACGAGTGCAGCGAAGACTTCAAAAACGAACTCAAGTGAGTCCTTTTCACACCTATAACTCGTTCTAATAATATTTTTGCAGAGGCTTCATGGAAAAGTATGCCGAAAACGTGGAGAAAATAGAGCAGAAATTCGGAAAAAGCAAAGTCGTGAAAGAAATCGAGAGACTAACGTGCAGCCAATTGGTCACGTTTTTACAAACCTGTGGCTCTAAATATAGTAAGTCTATCATAGAACCGGGGACGGCAGTGGGAGCTTTGGCGGCACAAAGTATAGGGGAGCCCGGTACTCAAATGACCTTGAAGACTTTTCACTTCGCGGGCGTGGCAAGCATGAACATCACGCAAGGTGTACCAAGGTGTTAAAAATTTATATAGTGACTTATAACGATAAAATTGATTTTTGTTTGTTTCAGAATCAAGGAAATTATCAACGCTAGTAAAGAAATCAGCACGCCTATTATAACCGCCAGTCTTACCAACCCCCACGATATCGGGTTCGCGCGAGAAGTCAAAGCCCGAATTGAGAGAACAACCCTTGGCGAAATCGCGTCGTTCATCGACGAAATCTACACCCAACACGACTGTTTTCTGCTGATTCAGCTGAACTACGACCGAATTAAGCTGCTACGGCTGGAGATTAATGCGGAGACCGTGCGTTACAGGTGCCAACTTAATTTTCACACTAGCTAAAAGTCACTATAATTATTTTGAACATACATTAATTTCCGCACCCAATTTTTCAGTTTTTGATTTTTTAATTTTACAGTTTTTCCATGTTTATTTTGACATTCTTCAACTTTTGAATTTTACAATTTGTCGATTTTTCTGTTTCTAGAAAATTTTGTTTTCCGTATTTTTCTATTTCTCGATTTTTAATTAATCAGTTTTTCGATTTTACCGTTTCTTTTTTTCAATTCTACAAATTTTCTGTTCGATTTTTCTGTTTTTTAAATTTTCAGGTTTTTCATTTTTAAGGTTACAATTTTTCCTTTTCCAATTGTTCACCTCTTAGTTCGGTTTCTTTTTTTTTCCGATTTTTCAGTAAAATTTTTGTATTTTTCGATTTTTTAATTTGTAGATATTTAATTTTTCGATTTTCTAATTTGTTTTTTAACTTTTCGATGTTCTATCTGTTGAATTTTACAAATTTTCATTTCTTCAATTTTTCCATTTTTATTTTTTTTTTCAAATTCACAATTTGGTAATTGCTTTATTTTGAAATTTGCCGATTTTTAATTTTTGGCTTTTCCATTTTCTGTATTTTTTCAATTCTTTGATTGAACTTTTAAATTTTTCGGTTTGTCAGTGTTTCGTTTTTTCGATGTTACAATTTTTTCATTTTTCCATGTTTCGTTTTAACAATTTCATAATTTTTAGTTTTCCGGTGTTCATTTTAAAATTTTTGAATTTCGAAATTCATTTTTTTTTTTTGTATTTTTGATTGTTTAATTTATAGAAGTTTTTATTTTTCGTTTTTTCAGGTTTCAGTATTACAATTTTTCGACTTTTCAATTATTTTTTCAATTATCCCATTGCTCAATTTCTCAGTTTTTTTATTTTTCGGTTTTTCAATTTTTTGATGTTTCAATTCAATTCAAAATTTCGGTTTGAATAAATTTGTTCTTTTGTTGAACAATTAAAAAATGACAAATCGAGATAATAAAGAAATAAAAATCGAGAATTTTATAATAATATAAATTTTATATCGAAAAATTGTAGAATTGTTTCTTTTTGTCGATTTTTCAATTCCTCGATTTTTAATTGTTGCATTTTTTAATGTTTTGTTAAAATTGGAAATCAAGAACGTGAAAACTTTAAAATTGAATAATTTGTAAAATTGTTTCGTTTTTCGATTTTTTGATCTTTCAATTTCGGGATTTTTTATTTTTTCGTTTTTCTAGTTTTGCAGTTTTATTTTTAAATTTTCTGTTTTTACAATTTTTAAATTTTTCGGTGTCCCGATTTTTTGGTTTCTCTATTTTCATTTTGAAATTTTTGGATTTTTCATTTTAAAAGTTTTGTATTCTTCATTGTTTGAATGATACAAATTTTCCGATTTTCCAGTATTTTAGTTTGGATAAATTTGTTCTTTTGCTGAAAAATAAAAAAACATGAAATTGAAAAATTAAAAAAACTAAAGTTTAAAACTCAAAAAATCGAAAATCGGAAAATCGTAAAATCGAAAACCGAAGAATCTGTAAAATTAACAAATCGCTGCCGATTAAAAAAAATGCTCCCACACAATATGATATTGGAAATGAACACTTGAATACTCCTATTTATTATTCAATTTTTGGATTTTACAATTTCTCAATTTTTCAACTTCTCGTTTTCAGTTTTTCTCTTCAATTTTACGATTTTTCAATTTTTGACTTTTATAAACTCTTTATTTGTCGATTTTTCAGGTTTTGATTTTTCAACTTCACTTTTTTTATTCTTCGATTTCTCAATTTTTCAATTTTTTAATTTCTCAGTTTTTGGACATTTCAGTTTGGGGATTTTTCAGTTTACTTGTTATTCAATTTTTCGATCTTACGATTTTGCAGGTTTTTGATTGTTCAATTTTTCGTTTTTTTTAAGGTTTCGATATTTCGACTTCACTTTTTTGATTTTTCGATTTCTCAATTTTTCGATTCTTTGGATTCTCAGTTTTTGGATATTTCAGTTTTGGGATTTTTCAATGTTTCTGTTCTTCGACTTTTCCATTTTTGACTTCTGGATTTATCGATTTTTAAATTTTATATTTCTCAATTTTTTGGTATTTTAATTTTTCAGTATTTAAAATTTTTGATTTTTCGATTTCCCGATTTTTCATTTTAGCTCTTCCATATTTCAATGTTTCAAGTGTTTCGATTTCTTAATCTTTCGATTTTTCGACTTCCCGGTTTTAGATTTTCTATTTTTCAATTGTCATTTTGTCAATTTCTCGATTTTTTAATTTTTCAAATTTGACTTTTATAAGCTCTCAATTTTTCGATTTTTCATTGAATCGATGTTTTGATTTTCCCATTTCTTGACCTTCCAGTGTTTCGATTTTCCTGTTCTTCAGTTCTTTAATTTTTTGATTTTTCAGTTTTTCGATTTTTTAAGGTTTCTATTTTTATAATTTTAGAATTTTCGATTTTTAAATTTGATTTTTAATTTTTTCGATTTTTTACTTCCCGAGCGTAAGCAAAGGAAGTATTGTAATCGAGTCCGTCGGCCGACTCTCTACTTTTACGTTTTCTCGATCTTTCATGACCCCTAGAAGACGAAGAAATAGGTCTCCCATTTCCGTCTGTCTGTCCGTCTGTCCGTCTGTCCGTCTGTCCGTCTGTCCGTCTGTCCGTCCGTCTGTCCGTCTGTCCGTCTGTCCGTCCGTCTGTCCGTCTGTCCGTCTGTTGTCACGGATTTTTATTAGACAGATAATCTCCGAAAGTACTCGACCGATTGTTGTGAAATTTTGTACTTATATTAAGAATATCATGTAGATGGTAAAACGCTAACCAAAATTTGTCGAATCATCCCCACCACTAAAGCGATGACGTCACTTCAAAATTGTACATAGTAAATGGGTTTTCAATTGTATAAAATAACATAGTCCTACACATGTAGTTTACAACTCTGAATCGACTTTTCACTCGAAACGTCCAGATTTTTGGAAAAAAAATCAAAATTATAAAACAACATTTTGAAATTTAATTTTTAATCTGCTAACCAGAATGCTTTGAAATGTTGCAGATGTTTTAAGGCTATAAAGAGCATCATAAATCTTTAGTCAAAAAATATTTGCTTATCCCCTCCAAAAACTTGATGACGTCAGCTCAAAAGTTTGTGGAATAAATCATATCTAAAATGTACAAAATATGATGAGTCTGTACTTGTGAACTATCACTCCATTAATATTTTTTGGATTTGCATATACAGGGTGACTCAAAAAAATTAATGAATGCGTAAATATATTTTATTGATTTAATCAGGAACTACAAAACCGAATGCTCTGAAATCTTGCAGATGTTTTAAGGTCATAAAGAGCATAATAAATGTTTAGTCAAAATATATTTGCTTATCCCCTCCAAAAACTTGATGACGTCAGCTCCAAAGTTTGCCGAATAAATCATATCTAAAATGTACAAAATATGATGAGCCTGTACTTGTCATTTATCACTCCATTCATATTTTTTGGATTTGCATATACAGAGTGACTCAAAAAAATTAATGAATGCGTAAATTTATTTTATTGATTTAATCAGGAACTACAAAACAGAATGCTTTGAAATCTTGCAGATGTTTTAAGGTTATAAAGAGCATAATAAATTTTTAGTCAAAATATATTTGGTTATCTTCTACAAAAAACTGATGACGTCAGCTCAAAAGTTTGCCGAATAAATCGTATCTAAAATGTACAAAATATGATGAGTCTGTACTTGTGATTTATCATTCCATTCATATTTTTGGATTTGCATATGCAGGGTGACTCAAAAAAATTAATGAAGGCGTGAATTTATTTTATCGATTTAATCAGGAATTACAAAACCGAATGCTTTGAAATCTTGGGAATATTTTAAAGTTATTATAAGCATGGTAAACTTTTGTTCAAAATGTATTTGTTCATCCCTCCTAAAAAAATTGATGACGTCACCCTTAAATTTTGCTGAATAAATCCTATCTAAAATGCAAAAAATATGATGAGTTTGTACTTGTGATTTATCATTCCATTCATATTTTTTAGATTTTCTTAAGAGGTGGTTCAAAAAAATTAATGAAGTCAATTTATTTTATTGATTAAATTAAAGGCAACACTTATTATTAGTATTACACCCCAACCAACCCAATTTGGTAGACACAAAATTTGTTAAAGGAAAAACTCGGTTGAAACATAGGGTAGCACGCTTATTTACATCGACTTTAACATTACAGACCTGCATTTGTTTTATGCGTTCACTTGATTCCGCGAATGTGAAATATACATGTTTATAATCAACCAATTGTGAATTTCATCGTCAAGAATTAAAATAAAACCCAATGTTTTATATAATAAGCGGAAGTCGAAGCAATAAAACCGACGGTCGTTTTGTTTACAGTTTCTGTGTTTGGCTCTCACGTATGCTGTTACGCCTGTCATCTTAAATTAACAATGTTTATACATACACGATTTTCAGTTGCCTCTGATACGTAGGTATACGTGAGTAAATTGTTTCGTTATTTTATTGATTATTACAAATCAAAATTCAAACGACCCAATTCATTTTCCCGAAAATTTGAGAATATAATAATTTTATTCTTAGTATTACACTACATCTATCCCAACTGATATACGTGTCCTTGCAAAAATGTTGATGACGTCATCGCAATTTTTTTTTAAATTCCCACTACAAAAATGTAATGAGAAAAAAAACACAATAGGCATGCAGTCGTCAAGTTTCCGACAGCGAGGGAAGTACTGTCTAAACTCTTTAGACCAATTTTTTTATGTTTCGATTTAGCGATGTTTCAGTTTTCTATATTTTAATTTTTCAATTTTTAAAATTTCTGATTTTTTGATATCTTGATTTTTCGTTTATTCAATTTTCGATTTTAAAACTTGATTTCTCGATTTTTTGACGTTCCCATTTCTCGATTTCTCGGCTTAATTAATTAATTTTTCGAATTTTTAGGTTCTTGATTTTTTAATTTTTCGATGTTTCTATTTCGATTTCTCAATTTTTCAATTTTTCGATTTCTGAATTTTTCGATGTTTCAGTTTTGAGATTTTTGAATATTTCGATTCTTCAATTTTTCTTCCATTTTTCAAATTTTCGAGGTTTCAGTTTTGGGATTTTTTAATTTTTCGATTTTTTAATTTTTCTTCTATGTTTAAATTTTTCGATATTTAGGTTTTGGGATTTTTCAATATTTCGATTCTTCAATTTTTCCAGTTTTCGACTTTTCAATTTCTCGATTTTTGAAACTTGAAATATCGAAAAATTTAAAAATTGAAAAATCGAGAAATGAAAAAATTGAGACATTGAATTGAAAAAGCAATTGAAAAATCGAAAAATTGTAATATTCAAACCTGAAAACCCCGATTAATTAAAAATCGAGAAAGTGAAAAATTGAAAAAACGAAAAACAAAAACTTCTCCAAATTCAACAGTCAAAAATACAAAAAAAAAATTATTTCAAAGTTCAAAAATTTTAAAATGAAAACCGGAAAACTAAAAAATTAAGAAATTGTAAAAACGAAACATGGAAAAATTAAAAAATTGTAACATCAAAAAACGAAACACTGAAAAACCAAAAAATTTAAAAGTTGAGAAATCGAAGAATTGAAAAAACACAGAAACTGAAAAATCGGAAAATGGAAAAGCGAAAACGGCAATAATAAAAACTAATAATTATTTGAAAAAAGTGAAAAACTAAAAATCGGCAAATTTAAAAATGAAACAATTACAAAATTGTAAATTTGAAAAAAAATTAAAAATGGAAAAATTGAAGAAATGAAAATTGAAAAACCAAATTTGAAATATCGAAAAATTGAAAAAATTGGCAAACTGAAAATTGGGTAACGAAAAAACAATTAAAAAATGAGAAAAACTGTAAAATCGAAAATTTGTAGCATAGAAACCTGAAAAAGTGATAAATTAAAAATCCAGGAATTGAAAAATCGAAAAAACGAAAAATTGTAAAATTCAACAGATAGAATATTGAAAAGTTAAAAAACAAATTAGATTTTTCGATTTTTCAGTTTTAAATATTTCACTTTTAGGATTTTTCAATATTTCAATTCTTCGGCTTTTCTATTTTTGACTCCTGGATTTTTCGATGTGTCTACCTTATTACTTTTTCGATTTTTCAATTTTTGGATTTTTAAATTTTAGATTTTTCAACATTTTGATATTTTAATTTTTCAATATTTCTTAATCTTTCGATTTTTCGATTTCCTGGTTTTAGATGTTCTGTTTTTCAATTTTTCGATTTGTTAATTTTGCATTCCCGATTTATGAAGATTTGATTGTTCAGGTTTTCGATTTATCAATTGTTTAATTTTTTATTTTGGCCAATTTCGGTTTCTCAGTTTTTCCAGTTTTCCATTTTTTCGTTTTTTGATTTTTCCGCTCTTCCAATTTTTCAAGGTTTAACTTTTTGTTTGTCGATTTCTCAATTTTTGGATTTTCGACTTCATCACTTTTCGATTTCTCGTTCTTTTGATCTTTCAATCTCTCAATTTTTCAAATTTGTAAGTTTTTTGATTTCTCGATTTATCGAGATTTGGATTTGTCGATATTTTGATTGTCAATTTCTCAGTTTATAAATTGTTCAATTTTTAACTTTTAGATTTCTCGATTTTTCGAATTTTGGATTATTTTTATTTTTCATTTTTTTCTCACTTTCTCACTTTTTTTCATACAAAAATTGTCACTAAAAACATTTAAAAATTCATACAAAATAAAACACAGTGTTTCCAAAACATTTTCCCGAAAAAAATCTATTGAGTTACTACGATTTCAACAATACTCTTAGTTTAAGACGTTTTGCTAGTATAAAACACAAATAAAGAATTAATTATTAGTTAAACAAAATATGTAGGTACCAAAAATATTCGCTTAGTCGTTACAAAAACCGTCCAAACAACTATTTCCCGCAGAAATTATAGCCCAAACCACTCAAATTGCTGAACGCTTAGAGTCGACAATGGCCTGAGCGCGCTCTGGTCTGTGTAGATCAAACAAGTTGTCAGGCACGAGTTGTATGTCGCATCTATACTAATCTACGCTATTATTTTGTAGCATCTGTTCGTCGAAATTGAAACTTAAACCCACGGAAGTTCGTGTGGAAAGTGACACCATCATCACGGTTCACCCCAGCGGTAGCAAACACTCTACACGATATAATTTTTCGTTGAATGAGCTCATGACGAAAATACCCAATGTGGTGGTTAAAGGGTTGCCAACGGTGAACAGGGCCGTAATTGCGAAAGAGGAAAAGGCGGGACAGACGTTGTATAATTTGTGTGTTGAGGGGGATAATTTGAGAGAAGTGATAGCGACGTATGGAGTCCTAGGCACGAAAACGGTGTCAAATAATATCATTGAGGTGTACAACACTCTGGGGATAGAGGCGGCAAGGTAATTTATAAATCGAACGATTTTTTATTAATTATTATTAACTGTATTGTAATAATTGCAGGGAAACCATAATGTCTGAAATCAAAATGGTGATGGAAAACCACGGTATGAGCGTCGATTATCGCCATATCATGTTACTGGCGGCCCAGATGACTCACACTGGGGAAGTTTTGGGAATCACACGCTACGGTCTCTCAAAAATGAAACAATCAATCCTCAATCTGGCTTCAGTACGTTTTTATTAATTCACAATTTTGTTACTAACTGTTCGTTACAGTTCGAGAAAACGGCGGACCATTTATTCGACGCAGCCTACTACGGACAAACGGACAAGATCAACGGGGTCTCCGAAAACATCATCATGGGCATGCCCGCCCCCATTGGTACCGGGATATTCAAACTCCTGCACAAACCCCTCCACGTGGACGAAAACCCCCAATCAGAACCCCTACTATTTGAAACTGCTATTGCTGAATAAACTATGTATTTAAGAACTTTTACATTAAAATAGAAAATAAATTAAGCTTCTTTTTTCTGTTGTACCAATTCACGTAAGCTATTCGTTGCGTCTTTTAAACTATTTTCTAGATACGTTTTATTGTTTTGTAGAACTTTGATCTTGTCGTCTGATTGGGCTTGCTTCTTCTGCAGGCCGTCTTTCACCTCTTCTATGGGGGTCAACACGAACATGCGGCCCACGGATTCGAAGGTCCTGGTGCCGCTTTCCAGCGCATCGATCTCCCTGTTGAAACGACAGTAAAATCGTGGGGGGCTATTCTTATTGGCTTACCTCTCTGTGAATATGGCGTGTTGCTTATTTCGTTTGAGAGTCTCGATTTGTAGATCTGCTATCCGTAACTTCTGAGCTGTGTCTATTTGTTTCTCTTGCAACTCGGCGAAGGCCTGAAATTCAAATCTGTAAGCGGGAGCGCCACACACGTGCCGGAAAATTACCTTCTTCAGTTCCATATCCACTTTTGCCATTTTTTTGACCACTTTTTTATTGTTTTTAAGGCAATGAGAGCATGTATTCTAAAATAGGAAATTTGGAGCAAAATAGCATTGACAAACAGGGAAATTCTGCAATTTTACATCGAAAAATTGCAGAATTGTTTCTTTTTGTCGATTTTTCAATTTCTCGATTTTTAATTAATCAGGGTTTTCGGGTTTCTATATTACAGTTTTTTGATTTTTCAATTGTTTTTTCAATTGTCCCCTTGTTTAATTTCTCATTTTTTCATTTTTCAATTTTAAAATTTTTCGATATTTCAAGTTTCATTTATCAATTTTTGATTCTCATTTTTTCGGTTTTTCCAATTTTTCCTTATTTTTTCAATTCCTCGACTTCTCAATTTTTAAATTTTTTCATTTTTTAATTTTATAATTTTTAGACGTTTCAATGTTACAATTTCGGTTTGAATAAATTTGTCCTTTTGTTTAACAATTAAAAAATGAAAAATCGATAATTTGAAAAATATTGTATCGAAAACTTGCAGAATTGTTGCGTTGTGTCGTTGTGTTACAGTTATTCGATTTTGCAAAATTTTATTTTGACTAAAATTGCAAATCAAGAAAGTGGAAACCTTAAAATTGAAAAATTTGCAAAATTGTTTCGTTTTTCGATTTTTTGATCTTTCAATTTCGGGATTTTTATTTTTTTGTTTTTCCAATTTTGCAGTTTTATTTTTAATTTTTCTATGTTTTTACAATGTTTCAATTTTTCGGTGTGTCGATTTTTTGAAATTTTTGGGTTTTTCATTTTAAAATTTTTGTATTCTTGTTGCAATGATACAATTTTCCGAGTTTCCAATATTTTAGTTTGGATAAATTTGTTCTTTTGTGAAAAATAAAAAAACACGAAATTGAAAAATTAAAAAACTAAAAGTTTAAAACTCAAAAAATTGTAAAGTCGGAGAACTAACAAAGCGAAAAATGGAATAATTGGAAAATCGTAAAATCGAAAACTGAAGAATCTGTAAAGTTAACAAATCCTATTTATTATTCAATTTTTGGATTTTACAATTTCTCAATTTTTCAATTTCTCGTTTTCAGTTTTTCTTTTCAATTTTACGATTTTTAAATATTTCGATTTTTCAATTTTTGACTTTTATAAACTCTTTATTTGTCGATTTTTCAATTAATTGATTTTTCAGGTTTTTTGGTTTTTCAATTTTTCTATTTTTTCAGGTTTTGATTTTTCAACTTCACTTTTTTGATTATTCGATTTCTCCATTTTTCAATTTTTTAATTTCTCAGTTTTTGGACATTTCAGTTTACTCGTTATTCAATTTTTCGATCGTACGATTTTGCGGGTTTTTGATTGTTCAATTTTTCTATTTTTTTAAGGTTTTCGACTTTACTTTTTTGATTTTTCGATTTCTCAATTTTTCGATTCTTTGGATTCTCAGTTTTGGGATTTTTTAGTTTTTCGTTTCGTCAGTTTTTCTTTCATTTTTCAGTTTTTCGATATTTCAGTTTTGGGATTTTTCTATATTTCTGTTCTTCGACTTTTCCATTTTTGACTTCTGGATTTTTCGATGTGTCGACTTTTTACTTTTTCGATTTTTAAATTTTAGATTTCTCAATTTTTTGGTATTTTAATTTTTCAATATTTAAAAATTTTGATTTTTCGATTTCTCGATTTTTCATTTCAGCTCTTCCGTATTTCAATTTTTCAAGTGTTTCGATTTCTTAATTTCAGATTTTTCGATTTCTCGATTTTTCATTTCAGTTCTTCGATATTTCAATTTTTCAAGTTTTCGAATTTTTCAAGGGTTCGACAAGTAAAAAATTGAAGATTTGAGTATCGAAAATAGGAAAATCGAAAAATATCATTTGAATGTCGACAGTTCGAAAAATTGAATAATCGGAAAATCAAAACATCGAAAATTGAAAAATTTTCCGGTAAGTCGAAAAATCAAAAAATCGAGAAATTGGAAATTCTAAAAAAAATCGAAAAACTGAAGAGTGGATAAATTGAAAAATCGTAAATCGCGAAATCGAAAAGTAAAAAAAATTAAATTCGAATGTGGAAAGATCGAAAAGTCGAAATTCGAAAAACGAAAAGTGGAAATTTTATTGAAAAATCGAAATTGAAAAATGTTTCGGAAAGTTGAAAAATTGAAAAATCTGAACGTGAAACACGAATATAAAAATCGAAAATTCGGGAATTCAAAAAATTGAAAAGTAAAAAAATTGAAAATTCGAATATTGAAAAATCGACTATTAGAAGATCAAATGTCTAAAAGGTTAAAAACTGTTCAATGGTAAAATTGATAAATCGAAAATTGAAAAGCCGAAAAGAGTAAAAAAAAATTAAAATTCGAATGTCGAAAAATCGGAATAACCGAAAATTCGGAAATCGAAAAAGTGGTAACATTGAGAAACGGGAAATTGAAATTCTAAAAGTTGAAAGATTGTAAATTCGGATATCCAAAAACCCAAAATTCGAAAAACAGAAAAATCGAAAATTCGATTAATGTCAATTCGAAAAAATAAAACTTTGAAATATGTATTGAAAAATCCTCCGGAAAGTTGAAAAATTGAAAAATCAGGAAACTGAAAATTCTAAAAGTAAAAAGATTTAAAACTCGGATATGAAAATTGAAAATTTAGGAAATCAAAAAATCGAAAAGTAAAAAAATTGAAAAACAGAAAAATTAAAAAACAAAAAAGCTGGAAAATTGAAAAAATTGAAAAATCTTCCGCAAAGTGGAAACATTGAAAAAAATCTAAAAATTGAAAGATTGAAAATTCGAATATCGAAAAATCGAAAATTCCAAAAACAGAAAAATCGAAAATTCGATTAATTTATTCAAAAAAAAAATCGAAATATTGAAAAAATGGAAAATCGAGAAAATGAAAAATCTTCCAAAAAGTTGAAAAATTGAAAAATCCGGAAACTGAAAATTCTAAAAGTAAAACTCTGATATGAAAATCTAAAATTCAGGAAATCAAAAAATCTAAAAGTAAAAAAAAATGAAAAATCGAAAAACCGAAAATTCGGAAATCAAAAATGGAACTTCGAAAAATTGAAAAATCCAAAATCCAAAAAATTGAAAAAATAGAAAGTGGAAAAATCGAAAAATTGAAACATCCAAAAGTTGAAAGATTGAAAATTCGGATACTGAAAAACCGAAAATTCGGAAATCGAAAACTCGAAAAGTAAAAGAATGGGAAATTCGAATATCGAAAAATGGAAATTCGTAAAATCCGAAAATGGAAAATCGAAAAATCGATAAATCGAAAAAATGGAACAACTTTGCAGAAAGTCGAAAAATCGGGAAATTGAAAAATCTAAAACTTTAAACATTGAAATTTCGGATATCGAAAAATTGAAAATTCGAATATCCAAAAATGGAAATTCGAAAAATTAAACAATCGCAAAGTCGAAAAATCGAAAAGGAACATAATTGAAAATTTGGAAACTCCGAAAATTGAAAAATCGTTAATGGAAAATCGAAAAAATTGAAAAATCCAAAAGTTGAAAGATTGAAAATTCGGTAATAGAAAAATCAAAGTCTCGAAAATCAAACAAATCAAATAAAAATGAAGAAACCGAAAACCCGAAAATTCGGAAATCGAAAAATTGAAAAATGAAAAGCTTAAAATTTGAACATCGAGTCGAAAAATAGAAAAGTCGAGAAATCGTTGGGTCGAAAAAAAAAATGAATATTCAAATGTCGAAAAATTGAAGAATTAAATAACCAAGAAATCGAAAAGTAAAAATTGCAAAAGTAGATTGTGGAAAAATTTTAAAATAGGAACTCAAAAAAGTGAAAAATCGAATATCGAAGAATCGACAAATTAAATAATTTGGAAAACGTAAAATAAAAAAATTGGGAATTCGAATATCGGAAACTCGAAAAATACAAGATGAAATGTCTAAAAACTGTGCAACGATATATAAATCAAAAATCGAAAATTGAAAAACCGAAAAGTAAAAAAATAATGAAAAAACAAAAAATCGAAAAACCAAAAAAAATTAAAAATATTTCGGAAAGTCGAAAAGTTGGAAAATGTAGTTGAAAGATTGAAAATTCTGATATCGAAAAACCGAAAATTCGGAAATACAAACATCGAAAAGAAAAAAAAATGGAAAATTCGAATGTATCGAAAAATGGAAACTCGAAAAATCGAAAATTCGAAACGGAACAATATTAAAAATTTGAAAATTAAAATTGAAAAGTCGGTAAATGGAAAATCAAAAAAATTGATAAATGTAGAAGTTGAAAGACTGAAAATTCCTATATCAATAAACCGAAAATTCGGAGATCGAAAAATCCACAAGGAAAAAAAATGGAAAACTCCAAGATATCGAAAAATGAAAATTCGAAAAATCGAAAATTCGGAAATAGAAAAATTGAAAACTAAAAAAATTGAAAATTCGAATATCCAAAAATGGAAATTCGAAAAATTAAACAATCGCAAAGTCGAAAAGGAACATAATTGAAAATTTGGAAACTCGTAAAATTGAAAAATCGGAAAATGGAAAATCGAAAAAACTGAAAAATCTAAAAGTTGAAAGATTGAAAATTCGGTAATAGAAAAATTGAAGTCTCGAAAAATCAAACTCAGTTTTAATAATTATAGGGAAACTATAATGTCTGAAATCAAAATGGTGATGGAAAACCACGGCATGAGCGTCGATTATCGCCATATCATGTTACTGGCGGCCCAGATGACTCACACCGGGGAAGTTTTGGGAATCACACGCTACGGTCTATCAAAAATGAAACAATCAATCCTCAATCTGGCTTCAGTACGTATTTATTAAGTCACAATTTTGTTACTAACTGTTGTTACAGTTCGAGAAAACGGCGGACCATTTATTCGACGCAGCCTACTACGGACAAACGGACAAGATCAACGGGGTCTCCGAAAACATCATCATGGGCATGCCCGCCCCCATAGGTACCGGGATATTCAAACTCCTGCACAAACCCCTCCACGTGGACGAAAACCCCCAATCAGAACCCCTACTATTTGAAACTGCTATTGCTGAATAAACTATGTATTTAAGAACTTTTACATTAAAATAGAAAATAAATTAAGCTTCTTTTTTCTGTTGTACCAATTCACGTAAGCTATTCGTTGCGTCTTTTAAACTATTTTCTAGATACGTTTTATTGTTTTGTAGAACTTTGATCTTGTCGTCTGATTGGGCTTGCTTCTTCTGCAGGCCGTCTTTCACCTCTTCTATGGGGGTCAACACGAACATGCGGCCCACGGATTCGAAGGTCCTGGTGCCGCTTTCCAGCGCATCGATCTCCCTGTTGAAACGACAGTAAAATCGTGGGGGCTATTCTTATTCGCTTACCTTTCTGTGAATATGGCGTGCTGCTTATTTCGCTTGAGCGTCTCGATTTGTAGATCTGCTATCCGTAACTTCTGAGCTGTGTCTATTTGTTTCTCTTGCAACTCGGCGAAGGCCTGAAATTCAAATCTGTAAACGGGAGCGCCACACACGTGCCGGAAAATTACCTTCTTCAGTTCCATATCCACTTTTGCCATTTTTTTGACCACTTTTTTATTGTTTTTAAGACAATGAGAGCATGTATTCTAAAATAGGAAATTTGGAGCAAAATAGCATTGACAGACAGGGCAATTCTGCAATTTTACATCGAAAAATTGCAGAATTGTTTCTTTTTGTCGATTTTTCAATTTCTCGATTTTTAATTAATCAGGGTTTTCAGGTTTCTATATTACAGTTTTTTGATTTTTCAATTGTTTTTTCAATTGTCCCCTTGTTTAATTTCTCATTTTTTCATTTTTCGATTTTTCAATTTTAAAATTTTTCGATATACAATTTCGGTTTGTATAAATTTGTCCTTTTGTTTAACAATTAAAAAATGAAAAATCGATAATTTGAAAAATATTATATCGAAAACTTGCAAAATTGTTGCGTTTTGTCGTGTTACAGTCATTCGATTTTGCAAAATTTTATTTTGACTAAAATTGCAAATCAAGAAAGTGGAAACCTTAAAATTGAAAAATTTGCAAAATTGTTTCGTTTTTCGATTTTTTGATCTTTCAATTTCGGGATTTTTTATTTTTTTGTTTTTCCAATTTTGCAGTTTTATTTTTAATTTTTCTATGTTTTTACAATGTTTCAATTTTTCGGTGTCTCGATTTTTTGAAATTTTTGGATTTTTCATTTTAAAATTTTTGTATTCTTGTTTCAATGATACAATTTTCCGATTTTCCAATATTTTAGTTTGGATAAATTTGTTCTTTTGCGAAAAATAAAAAAAACACGAAATTGAAAAATTAAAAAACTAAAAGTTTAAAACTCAAAAAATTGTAAAGTCGGAGAACTAACAAAGCGAAAAATGGAATAATTGGAAAATCGTAAAATCGAAAACTGAAGAATCTGTAAAGTTAACAAATCATATTTATTATTCAATCTTTGGATTTTACAATTTCTCAATTTTTCAATTTCTCGTTTTCGGTTTTTCTCTTCAATTTTACGATTTTTAAATAGTTCGATTTTTCAATTTTTGACTTTTTTAAACTCTTTATTTGTCGATTTTTCAATTAATTGATTTTTCAGGTTTTTTGGTTTTTCAATTTTTCTATTTTGATTTTTCAACTTCACTTTTTTGATTCTTCGATTTCTCCATTTTTTAATTTCTCAGTTTTGGGATTTTTCAGTTTACTTGTTATTCAATTTTTCGATCGTACGATTTTGCGAGTTTTTGATTGTTCAATTTTTCGATTTTTTTAAGGTTTCGATATTTCGACTTCACTTTTTTGATTTTTCGATTTCTCAATTTTTCGATTCTTTGGATTCTCAGTTTTTGGATATTTCAGTTTTGGGATTTTTTAGTTTTTCGATTCGTCAGTTTTTCTTTCATTTTTCAGTTTTTCGATATTTCAGTTTTGGGATTTTTCTATATTTCTGTTCTTCGACTTTTCCATTTTTGACTTCTGGATTTGTCGACTTTTTACTTTTTCGATTTTTAAATTTTAGATTTCTCAATTTTTTGGTATTTTAATTTTTCAATATTTAAAAATTTTGATTTTTCGATTTCTCGATTTTTCATTTCAGCTCTTCCGTATTTCAATTTTTCAAGTGTTTCGATTTCTTAATTTCAGATTTTTCGATTTCTCGATTTTTCATTTCAGTTCTTCGATATTTCAATTTTTCAAGTTTTCGAATTTTTCAAGGGTTCGAGAAGTAAAAAATTGAAAATTTGAGTATCGAAAATAGGAAAGTCGAAAAATAACATTTGAATGTCGACAGTTCGAAAAATTGAATAATCGGAAAATCAAAAAATCGAAAATTGAAAAATTTTCCGGTAAGTCGAAAAATCAAAAAATCGAGAAATTGGAAATTCTAAAAAAAATCGAAAAACTGAAGAATGGATAAATTGAAAAACTGAAGAATGGATAAATTGAAAAATCGTAAATCGCGAAATCGAAAAGTAAAAAAAATTAAATTCGAATGTGGAAAGATCGAAAAGCCGAAATTCGAAAAACGAAAAGTGGAAATTTTATTGAAAAATCGAAATTGAAAAATCTTTCGGAAAGCATAAAAATTGAAAAATCTAAACGTGAAACACGAATATAAAAATCGAAAATTCGGGAATTCAAAAAATTGAAAACTAAAAAAATTTAAAATTCGAATATTGAAAAATCGACTATTAGAAGATCAAATGTCTAAAAGGTTAAAAACTGTTCAATGGTAAAATTGATAAATCGAAAATTGAAAAGCCGAAAAGAGTAAAAAAAAATTAAAATTCGAATGTCGAAAAATCGGAATAACCGAAAATTCGGAAATCGAAAAATGAAAAAAATCGAAAAAGTGGTAACATTGAGAAACGGGAAATTGAAAATCTAAAAGTTGAAAGATTGAAAATTCGGATATCCAAAAACCCAAAATTCGAAAAACAGAAAAATCGAAAATTCGATTAATGTAAATTCGAAAAAATAAAACTTTGAAATATGTATTGAAAAATCCTCCGGAAAGTTGAAAAATTGAAAAATCAGGAAACTGAAAATTCTGAAAGTAAAAAGATTTAAAACTCGGATATGAAAATTGAAAATTTAGGAAATCAAAAAATCGAAAAGTAAAAAAATTGAAAAACTGAAAATTTAAAAAATAATAAAGCTGGAAAATTGAAAAAATTGAAAAATCTTCCGCAAAGTGGAAACATTGAAAAAAATCTAAAAATTGAAATATTGAAAATTCGAATATCGAAAAATCGAAAATTCCAAAAACAGAAAAATCGAAAATTCGATTAATTTATTCAAAAAAAAAAAAATCGAAATATTGAAAAAATGGAAAATCGAGAAAATGAAAAATCTTCCAAAAAGTTGAAAAATTGAAAAATCCGGAAACTGATAATTCTAAAAGTAAAACTCTGATATGAAAATCTAAAATTCAGGAAATCAAAAAATCTAAAAGTAAAAAAAATGAAAAATCGAAAAACCGAAAATTCGGAAATCAAAAATGGAACTTCGAAAAATTGAAAAATCCAAAATCCGAAAAATTGAAAAAATAGAAAGTGGAAAAATCGAAAAATTGAAACATCCAAAAGTTGAAAGATTGAAAATTCGGATACTGAAAAACCGAAAATGCGAAAATCGAAAACTCGAAAATTCCAAAAACAGAAAAATCGAAAATTCGATTAATTTATTCAAAAAAAAAAAAATTCGAAATATTGAAAAAATGGAAAATCGAGAAAATGAAAAGCTCAAAATTTGAACATCGAAAAATCGGAGTCGAAAAATAGAAAAGTCGAGAAATCGTTGGGTCGAAAAAAAAATGAAAATTCAAATATCGAAAAATTGAAGAATGAAAAATAACTAAGAAATCGAAAGCGAAAAGTCGATTGTGGAAAAATTTTAAAATGGGAATTCAAAAAACTGAAAAATTGAAAATTCGCAGACGAAAAATAGAAAATCAAAAAATCGATAAATCGAAAAGAAAAAAAAACTGAAAATTCGAATATCGATGAATCGACAAATTAAATAATTTGGAAAACGAAAAATAAAAAAATTGGGAATTCGAATAACGGAAACTCGAAAAATACAAGATGAAATGTCTAAAAACTGTGCAATGATAAATAAATCAAAAATCGAAAATTGAAAAACCGAAAAGTAAAAAAAATAATAAAAAACAAAAAATCGAAAAACGAAAAAATTTAAAAATATTTCGGAAAGTCGAAGAGTTGGAAAATGTAGTTGAAAGATTGAAAATTCTGATATCGAAAAACCGAAAATTCGGAAATACAAACATCGAAAAGAAAAAAAATGGAAAATTCGAATGTATCGAAAAATGGAAATTCGAAAAATCGAAAATTCGAAACGGAACAATATTAAAAATTTGAAAACTAAAATTGAAAAGTCGGTAAATGGAAAATCGAAAAATCGGTAAATCGAAAAAATGGAACAACTTAACGGAAAGTCGAAAAATCGGGAAATTGAAAAATCTAAAACTTCAAACATTGAAATTTCGGATATCGAAAAATTGAAAATTCCAATATCCAAAAATGGAAATTCGAAAAATTAAACAATCGCAAAGTCGAAAAATCGAAAAGGAACATAATTGAAAATTTGGAAACTCCTAAAATTGAAAAATTGGAAAATGGAAAATCGAAAAAATTGAAAAATCTAAAAGTTGAAAAATTGAAAATTCGGTAATAGAAACATCGAAGTCTCGAAAACTCAAACAAATCGAATAAAAATGAAAACCCGAAAATTCGGAAATCGAAAAATTGAAAAATGAAAAGCTCAAAATTTGAACATCGAAAAATCGGAGTCGAAAAATAGAAAAGTCGAGAAATCGTTAGGTCGAAAAAAAAATTAAAATTCAAATAGTGAAAAATTGAAGAATTAAATAACCAAGAAATCGAAAAATCGAAAAGCAAAAATGCGAAAAGTCGATTGTGGAAAAATTTTAAAATGGAAACTCAAAAAACTGAAAAATCGAAAATTCGCAGACGAAAAATGGAAAATCAAAAAATCGATGAATCGAAAAGAAAAAAAACTGAAAATTCGAATATCGAAGAATCGACAAATTAAATAATTTGGAAAACGAAAAATAAAAAAATTAAGAATTTGAATATCGGAAACTCGAAAAATACAAGATGAAATGTCTAAAAACTGTGCAATGATAAATAAATCGAAAATTGAAAAACCGAAAAGAAAAAAAAATAATGAAAAACAAAAAATCGAAAAACGAAAAAATTTAAAAATATTTCGGAAAGTCGAAGAGTTGGAAAATGTAGTTGAAAGATTGAAAATTCTGATATCGAAAAACCGAAAATTCGGAAATACAAATATCGAAAAGAAAAAAATGGAAAATTCGAATGTATCGAAAAATGGAAATTCGAAACGGAACAATATTAAAAATTTGAAAACTAAAATTGAAAAGTCGGTAAATGGAAAATCGAAAAAATTGATAAATGTAGAAGTTGAAAGATTGAAAATTCCTATGTCAAAAGACCGAAAACTCGGAAATCGAAAAATCCAAAAGAAAAAAAATGGAAAACTCCAAGATATCGAAAAATGGAAATTCGAAAAATAGAAAATTCGGAAATAGAAAAATAGAAATTCGCAAAGTCGAAAAATCTAAAAGGAAAAACTCCGAAAATTGAAAAATCGGAAAATGGAAAATCAAAAAGATTGAAAAAGTTGAAAGATTGAAAATTCGGTAATAGAAAAATCGAAGTCTCGAAAAATCAAACAAATCGAATAAAAATGAAAAAACCGAAAACCCGAAAATTCGGAAATCGAAAAATTGAAAAATGAAAAGCTCAAAATTTGAACATCGAAAAATCGGAGTCGAAAAATAGAAAAGTCGAGAAATCGTTGGGTCGAAAAAAAAATGAAAATTCAAATATCGAAAAATTGAAGAATGAAAAATAACTAAGAAATCGAAAGCGAAAAGTCGATTGTGGAAAAATTTTAAAATGGGAATTCAAAAAACTGATAAATTGAAAATTCGCAGACGAAAAACAGAAAATCAAAAAATCGATAAATCCAAAAGAAAAAAAAACTGAAAATTCGAATATCGAAGAATCCACAAATTAAATAATTTGGAAAACGAAAAATTAAAAAATTGGGAATTCGAATATCGGAAACTCGAAAAATACAAGATGAAATGTCTAAAAACTGTGCAATGATGAATAAATCAAAAATCGAAAATTGAAAAACCGAAAAGTAAAAAAATAATGAAAAAACAAAAAATCGGAAAACGAAAAAATTTAAAAATATTTCGGAAAGTCGAAGAGTTGGAAAATGTAGTTGAAAGATTGAAAATTCTGATATCGAAAAACCGAAAATTCGGAAATACAAACATCGAAAGGAAAAAAAAATGGAAAATTCGAATGTATCGAAAAATGGAAACTCGAAAAATCGAAAATTCGAAACGGAACAATATTAAAAATTTGAAAACTAAAATTGAAAAGTCGGTAAATGGAAAATCGAAAAATCGGTAAATCGAAAAAATGGAACAACTTTGCGGAAAGTCGAAAAATCGGGAAATTGAAAAATCTAAAACTTTAAACATTGAAATTTCGGATATCGAAAAATTGAAAATTCGAATAACCAAAAATGGAAATTCGAAAAATTAAACAATCGCAAAGTCGAAAAATCCAAAAGGAACATAATTGAAAATTTGGAAACTCCGAAAATTGAAAAATCGTTAATGGAAAATCGAAAAAATTGAAAAATCCAAAAGTTGAAAGATTGAAAATTCGGTAATAGAAAAATCGAAGTCTCGAAAACTCAAACAAATCGAATAAAAATGAAAACCCGAAAATTCGGAAATCGAAAAATTTAAAAATGAAAAGCTCAAAATTTGAACATCGAAAAATCGGAGTCGAAAAATAGAAAAGTCGAGAAATCGTTGTAAAAAAAAAAAATTAAAATTCAAATATCGAAAAATTGAAGAATTAAATAAGCAAGAAATCGAAAAGTAAAAATTGCAAAAGTTGATTGTGGAAAAATTTTAAAATAGAAACTCAAAAAACTGAAAAATCGAATATCGAAGAATCGACAAATTAAATAATTTGGAAAACGAAAAATTAAAAAATTGGGAATTCGAATATCGGAAACTCGAAAAATACAAGATGAAATGTCTAAAAACTGTGCAATGATAAATAAATCAAAAATTGAAAAACCGAAAAGTAAAAAAATTATGAAAAAACAAAAAATCGAAAAACGAAAAAAATTAAAAATATTTCGGAAAGTCGAAAAGTTGGAAAATGTAGTTGAAAGATTGAAAATTCTGATATCGAAAAACCGAAAATTCGGAAATACAAACATCGAAAAGAAAAAAAAATGGAAAATTCGAATGTATCGAAAAATGGAAACTCGAAAAATCGAAAATTCGAAACGGAACAATATTAAAAATTTGAAAACTAAAATTGAAAAGTCGGTAAATGGAAAATCAAAAAAATTGATAAATGTAGAAGTTGAAAGACTGAAAATTCCTATATCAAAAAACCGAAAATTCGGAGATCGAAAAATCCAAAAGGAAAAAAAAATGGAAAACTCCAAGATATCGAAAAAAAGAAATTCGAAAAATCGAAAATTTGGAAATAGAAAAATTGAAAATTAAAAAATTGAAAATTCGAATATCCAAAAATGGAAATTCGAAAAATTAAACAATCGCAAATTCGAAAAGGAACATAATTGAAAATTTGGAAACTCGTAAAATTGAAAAATCGGAAAATGGAAAATCGAAAAAATTGAAAAATCTAAAAGTTGAAAGATTGAAAATTCGGTAATAGAAAAATTGAAGTCTCGAAAAATCAAACTCAGTTTTAATAATTATAGGGAAACTATAATGTCTGAAATCAAAATGGTGATGGAAAACCACGGCATGAGCGTCGATTATCGCCATATCATGTTACTGGCGGCCCAGATGACTCACACTGGGGAAGTTTTGGGAATCACACGCTACGGTCTCTCAAAAATGAAACAATCAATCCTCAATCTGGCTTCAGTACGTATTTATTAAGTCACAATTTTGTTACTAACTGTTCGTTACAGTTCGAGAAAACGGCGGACCATTTATTCGACGCAGCCTACTACGGACAAACGGACAAGATCAACGGGGTCTCCGAAAACATCATCATGGGCATGCCCGCCCCCATTGGTACCGAGATATTCAAACTCCTGCACAAACCCCTCCACGTGGACGAAAACCCCCAATCAGAACCCCTACTATTTGAAACTGCTATTGCTGAATAAACTATGTATTTAAGAACTTTTACATTAAAATAGAAAATAAATTAAGCTTCTTTTTTCTGTTGTACCAATTCACGTAAGCTATTCGTTGCGTCTTTTAAACTATTTTCTAGATACGTTTTATTGTTTTGTAGAACTTTGATCTTGTCGTCTGATTGGGCTTGCTTCTTCTGCAGGCCGTCTTTCACCTCTTCTATGGGGGTCAACACGAACATGCGGCCCACGGATTCGAAGGTCCTGGTGCCGCTTTCCAGCGCATCGATCTCCCTGTTGAAACGACAGTAAAATCGTGGGGGCTACTCTTATCCACTTACCTCTCTGTGAATATGGCGTGCTGCTTATTTCGTTTGAGCGTCTCGATTTGTAGATCTGCTATCCGTAACTTCTGAGCTGTGTCTATTTGTTTCTCTTGCAACTCGGCGAAGGCCTGAAATTCAAATCTGTAAGCGGGAGCGCCACACACGTGCCGGAAAATTACCTTCTTCAGTTCCATATCCACTTTTGCCATTTTTTTGACCACTTTTTTATTGTTTTTAAGGCAATGAGAGCATGTATTCTAAAATAGGAAATTTGGAGCAAAATAGCATTGACAGACAGGGCAGCCAATCTCGTCGATTTCAAACGAACTTTATCAAATTTTTTCGAAAACGATTATAGCGTCAATTTTGGATAAATTCATTCCTGTGGTGACAAAAATCCGTGCAAATTTTTCTGCAGTTGCAAAAACGTATCCAAAATTGCTACAATCGTCGAAATAATCGATGGCTTGGTGATTTTCGCTTTTCGGTGTTGGCCACTCCGGCTCCCTTCTTTTCCTCATGGCTGGTCGTGCTGGCGGCCCATAATTTCTCTGTTTTGCAGAAAAATAAATCATTGGTGAGTAAATAAAGCCCGAATTTAGTCACACACACTCACACTGAGTTACCACCAAACCACCCTCACTTGTAGTACTCATTTTCGTCCACATTTTTAGGTTAGGTGTCATTGAAAGTGAACATATTGTAAGACATGTCGCGCCGAAGAGCGACCGAAGAAACCGACAAACTCACACGTATTGCGATCGTAAACGCCGACAAATGCAAGCCGAAGCGATGCCGCCAAGAGTGCAAGAAATCCTGTCCCGTTGTCAGGATGGGGAAACTGTGCATCGAGGTGACCCCCAACAGCAAAATGGCAGCGATTTCCGAAGAACTCTGCATCGGGTGCGGTATTTGCGTCAAGGTACGACTTCCTCACACCCACTTGTTTAACACTAACGCGCCCGTTTATCCAGAAATGCCCGTTTGAGGCCATCACCATCATCAACCTCCCTAGTAACCTGGAACGGGACACCACTCACCGCTACGGCAAGAACTCGTTCAAGCTGCACAGGTTGCCGATTCCGCGCCCTGGAGAAGTCTTGGGGTTAGTCGGGACCAATGGTATTGGCAAATCCACGGCGCTGAAGATCTTAGCCGGGAAGCAGAAGCCCAATTTGGGGCGCTATTCCGATCCTCCGGACTGGACGGAGATTTTGAGCCATTTCCGGGGGTCCGAGTTGCAGAATTACTTTACTAAGATATTGGAGGATGATTTGAGGGCGTTGATTAAGCCGCAGTACGTGGATCAGATACCTAAGGCTGTTACAGGGACGGTGGGGCAGCTTTTGGATAAGAAAAATATGCTGAATAATCAAGAGGAGATTTGTGAAATGTTGGACTTGACGCATATAAGGGAGAGGGCGATCGATGCGCTGTCCGGGGGAGAGTTGCAGCGGTTCGCTTGTGCCATGGTGTGCATTCAGAATGGTGACATTTTTATGTTTGATGAGCCGTCGTCGTATTTAGATGTTAAGCAGCGGCTTAATGCTGCCCAGACTATTCGGTCCCTGTTGCATCCAGAGAAGTAAGTAGTTTTAACACTTTTCAACTTTCATTTTCTTTATTAAGATCATTAAAAAAAAAGGTCAAGTTGACTTTGAAATTTGGTCAATTTGCCGCTTCGTTGCGATGATGACCACTCGTCGCCTGTCATAAATGTGCAGAGTGTACATAGGGAGTTATTTCGGGTTAGAGAAATATGTTTTTCGCACGGAATGTACCGTTAAATTGGCTAGAGCGCAGCCTGTCATTATGAAATTATAGGTTATGTCAGCTGATCTTAATTTTTGTTCGTCTGACTCATTATCAGATGATTCCATTAATTATTTATTGTAATCGACATTAGAGTACGAAAAAATAGTTGTTTATGAATCTGTGTTAGATATGGATAACAATTTTTCGATTTGTCAATTTTTGGATGTTTCAGCGTTACGATTTTTCAATTTCCCAATTTCTCGACAAGTGGCATTTTTGATTTTTCCATTTGTCGATTTCTCAACTTTTCAAATGTTTCGATTTTTCGATTTATGAAATTTTCCACTTTTCGATTTCTCGATTTTTTGCCTTTTCCAATTTTCAATTTTCCGATGTTTCGATAGTTCCATTTCTTATTTTTTCATTTCAGTTGTAGAATTTTCAATTTCTCGATTGCAAGTTTTTCAATTCTTCAATTTTTCGAATTTTTAAATTTTCGATTTCTCAATTTTCCAACGAATCGATTTTTTGAGTTTCCCATTTGGCGATTTCTGGACTTTTCAAATGTTTCAATTTTTCGGCTTTTGATTTTTCGACTTCTGGCTTTCAGGTTTTTATTTTTTCTTATTTTTCGATGTTTCGATAATTCCATTTCTTATTTTTTTCATTCCAATTTTAGAACTTTTAATTTCTCGATTGGAAGTTTTTCAGTTCTTCAATTTTTCGATTTCTCGATTTTCCAACGAATCGATTTTTTAAATTTCCCGTTTGTCGATTTCTGGTCTTTTCGATGTTTAAATTTTTCAGGCTTTCGATTTTTTAGTTTTTCGACTTTTCAATTTCTCGGTTTTTCAATTTTTGGATATTCCCATTTGTCGATTTCTCCACTTTTCAAGTGTTTCAATTTTTCGATTTATTAAATTTTCGATTTTTCGCCTTTTCGAATTTTCCATTTTTCGATATTTCCATTTTTTATTTTTTCATTTCAGTTTTAGAATTTTTCAATTTCTCGATTGTAAGTTTTTCAATTCTTCAATTATCCGGTTTTTTGATATTTGATTTTTAGATTTTTGAACTTTTCAATTTTTTGATTTTTCCATTTGCCGATTTCTAGACTTTTCAATGTTTCAATTTTTCAGGTTTTTGATTTTTCAGTTTTTCGATTTATTAAATTTTCGAATTTTCGATTTTCCAATTTTTCAATATGTCGATTTTTCGATTTTTTATGTTTTGGTCATTTCAGTTTTAGAATTTTTCAATTTTTCAAATTTTTAAATTTTCGATTTTTCAATCTTCAATTTTTCCATTTTTTTATTTTCCCACTTGGCGATTTCTTGACTTTTCAATGTTTCAATTTTTCAGGTTTTTGATTTTTCAGTTTTTCGATTTATTAAACTTTCGACTTTTCGATTTTTCAATTTCTGGATGTATCGATTTTTCAATTTCTTATTTTTTGGTCATTTCAGTTTTAGAATTTTTCAATTTCTCAATTATAATTTTTCAATTCTTAATTTTTGGATTTTTGAATTTTTAAATTTTCGATTTTTCAATATTTGATTTTCAGATTTTTAAAATAGCTCGATTTTTTTATTCTCCCATTTATCGATTTCTCGACTTTTCAAATGTTTCAATTTTTCAGTTTTTCCTTTTTTGCAGACTTTTGATTTTTCAATTTTTCTGTTTATTAAATTTTCGATTTCTCAATTTTTCGAATTTTCGATTTTCCAATTTTTTGATATTTCGATTTCTTATTTTTTCATTTCAGTTTTATAATTTTTCAATTTTTCTATTGCAAGTTTTTGAATTCTTTAATTTTCCGATTTCTCAAATTTTTAGTATGTCTAAATTTTCGATTTCTCGGTTTTTTGTTTTTTCAATGTTTCAATTTTTCAGGCTTTTGATATTTCAATTTTTCAATTATTAAATTTTCATTTCAGTTTTTGAATTTTTCAATTTTTCGGTTGTAAATTTTTCTTTCAATTGTTCAATTTTCCGATGTTTCAGTTTTTCGAATTTTTAAATTTTCGATTTTCTAGTTTTTCGATTTTTCAATCCTTGATTTTTAGATTTTTGAATTTTTCGATTTTTTGACGTTTCAATTTTTCTATTTCTGATTTCTCATTTCAATATTTTAATTTTTTAGGCTTTTGATTTTTCATTTTTGATGTATCAAATTTTCGATTTCTCGATTTTCCGGCTTTTCAAATTTTTGATTTTCCAATTTTTCGATGTTTCGATTTCTTATTTTTTGGTCATTTCAGGTTTAGAATTTTTGAATTTCTCGTTTGTAAGTTATCCAATTCTTCAATTCCCCCCGACTTTTCAATTTTTCGAATTTTTAAATTTTAGATTTTTCAATCTTTGATTTTTAGATTTTTAAAATTTTTCAATTTTCCGATTTTTTGAATTTCCCATTTGTCGATTTCTGGACTTTTCGATGTTTAAATTTTTCAGGCTTTTGATTTTTCAGTTTTTTCATTTATTAAATTTTAGACTTTTCGATTTCTCGATTATTCGGCTTTTCGATTTTTTAATTTTTCGATTTTTCGGTTTTTTGATTTACCCATTTGTCGATTTCTCGACTTTTCAATGTTTCAGTTTTTCAAATTTTCAGGCTTTTAATTTTTCAATTTTTCGATTTCGATTTCTAGATGTTTCGAATTTTCGATTTCTTATTTTTTCTTTTCCGTTTTGGAATTTTTAAATTTTTCGATGAAAGTTTTTTCAATTATTCAATTTTCCAATGTTTCAATTTTTCAAATTTTTAAATGTTTAATTTTTCGATTTATTAAAATTTCGATTTTTCGTATTTTCGAATTTTGAATTTCCCAATTTTTCAATTTTTCAATCTTTGCTTTTAGATTTTTGATTTTCACATTTCTGGATTTCTCGATTTTTCAGTGTTTCAATTTTTCAAGTTTTCGACTTTTCGATTTCCCGAATTTTCGATTTTCCAGTTATTCGATGTCTTATTTTTTCAGTTCTTCAATTGTCCGATTTTTCAATTTTTCGAATTTTTAAATTTTCGATTTCTCGGTTTTTTTGATTTTTCAATCTTTGATTTTTAGATTTTTAAAAATTTTAATTTTTAGATTTTTTGATTTTCCCCTTTGTCGATTTCTCGGCTTCAACGCTTCGATTTTCCAGGCTTTGGTTTTTCGATTTTTATTTATTAAATTTTCGATTTTTCGGATTTTCGAATTTTCGATTTTCCAATTTTCCAATTTTTCGATTTCCAAGTTTTTCGATTTTCCAATCCCTGATTTTTAGATTTTTGGATTTTTGAATTTTTCAGGCTTTGGATTTTTCAATTTTTCGATTTATTAAAATTTCGATATTTCGGATTTTCGAATTTTCGATGTTTCAATTTTTTTCAATTTTTCAAATTTTTAAATTTTCGATTTCCCAGTTTTTCGATTTTTCAATTTTCCATTTTTGGATTTTTAATATTCCTATTTTTGGATATCTCGACTTCTCCATGTTTCAATTTTCCAGGGTTTTGATTTTTCAATTTTTCGATTTCCCGGTTTTTCGGCTTTTCGAATTTTCGATTTTCCAATTTTTCGAGTTCAAATTTTTTCATTTCAGTTTTAGAATTTTTAAATTTTCCGATTTTTAAATTTTCGATTTATCAGTTTTTTATAGGCTTTTGATTTTTCAATTTTTCGATTTATTAAATTTTCGACTTTCCGATTTCTCTATTTTTCGACTTCTTATTTTTTCATCATTTCAGTTTTAGAATTTTTCAATTTTTCAAATTTTTCGATTTTCGATTTCTCAATTTTTCGATTTTTAATCTGAGTTTCAGGTTTTTGAATTTTTAGAGTTTTAGATTTCTCGATTTTTCCGTTTTGCAACATTTCAGTTTTGGAAATTTTTCAATAAAAAAATTTCGACTTCGGTTTTTCATTTTTCGATTTTTAAAATTTTTGATTTTTCGAATTTTCAATTTTTCGATTTCTCAATTTATCGTTATTCCAATGTTTCAGTTTTTGATTATTCGATTTCTCAATTTTTTTTGATTTTTCAATCTTTGATTTTTAGATTTTTAAAAATTTTTAGTTTTTCGATTTTTTGATTTTCCCGTTTGTCGATTTCTCGGCTTCAAAGCTTCAATTTTTCAGGCTTTTGATTTTTCGATTGAAATTTTTTCTTTCAATTCTTTAATTTTCCGATGTTTTAAATTTTCGATTTCTTAGTTTTCCGATTTTTCAATCCTTGATTTTTAGATTTTTGAATTTTTCGATTTCTTAATTTCTCATTTTAATGTTTAAATTTTTCAAGCTTTTGATTTTTCAATTTTTCGATTGTAAGTTTTCCTTTCAATTCTTTAATTTTCCGATATTTCAGTTTTTTTCAATTTTTCGAATTTTTAAATTTTCGATTTCCCAGTTTTTCGATTTTTCAATCTTTGATTTTTAGATTTTTGATATTCTTATTTCTGGAGTTCTCGACTTCCATGTTTCAATTTTTCAGGTTTTCGATTTTTCAATTTTTCGATTTCCTGATTTTTCAATTTTTCGCATTTTTAAATTGTCGAATTCTCCTCGGTTTTTCGTTTTTTCAATCTTTGATTTTTAGATTTTTGCCTTCTTAAATTTTTGGATTTTTCGATGTTTCAATTTTTCGATTTTTCAATCACTCCACGAATCGATTTTTTGATTTTCTCATCTCTGGATTTCTCAAAAACTTTTCAATGTTTCAATTTTTCAGGTTTTTGATTTTTCAATTTTTCGATTTATTAAATTTTCGACTTTTCGATATCTTGATTTTTCGGCTTTCGAATTCTCGATTTTCCAATTTTTCGATTTTTCTGTTTCGTATTTTTTCATTTCAGTTTTAAAATTTTTAAATTTTCCGATTTTTCAATTTTTCGATTTATTAAATTTTCGACTTTTCGTTATCTCGATTTTTCGGCTTTTCGAATTGTCGATTTTCCGATTTCTCGATTTTTCGATTTTTTTAATCTTTGAGTTTCAGGTTTTTGAATTTTTCGATTTTTAGATTTCTCGATTTTTCCGTTTAAGTAAATAAATAAAGTAAGTAAATAAAGTAAATTTTCAATTTTCTTGATTGTTTAATTTTTCAATTTTATAATGTGTCGATTGCTCGATATTCCGATGTTTCGACTTCGGTTTTTCATTTTTCGATTTTTAACATTTTAGATTTTTCGAATTTTCAGTTTTTCGATTTTTCTCGTTGGTTATCTGCACTTCAGGCGCGGGGGAAGTTCTGTCGAAATAACCTTCGACCAATTTTTTGATAATCGTAAATGAGTAGAAAAGTGGTTGCGCGGAATAAAAATAAAATTTTGTATCCGGAGAGTTCTTGTATTTTTTAAATTCTAGCTTTGACGTTTATTTTCTTTATAAAGATCATACGTCAAGTTGGCTTTGAAATTTAATCAATTTGCCGCTTCGTTGTGATGATGACCACTCGTCGCCTGTCATAAATGTTAATCATAACCTAACTTTTTCGATATTTTTGTTGTGTAATAGATAGGCAACCAATAATTCATCTTCTTTTTTTTTTCTAGATTCATAATTGTTGTGGAGCACGATTTGAGTGTTTTGGATTATTTATCCGATTTTATTTGTTGTCTGTATGGAGTCCCTGGAGCTTACGGCGTCGTAACCATGCCGTTCTCCGTACGTGAAGGTAAAAAAATAAACCCTTGGAAGGAACATGGAAAAAAATTATATAATTCCAGGAATTAACATATTCCTGGACGGCTTCGTCCCCACCGAAAATCTCCGTTTCCGCGACGAATCCCTCGTGTTCAAAGTGGCCGAATCGGCCACCGAAGAAGAAATCAAACGCATGAACCACTACGAGTACCCGTCGATGACCAAGACGATGGGCAACTTCCAGCTGCACGTGGTCCAAGGCCAGTTTTCCGACTCGGAAATCCTGGTCCTGCTGGGCGAAAACGGGACCGGTAAAACCACGTTCATTCGCATGCTGGCCGGGAATCTCCAGGCGGACGACGGCTCCGGGGAACTACCGCAGCTCCACATAAGCTACAAGCCGCAGAAGATCAGCCCGAGGTCTCAGGGATTAGTCCGGCAGCTGCTGCACGAGAAAATCCGAGACGCTTACATCCACCCCCAGGTAAATAATTCGTGGCGCAGTGGACGTAAAGCAACTGGACGAGTCCATTTACGAATTTTCTATTTCAGTTCATGGCCGACGTGACCAAGCCTTTGAAGATCGACGACATCATCGACCAGGAGGTCCAGAATCTATCCGGGGGTGAACTCCAACGTGTAGCTCTCGCTCTATGTCTAGGAAAACCCGCAGACGTGTACCTCATCGACGAACCTAGTGCCTACTTAGATTCCGAGCAGCGTCTGATGGCTGCCAAAGTAATCAAAAGGTGTGTTTCCACTTTGTTCACTCGAAATTACAATTAAAAAATGCGGTTTTAGATTTATTCTGCACGCTAAGAAAACGGGTTTCGTGGTGGAGCACGACTTCATCATGGCCACGTACCTCGCGGACCGCGTCATCGTGTTCGAGGGCACGCCGTCGGTGAAGACGACGGCCAACTCGCCGCAGACGCTCCTGGCGGGAATGAACCGCTTCCTGGAGCTGTTGGGGATCACGTTCAGGAGAGACCCCAACAACTTCAGACCGAGGATAAACAAGCAGGAGTCGGTGAAGGACGTGGAGCAGAAGCGGTCCGGGCAGTATTTCTTCTTGGAGGATTGAAATGTTTGTTGTTTATTGTAACGGGTGTATGATCGTGGTGCCCAGTGGCAAGGTTCTGATTTTATAAACAAATAATATAATGTATGTGGAAGGATAATAAACGGATTATTATCACTGCGTTGGTTATTTTTGCGGCTTGAGTCACGGGATGAGTGTTTGTGTTACTGACATGGATTAGGAGAGGAAAAGTTCGCAGATGTGATGGAATGTTTGAGCGGCCTTGGTGTGAATGGTGGAGAGAATTTTAATTGGGTTGAAGAGGTCGACGTGGAAAGTGTTCATTGACTGGGTTTTTTGTTTGGTTAATTTTAATTTTACGGGATTGCTGCAGGCTGGAACTGTAACCTTCTGCGTTTGTTACGGTGGCATTGAACGGTGTTGAGTAATAGTTTTTTAATTTTTGCGTAATTTACGATGAGTAAGGCATAGTTTCCGTGGTTCCGAAAATTGCCGGTACCCGTATCACTGTTTAAATATATAAAACGTAGATAAGTTTTTAGTGGTCGTAAAAGAAATTTCGCAAGAAGTACGTTTGTAAAATTGTTGGTTTGTTTTGCGTATTTTATTTCCGGTGGTACGCGAACTGGAAAAAAGGCGATTTAATTTTAGTTTTAACGCCGAGTGTCGCCGACTAGTCGGCGTGACCTTCATGTGACGCCACATATGATAAAAAAGTCCTCTAGAAAGCTCTGAAATTTAATGTTAATGAAATTATGTTGGCAACACCACTGCGCTCCTTTCAGTTTGACAGTCACTGCAGTCAAGTGCAATGCCAACATTATTTTAAAAACAAATTCCATGACCTACTTGAGGTAAAGGATTTCTCATTCTCGGGTACAGAAAAATTAATGAAATCCTTTTAGGTTTGATGGTTTCAAACACTTTAAAATATACGTTAGTAAAATTGACAATCAAAGAGCTTCCGCTACTTTATATTATGAGTTTCAGTTTGACAGTCACTATCAAAATCAAATAAGTGTCAAACAGGTGCAATACCAACATCATTATTTTAAAAATAAATTCCATGGCCTACTAGAGGTAAAGTATCTCTCATTCTCAGGTACAGAAAACTTATTAATGAAATCCTTTTAAGTTTGATGGTTTCAAACACTTTAAAATAGACTTTAATAAAATTGACAAAGAACTTTCGCGACTTTATGAGAATATCAAATACCAAAAACTGTCACGATGTCGTTGCCAAAAACTTTTTAAACCGAATGGAAGTTAGCTATTGAAGTTCACGTTCGCCCGGCGAACTATTTTTATTTTCAATATTTATGACATTAAGGTTTTTCGCAAGGTATATTTATTTCAGATGTGATCTGCTGATCACTGAACTAATCCAGATCTAAGTGGCATATTGTTTTGGTTTTTAACGAAGTTGGCATGTCTAATCAGACAACCAAGGTCAAGTTTACATAATCATTGTAATATAAACAGTTTTAAAAGATTAAAGAAAACCAATGAAAATAATAAACAGTCTCGCGTTTAGGAGCTTATTTGACAGTAAGGATCCATTGTATGATTTTGAGATGATCTCATCAATAAGTCTATAAATCAGCCGTCCATTTCCAAGAAAAATTCGCAATGCAATAGATATAATGTAACCACATAACCTCAACAACAAATAACTTGCATATAGAAATATTCTTCATTGAAAAAATTAATAATGCAAAAATGATTGCTTAAATGTTGTGCAAAAAAATTTTCATGTTGGTACAACTTACGAAAGCACTGATGACGTCATAACTGTGAAAAATACCCAAAAATCTGAAAATTGTTGTCTAAATAGTGCCACATCTGATTTTGTTTTAAATTTTAGATTCTACCGTTTTTCAAAATTGAATTCAATTCCCATTTTATAGTAAATAAAATAAGCCAGTGAAATGGAGAAAAGAGATGGGGGGGGGGGTTGGGTTTAGTTTTTTCTACACCCCTTCTTCATTCTGGTGACTACTCTTGATATTGTTCAGTCTTATCGTAGCAAATACTAGCCCCGCCCACCCGCCCTTCATTTTCATGGAAGGTACATTATTGGCCAAGATCAGTTCCATCTGTACAAATACTAGCCCCACCCACCCGCCCTTTATTTTTTTACACGGTATATCATTTGCCAAAATCAGTCCTGTCTTAGGAAGTACGAGCCCCGCCCACCCGCCCTTTATTTTCTTAGAGTCTAAGGCGGGTGGACGGGGTTAGTATTTGTAAAGATAAGACTGATTTTGACAAATGATATACCCACCATGAAAACAGAGGGCGGGGCTAATACTTCCTAAGATACGACTGATTTTGGCAAATCATATACCCTCGAAACAAATAAAGGGCAGGTGGGTGGGGCTAGTGTTTGTAAAGACTCGACTGATTTTGGCCAATGATATGCCCACCATGAAAGCGAAGGGCGGGTGGGCGGGGCTAATATTTCCTAAGATACGACTGATTTTGGCAAATCATATACCTTCAAAGCAAATAATGGGCTGGTGAGTGGGGCTAGTATTTGTAAAGATACGACTGATTTTGGCAAATCATATACCCTCGAAACAAATAAAGGGCAGGTGGGTGGGGCTAGTATTTGTAAAGACTCGACTGATTTTGGCCAATGATATGCCCACCATGAAAGCGAAGGGCGGGTGGGCGGGGCTAATATTTCCTAAGATACGACTGATTTTGGCAAATCATATACCTTCAAAGCAAATAATGGGCTGGTGGGTGGGGCTAGTATTTGTAAAGACACGACTGATTTTGGCCAATGATATGCCCACCATGAAAGCGGAGGGCGGGTGGGCGGGGCTAATATTTCCTAAGATACGACTGATTTTGGCAAATCATATACCCTCAAAGCAAATAATGGGCGGGTGGGTGGGGCTAGTATTTGTAAAGAATCGACTGATTTTGGCAAATCATATACCCCTAAAGCAAATAAAGGGCGGGTGGGTGGGGCTAGTATTTGTAAAGATATGACTCACTTTGGCAAATCATATACCCCTAAAGCAAATAAAGGGCGGGTGGGTGAGGCTAGTATTTGTAAAGATACGACTGATTTTGGCAAATCATATACCCCTAAAGCAAATAAAGGGCGGATGGGTGGGGCTAATATTTCCTAAGACACGATTGATTTTGGCATATCATATACCCTCAAAGCAAATAAAGGGCGGGTGGGTGGGGCTAGTATTTGTAAAGACACGACTGATTTTGGCCAATGATATGCCCACCATGAAAGCGGAGGGTGGGTGGGCGGGGCTAATATTTCCTAAGATACGATTGATTTTGACAAATCATATACCCTCAAAGCAAATAATGGGCGGGTGGGTGGGGCTAGTATTTGTAAAGGTACGACTGATTTTGGCAAATCATATACCCCTAAAGCAAATAAAGGGCGGGTGGGTGGAGCTAGTATTTGTAAAGAGAAGACTGATTTTGGCCAATAATATACCCACCACGAAAACGGAGGGCGGGTGGGTGGGGCTAGTATGCGCTAAGGTAAGACTAAACAATATCAAGAGTAGTCACTAGAATGAAGAAGGGGTGTAGAAAAAACTAAATTCCCCTATGTCTTTTCCCCATTTCACTGACTTATTTTATTTACTGTAAAATGAAAATTGAATTTTATTTGCCAGAATCAGTCGTATCTTAGGAAGTACTAGCCCCACCCACCCGCCCACCGTTTTCATGATGGGAATGTCATTGGCCAAAATCAGTCTTCTCTTTACAAATATTAGCCCCACCCACCCTCCCTTTATTTGCTTTGAGGGTATATGATTTGCCAAAATTAGTCGTATCTTAGGAAGTACTAGCCCCACCCACCCGCCCACCGTTTTCATGGTGGGTATGTCATTGGCCAAAATCAGTTTTATTTTTACAAATACTAGCCCCACCCACCCTTTATTTCCTTTGAGGGTATATGATTTACCAAAATCAGTCGTATCTTAGGAAGCACTAGTCCCGCCCACCCGCCCTCCTTTTTCATGAAGGGTATATCATTGGGCAAAATTAGTCTAATCTTAGCAAGTACTAGCCCAGCCCATCCCCCTTTTGTATTTTCTTAGAGGGTATATCATTTTCCAAAATCAGTCTTATCTTTACAAATACTAGCCCCACCCATCCGCCTTTTATTTTCTTAGATGGTATATGATTTGCCAAAATCAGTCGTATCTTAGAAAGTACTGGCCCCTCCCACCCACCCTCCGTTTATATGGAAGGTAAATCATTGGCCAAAATCAGTCTTATCTTAGCAAGTACTAGCCCCACCCACCCGCCCACCGTTTTCATGATGGGTATATCATTGGCCAAAATTAGTCTAATCTTAGCAAGTACTAGCCCAGCCCATCCCCCTTCTGTATTTTCTTAGAGGGTATATCATTTTCCAAAATCAGTCTTATCTATCTTTACAAATACTAGCCCCACCCATCCGCCTTTTATTTTCTTAGATGGTATATGATTTGCCAAAATCAGTCTGATTTTTACAAATACTAGCCTCATCCTCCCCCCCCCTTTATTTACTAATTAGTTGGTATGTCATTTGCCAAAATCGGTCGTATCTTTACAAATAATAGCCCCGCCCACCCGCCCTTTATTTTCTCAGAGGCTATGTCATTTGCCAAAATCAGAAGTGTTCTTTGGTTTGATTTTTTTTAATTACGTTTTTCACATGTTTGATGTGACTGATGTTAGTTTTTGTTAAAGCGAAATTTTGAAATTTTAGAACAATATACAAATTAATGAAGTGCAAAGATGGCTAATTTTAAAATTTTTGAGATTTTTAGGGAAACCAAATTAATCAAGTTCAAAGATGACGCTACAGCTAATTTTAAAAATTTTGAGATTTTTAAGGAAACTTTGACTCTATTAAATAACATATACTTGATAGTTTATAGAAAATCGTGCTTATTTAATTAAAACTGTTAAATGTTTATAACAAAAAACAAAAATAAACATCGTTAAAAAAACGAAACATTTAATAAAAAACAGATTTTTAAGAATTTTATTTAAAACGTATAAGTGTAAGAGAAATAAATGAGTCCGATAGGAATATCATCGTTGCAGGTTGGCAACACTTAACCTAAGTGTTAATCATCATCCATGCTTTTAAACAAACGTAATAACCGTACCTATAGTCTTTGCCATTTCTATTGAAACACCACTTGTTAATCGTAAATTTGGCAATTTTCTAACTAAAAGCCGTTGTCAATCCACTGAAAGCTGTTACCAATTGCTAAATTTTAAGCAAAATCAACAGGTAGTATTTCAATAGAAATGGCAAAGACAATAGTCTCAAAATATATTTTTTTAGAATCCCCTGTTTCAGAATGCAATGATACGCCACTGGTGAAAGTCCAAGTGACAGATGGTCACAACCTCGCAACTCAACATGTGCTTCTAATACCAGACGATCGAGTAGGCCGTGCCATTTATTTTCAAAATAATGTTGCAAATAATGATTGAAGCAAATTTTTGTATTGGCAGTTCTGAATTATTGGCAGCAATGTTAACAAATTAGTCCACGGTTGTCAATTTTGACTGGGCATAAATTGTGTTAATTTTTCAGATGACGTCAACAGTTTATTGAAGGGCGTAAATAATGATTTATTTAATTTCCTGTAAGTATCAAAGTTTCAAACAAGTCGATTGTGTAATTTCTAAGGGAAATTCTGATTTCGATTAATATCGGAAAAGTTAAAAGTTGTAGTCGATGACTCAACTAGAGGTGAAGTCACCTCACAATAATCACATACTTCGGTGAAACGTATGGAAAAAATTAGATGACGTCACCAAATTATCGCAGGGGATGACAGATAGTTTTTATTTATTTACGATTTTATCATTTGTTGATCTTGACATAAATTTAAAATTCCAGAGCAAATATTTGTCAATTTTTTGAAAAACAAAAATCGCGCAACTTTTAAATTGTCCGTCAACACAACTTTTTTATCCCGAAGAAATTACAAAATTTTCGTAAATAGCTCTTAGTCATTTTCTAGTCTAACCAGTTCAAGACCCACAAAACCTTGACATCAAATCCCGGAATACCACTCTCCACTTAACAGCCCTCCCCAGCCCCATCTCCCGCGAAAATGTTTCCCGGTCCCGAATAGCCCCATGACCAATAAAAATCCTGACCTTCATAATCCTTTTTTACAGCGCCAGTAAAAATTTTGGCTGTACGCTGGCGCATAACACCGCATCCTGCAAGCAGCGAGCGGTGTCGGCTTCGAACCGGCTTTCACTCTTTACCAGTCCAGTGGGTGTGACCTCAGTATTATTCTCTTCATTCCTGCTGCATCCTTTTATTTTCGTTAGGTAAGCGACTTTTAGCCACGATTTGGGCGCGTTTTTTTTTCTTCGACTGTTGCTACGCTATCGCCGGCGATCTACCGGTCCCGCGAATGACACCGTAGAGGTCATGAACCCAAAACCAAAAGGCCTCTTATCGCTTTTTTTGGGAATTCTGTGTCGGTATTGATTGATAAGCGTGTTTTTAATCGATGCTTGGTCAGCGATGACATGGACGTAACGAAAATAGACCGCCGATTTATTGAGTTAATTATAAACGGCTAGTCTCGTCTGCAGGGTCGTCGGAGAACTGATCGAATTTTTTGTTAGTAATAATATGAGTTCAAATTAGTAATGTACTTCTTGGAATATTAATCACGGTGTGGTGTTAAATGTTTATTTCGAGCGATGATGTCAGAGTTATAGCATAATATCAGACACTCATTCTTTTGTAGGCCAGTTTAACATCAACCGTGCTACATCGAGTTAGCCGTACCTGCATTGTGTAACAATATTGTTTTGTTCTAGTCACACGAATTTCACGCCAAAATGAGCCAACAGCAGTACTACCCATTCAAGGTAAGTTTTTCCTGGTTTAATCACACTATTCCCGTTTTGCGGTTTCGATAAACCTTATATTTCCTCGTGATAAAGTCCGGTTTCCCGTGGGTGTGTTTCGATTAGGTTTATACTTTATAATTAGTTCCGATACATCTCTATAAATACGCCGGCAAGTTGTATGCAATATCGACCAAGTCCACTTTCCACTCCACTTTCCAGGACAATCGATAACTTCCAACTCTTCCACTAAAACTATCCTCCCGCGCTTTGTTTACCCCATTTTGGCTCCCATCCAGCTTCATTCATCGAAGTTTTTGTAAACAGCGCCAAACTGTAATCGTTATCCCTCTCTGATGGCAGAGAATCGGTATTTTTGTATTGTACTCAAATTTTATTTTTGGAAATTATGCTGTTTATATTTTAAATCGTGTGTAATCTCGGGGCTATGTACATATTTGTGTTGTAAAAACGTAACGGGTTGAGTGATTTCATTGCCACGTCTGTTGCAATCTAGGATTGCATATGCACTGGGTCGAAAGAAGTGGGAGATGCAAGTTGAGCAAAGTTGGTGGAAAATGAAAATTACTAATCGTTGACTGAGTAATGGGTGCGTGATGTTCAATGACCAGAGGTTGTGTAATGGAATTTGCCTTTTGCAATTGTCGATTAATTCAGTTTTATTGTTCGAAATTCGAAGACAACTATCTTAATTAAATGGGTTTAAAATCGTGGGAACTAAAAATGAAAGTGCGAAGGATGTGTGAAATTTATTCTATTCGAGTTTTTGCTATTTTGTAAACTTGTAAAGTCTTATCAGTAAGTTTGATGACGATGAGTGTCAGTATTTGATTTGTCGGCACTTCTGTGAACTTTTGAAGTGTCCTGGGAAAAAAATATGTTTAAAAAAAAGTCAATAGCTTTTCTAAAGGAATTCCCGATGTTTAGTTTTCGTTGTGAGTACTCGAACTGATCACAGAATTTGAATTTTGCACACTTTCAAGTGCAACCATGTCTAAATATAGCATTTTCTTATCATTAATTTGCATATGAAATGAAAATTTTAAATGTTTTTCTGTTTTCAAAAACAGTATATGTATGTATTTTCTGCTTTGAAATCTAGTAGTCTGTTACAAACCGGGATCTTTCCACCAAAGAGAATATATAATAAAGCTCAGGTCATTGACTACGTACTTTGTATTTTTTGCCTTTTTGAAATTTCCGTAGTGGAAAATAATCTCCATCTTGTATTTATTGTTTTGGCAGTTTTAGAAGCAAAGTTCCATTTTTGTATTATCCTTAAGGTAAATTTACACAACTGTAGGTTCATCAAGCCGGGATTGATTAATTACCAGAAATTGTGAAAATTAAAATCTAATGTTTTTATGTCGAAATATGTTGATTTTGTTAATTATCGTAAAAGTGTCCCGTTCGATTCATTATTTTTCAAGCTAGGCGGGCCAATATAGAGCTGTATAAGCGGTACTTTAAAATATTTTTATTTTTACTAGACCGGTTATCTTCTATCTTACCGGATGGCTTTTCTTAAAATCATCTTTTTGAATTTTTAATAATCAAATAAGCAAACAAATCTCCTTTTGGCAGTTTGACAATCAAAGTTCCGTTTCTGTATTATCTTAAGTCATATTTACACAAGTCAAGCCGGGCTTGATTTATTACCAGAAACTGTGAAAATCAAAATCTAATCTTTTCATGCCGAATATGTTGATTTTGCAACGAAATTGTAAATTATCGTAAACTTGTCCCGTTCGATTAATTATTTTTTAAGCTGGGTTGGAAACTGAAATTTAAAATCTAATCTTTTCGTGTCGAAATATGTTGATTTTGTAAATTATTGTACAATTGTCCCATTCAGTTAATTATTTTTCAAGCTTGGCTGGCCAGTATAGAGCTGTATAAGCGGCACTTTAAAATTGTTTCCCTCAAAATCATTTTTTTGAACTTAGAATAATTCAAGTAAGTAAACAAATTTCCTTTTGGCCGTTGGACAAGCAAAGTTCCGTTTTGTATTATCCTTAAGGAACATTTACACAACTATAGGGTTATCAAGCTGGGCTTGATTAAAATTACCAGAAACTGTAAAAATTAAAATAAGATACGATGGGTTTTGGAAATCATAAATCATCTTCAAACCAAATAAAAGGCGGGTGGGTGGGGCTAATATTTGTAAAGATAAGACTGATTTTGACAAATGATATACCCTCTAAGAAAATAGAGGGCGGGTGGGCGGGGCTTCTATTTGCTAAGATACGACTGATTTTGGCAAATCATCTACCCTCTAAGAAAATAAAGGGCGGGTGGGTGCGGCTAGTATTTGTAAAGATAAGACTGATTTTGGCCAATGATATATCCTTCATGAAAAGGGAGGGCGGGTGGGCGGGGCTAGTACTTCCTAAGATACGACTGATTTTGGCAAATCATATACCCTCAAAGCAAAAAAGGGCGGGCGGGTGGGGATAATATTTGTAAAGATGAGACTGATTTTGGCTAATGATATACCGACCATGAAAACGGAGGGCGGGTGGGCGAGGCTAGTACGTCCTAAGATACGACTAATTTTGGCAAATAACATATCATCTAAGAAAATAAAAGGCGGATGGGTGGAGCTAGTATTTGTAAAGATAAGACTGATTTTGCCAAAATCAGTCGTATTTTTGGAAGTACTAGCCCACCCGCCCTCCGTTTTCATGGTGGATATGTCATTGGCCAAAATCAGTCTTCTCTTTGAACTTAGAATAATTCAAGTAAGTAAACAAATTTCCGTTTGGCCGTTGGACAAGCAAAGTTCCGTTTCTGTACTATCCTTAAGGCACATTTACACAACTGTAGGGTCATCAATCCGGGCTTAATTAAAATTACCAGAAATTGTAAAAATTAAAATAAGATACGACCGATTTTGGAAATCATATACCCTCAAAGCAAATAAAGGGTGGGTGGGTGGGGCTAGTATTTGTAAAGTTTGATTTTGACAAATGATATACCCTCTAAGAAAATAGAGGGCGGGTGAGCGGCGCTTCTATTTGCTAAGATACGACTGATTTTGGCAAATCATATACCCTCTAAGAAAATAAAGGGCGGGTGGGTGGGGCTAGTATTTGTAAAGATAAGACTGATTTTGGCCAATGATATATCCACCATATCTTAGGAAGTACTAGCCCCGCCCACCCGCCCGCCGTTTTCATGGTGGGAATGTCATTGGCCAAAAACTTCGTCTCCTTTCTGCTGCAATAAATTTCGGTAGCATTAATCACTGAAATAGAGGCGGGTGGGTGGGTGGGGTTTATTATCTGTTCCTTAGAGTGGGAGTGGTAACTGATAGAAATAAGGCTGTAAAAAAAGCGCTAATCATAGTTACAAGAGCTAGCCCCACCCACCCACCCTCTATTTTCTTAGAACTATGTGACTTGCAAAATCAGTCTTATCTTGACAAGTACTAGCCCCGCCCACCCTCCTTCTACTCATTCTAGCGATTAATTTTATTTCTGTATAAGACCCACTTTTTATTCAGTGCAGAAAAAATTAATCACCGAAATGGAGGCGGGTGGGTGGGCGGGGTTTAGGTATATTTTCTTCTGTAGAGTGGGAGTGGTAAATAATATAATATACAATTTTGAGGATTTCATAAAAAAATTAATTCTAAGAGAAAACAGGGAAAAAGAGTAGGGGTGCGGCACAGAAGTCAAAAGAAGGGCACATTGAGAAAAATTGAGGTATACAGAGAAAGGGGCAAAAAAAGTAAGACTGATTTTGTCCAATGATATACCCTCCATGAAAAGGGAGGGCGGGTGGGCGGGGCTAGTAGTTCCTAAGATACCACTGATTTTGGCAAATCATATATCCTCAAAGCAAATAAAGGGCGGGTGGGCGGGGCTAGTACTTCCTAAGGTACGACTGATTTGGGCCAATGATATATCCACCATATCTTAAGAGCAGGTTTTACTCAAGCCATTCATTCGTTTCTCGGACTGTGAAGTCATAGAGTTCTGAGGGACGTAAACATTTTCGAGGGGAGAGGTGAATCTTAGTCACAGCGTACGCAGAAAGATTCAACTTAGTTCGGGTACCGTCGTCGAACTCCGTGTCCTAAGTGAAGAGGGAAGGAAAGCCGGCATGCTGGCAAAGATATCACGTAGGGCCAGGCGGTCGAAATTTAAACGCTGCTCTACCCCGGCAGGCCAGTGGCTCGCAGCCGATGTTACGTTTCGCAGAGAAAATTACGCGAAGAATAATGTTAACGGAATGTCAGTTGATGATTTTAAAATCCATATCCTCGAAATAAGAGTAATAATAATTCTAATAATGGTCAGGTGTCCGTCTCCTTGACAATAAAACTATTTGTGTGAATTATCAAAAATAATACACAACTGGAAAGCGAGAAGCGAGCAAGACAAGGCTGTAGCGATCGGCACTGCGGGCCGATAGTGGGGATATAAATTATTTAGAGTACGCAAAATTGGTGAAGTTTTGAATATTCGTACTTTTAACCGCTTTGAAATATTAATATTATGTAATCTATTCATTATTTTGTTCATATAGTTTTCATTGTTTTTCTCTTTCTTCCATGAAAACTACATATTTTCATGGCATCTTCTAATATGAAAACTTTTTTATCACCTGTTACATTTCCACCAGAGTAAAGGAAAATTCATTGCAGAGATTGTAATATACACACATTTGTTTCCGCAGCAAGTACACGTGCTAAACGTCTATTTTAAAATGCGGTGAATGCAGATATTAATGTGCCTCTGTATAAAGGATTCCAAATTTAAATAAGTACACTTGGTAGCTATTTTGCTAAAAAGGTTCATATTTTTATTATTGTTTTATATTATTATTTTCTTTCCGTTGAAATAGTTGATATATTCACGATGCTTCCATCGTGAATATATCAACTATTTGACAACTGGAATAGGTACTTGTACCGGCTATCAAATTGCTGTGTCTCAATTAAATCTAAAGCACTGGAGATATTAAGACTGTTCCTGACTTGTAACACTCCACCGATTATAATATGACAAAAGTATTTCAAAATACGATCTCGTCGTGTCTGTGCTTTACGCTTTAGAGTGGGAGTAGTTGTGAGCCCCCGCTTAGCGTCTTTCCTCACCTGACCCGAGTGAGGGCGACCAGAAATCGGCTTGCATTTTGTCCGAAAACATGCGTTCTGTTTTTTCGCTTTATAGCAACATTTTGTAATTTACAACGTCGCAATTTTATATACACCGTTACGAAACATTGATTTTGCTGCCCCCGTTTGAATTTTTTGAAGGCGTCATTTAATTGCCGAGTTACAAACGCTTCTTTTAAGCCAATTTTATGTGATTTTGTTAATTTTTATTGCAACAGTTACTTATCAGATTTAAAAAATTCGAACGGTGGCAAAATGCCACATCCTTTGACAACACTCAATTAAATTTTCAACTATTTTTAATCATTAATAAATCAATGAGACGAAAAATCATAACCCATTGCACGGGCTACTTTCGGTGTGGGTAAAACCTCCTCTTAAGAAGTACTAGCCCCGCCCTCCGTTTTCATGGTGATTATGACATTGGCCAAAATCAGTTTTATCTTTACAAATACTAGCCCCACCCACCCACCCTTTATTTGCTTTGAGGGTATATGATTTGCAAAATCATTCGTATCTTAGGAAGTACTAGCCCCGCCCACCCGCCCTCCGTTTTCATGGTGGATATATCATTGGCCAAAATCAGTCTCCTCTTTACAAATACTACTTTTGAACTTAGAATAATCCAATGTAAGTAAATAAATCTCTTTTTGGCAGTTGGGCAAGCAAAGTTCCGTTTCTGTATTATCCTTAAAGCACGTTTACACAACTATAGGGTCATCAAGCCGGGCTTGATTAAAATTACCAGAAACTTTAAAAATTAAAATCTAGTCTTTTCAAGTCGAAATAAGTTTATTTTGTAAATTATCGTAGACTTGTCCTATTCGCTTCATTATTTTTCAAGCTTGGTTGGCAAATATAGAGCTGTATAAGCGGCACTTTAAAAGATTTTTACATCTTCTAGGCCAGTTACGTTCTATCTTGCCTGATGCCATTCCTCAAAATCATTTTTTTGAACTTTGAATAATTCAGGTAAATAAACAAATCTCTTTTTGGCAGTTTGACAATCAAAGTTCCGTTTCTGTATTATCTTAAGTCACATTTACACAGCTGTAAGTTCATCAAGTCAGGCTTGATTAATTACCAGAAAGTGTGAAAATTGAAATCTAATCTTTTCATGTCGAAATATGTTGATTTTGTTAATTAATTATCGTAAAATTGTCCCGTTCGATTAATTGTTTTTCAAGCTTGGTTGGCCAATATAGAGCTGTATAAGCGGCACTTTAAAATAGTTTTACCTTTGCTAGACCAGTTATCTTCTATTTTGTGAAATATGGTATTTTAGTGTAACAATTGTGACTCCATTTTTGTATTTAATTCAACTTATTATTAAACTTTGCTATTCCGGATATCTAAATTCTAACGGTTAAGAGAGATTTGTACGTCAATAATAGTCTGAGAGATATATTAACAGTTTTAACTCCTTCGAATTTGCATTTTTTTCATTTTAATGAATCTAAAAACAACATTTATTATTCTTTGTTAGTTCCTTGATAACGATTGTTGACGCGATTATTATTTGCTTTCAAGTTTATAAAACGAGTACACAGATACGACTCCACAAATAGAAACTGATTTTACCTCCCATAAAACTGATTGTACTTACAAAGGTCATTTCTGAAAAGTTTTTTTTTTTTTTTTGTAATTTACTGGTGTCATTTAGGCAAGAACTCAGCCTCTTGATTATACTTCGTTATTTTTCATTCACACTCGAGCAAATAATACAAATACCAGTTTCTAAAACTGGATCTCTTAGCAGGGGAGACACTTTTAGACTGACCCAAGGGTTAAAATAAGAACGTCGCGACTCAAACTCTTTCAGCGACTCCACCTCTGAACACGTTGCCAACGACAAGCTAAAACATAGAGCTAAAATAAGAGCTTCAAAGGCGTGAGCTAGGGATGTAAATGTGAAGGGGCGAGCCACGAAATCATTAAGCGATGACCTGTTTTCTCCCCTACGTAGAGCCAGACCTGGCGCCGTACTAAACTTCCGACCTGTATCACCAGCTTGGTAAACCTGTCAAAGGGAAACTCAAGCAATTAACTCCTGCTTTCGAGATACACTACATACAAATTATGCGTGGCCTCGACCGACTCATCCGGCCTCTGACGCAAATGACCTTCGATGGTCGCTAACAACTACAAGTTCGTCCGTAATTGTGAGAAATAAAAATGAATTAGACGCACCCACGGACCGAAAGTCAATATTAGAAACTCGGCTTTTAATCATTCGTCAGAATTGGCGCCACCTAGCGGCCAAAAACGGCAAATTCGCCACAAGCGCCATCTACTATTTCGATTTGTGAATGATTGTGTTCTTGTTCGCAGTGTACTCCCACCGTGTACCCCGCCGAGCCCTTCGACCCCGTCGAGGATACCGCCACCCTCAAGAAGGCCATGAAGGGGTTCGGAGCCGACGAGAAGGTCATCATCGACGTGCTAGCGCGCAGAGGAATCGTCCAACGACTTGAAATTGCCGAGACTTTCAAGACTTCCTACGGAAAAGACTTAATCTCCGAGCTGAAGAAGGAACTTGGAGGGAAATTCGAAGATGTGATCGTTGCTCTTATGACACCATTACCTCAGTTCTACGCCAAAGAACTCCACGACGCCGTCTGCGGAATGGGCACCGACGAAGAAGCCATCATCGAAATTTTGTGCACTCTGTCCAACTATGGCATTAGGACGATAGCCCAGTTTTATGAGAACAGTAAGTATTTTAGCGGGAAAGGTGAACTGGGCCGAAGTTCGCCGGAATTTTCGCTACCTTTATAATTTTCGCCGCAAGTGACTCATAAATTGGGTCTTAACACCACACGGCGCCAATTTAACTGGATAACGAACTTGACCCAGTCACGGGACTCGCTAGAGAATGGTTTGCTTTCTGTGTGATAAAATGATAATACAGATGTATTATACATCAAACTGCAGCTTTTTTCACGTTGTAAGTTATTGAAAACAGTTCAATCAACCAAAAAAATGTGCAAAGAAATATCGTAAAACAAACAAAATTATTGTCATCTTTTTTGGGTGTTACACATCATAGAGTCGGTTGAAAATTCTCACAGTGACAAAGTAACGTATTTTAAAAGCCCCTGTTATTTTAAATATTTGTTAGGAGTGCAATTTATTTAAATAATGTCTTTATTCAAATCAAAATGTACCATAAATTAATTCAAAATAAGTTGAATGACTTTAACACAAGTATTAATGGAAAATTAGTGATAAATTTCTTAGCAGAGTTTTTAACATGAATGAATAATTTTGAAAAAGACAACAAATTCGGTACAAGTCGTCTGGAAGAATGAATGCTATGGTATTGATTATTACCATAGAAACTGTTAGATAAAGTTCTAAGTTCCAAATATAGGAAATATGCACAAAATCCAAAAAATTTTAAAGATCCTGAGGGTTCTAATTATCCTAGAAATCCTAGATCGCCTTAAAGACCCTAGAGATTTTAGACATTCTAAACATTCTAAACTTCTCAAAGTATCAAAAATGTCCAATGATTCTAAAGACTCCCAGACATTCTAAAGATCTTGAAGGACATCTGAATTGGAAGATTAGGGAAATTAAAGATCCTGAGACCCCTAGCGGTTCTTGCATTTCTAGAAACCTTAAAAATCCTAGAGATTTTAGAAATTATAAACATTCTAAACTCCTAGTAACTTTAAAATGTCCAAAATATCCAATGATTCTAGAGACTCCAGACATTCTAAGAACCTTAAAGATGCTCTGAATTAAAAAGATTGGAGAAATGAAAGATCATAAGACTCCTAGAAGTTTTTGAATTTCTAGCAACCTTAAAAATGCTGGAGATTTTAGAATTTCTAAATAATAATCTAAACTTCTAGTAATCTTAAAGTATCCAGAATATCCAATGATTCTAGAGACTCCAGACGTTGTAAAGACCTTAAAGATCCAAAATTAGAAAAATTATGAAATTCTAAGATTGTCATATAAGAAAATTCCAACAAAATCCTACAAATCTTAAAGATCCTGAAGGATCCTAGAAATTTTAAATCGCCTTAAAGGTCCTGGAGATTTTAGAAATTCTAAATATTCCAGACTTCCCAAAGTGTTAAAAATATCCAATGTTTCTAAATACTCGAGAGATTCTAAATACCTTAAAGATCCTCTGAATTACAAAGATCAGAGAAATGAAGATCATGAAACTCCTAGAAGTTGTTGATTTCTAGAAATCGTGGAGATTTTAGAAATTCTACACATTCTAAACATCCCAAAGTGTCAAAAATGTCAAATGATCCTAAATATTATTAGACATTATAAACAACTTACAGATCCTCTGAATTAAAAAGATTAGAGATATTAAAGATTCTGAGATTCTTGAAATTGTAAAAACCTTAAAAATCCTGGAGATTTTAGAAATTCTAAACATTCTAAACTTCTAGTTATCCTAAAGTGTCCAAAATATCCAATGATTTTAGAGACTTCAGACATTCTAAAGACCTTGAAGATCCTATAAATCTGAAAGAGTAGAGAAATTCTAAATTGTAATTAAAATAAAGTTCTAAGATTATCCATATCATATAAGAAAAGTCCAATAAAATCCTATAAGTTTTAAAGATACTCAGGGTCTTAATGATCCTAGAAATTCTAGATCGCTTTAAAGATCCTCAAGAGTTTAGAAATTCTAAACATTCTAAACTTCCCAAAGTGTCAAAAATGTCCAACGATTCTAAAGACTCCCAGACATTATAAAAAACTTAAAGATCCTCTGAATTAGAACGATCCGAGAAATTAAAGATCCTGAGACTCCTAAAGGTTCTTGAAATTCTAGAAACCTTAAAAATCCTCAAAATTTAGAAATTCTAAATAGTGTAAACTTCGAGAAATCCCAAAGTGTCCAAAATATCCAATGATTCTAGAAACTCCAGACATTCTAAAGACCTTAAAGATCCTATAAATCAGAAAGATTAGAGAAATTTCAAATTGTAAATAAAATAAAATTGAAACATTATCATATAAGAAAAGTCCAATAAAAACTCAAAATTCTTAAAGATACTGAGGGTCTTAATGATCCTAGAAATTCTAGATCGCTTTAAAGATCTTCCAGATTTTAGAAATTCTAAACGTTCTAAACTTCCCAAAGTGTCAAAAATGCCCCACGATTCTAAAGACTCCCAGATATTATAAAGGACTTAAAGATCCTCTGAATTAGAAAGATCCGAGGAATTAAAGATCCTGAGACTCCTAAAGGTTCTTGAAATTCTAGAAACCTTAAAAATCCTCAAAATTTAGAAATTCTAAACAGTCTAAACTTCGAGAAATCCCAAAGTGTCCAAAATATCCAATGATTCTAGAGACTCCAGACATTCTAAAGATCTTAAAGACCCTATAAATCAGAAAGATTAGAGAAATTCCAAGTTGTAAATAAAATAAAGTTCTAACATTATCATATAAGAAAAGTCCAATAAAATCCTAAAATTCTTAAAGATACTGAGGGTCTTAATGATCCAAGATCCTCAAGATTTTAGAAATTCTAAACATTCTAAACTTCCCAAAGTGTCAAAAATGCCCCGCGATTCTTAAGACTCCCAGATATTATAAAGAACTTAAAGATCCTCTGAATTAGAAAGATCCGAGAAATTAAAGATCCTGAGACTCCTAAAGGTTCTTGAAATTCTAGAAACCTTAAAAATCCTCAAAATTTAGAAACTCTAAACAGTCTAAACTTCGAGAAATCCTAAAGTGTCCAAAATATCCAATGATTCTAGAGACTCCAGACATTCTAAAGATCTTAAAGACCCTATAAATCAGAAAGATTAGAGAAATTCCAAATTGTAAATAAAATAAAGTTCTAACATTATCATATAAGAAAAGTCCAATAAAATCCTAAAATTCTTAAAGACACTGAGGGTCTTAATGCTCCTAGAAATTCTAGATCGCTTAAAAGATCCTCAAAATTTTAGAAATTCTAAACATTCTAAACTTCCCAAAGTGTCAAAAATGTCCAACGATTCTAAAGACTCCCAGACATTCTAAAGAACTTAAAGATCCTCTGAATTACAAAGATCCGAAAAATTAAAAATCCTGAGAATCCTGAAGGTCCTTGAAATTCTAGAAACCTTAAAAATCCTCAAAATTTAGAAATTCTAAACAGTCTAAACTTCGAGAAATCCCAAAGTGTCCAAAATATCCAATGCTTCTTGAGACTCCAGACATTCTAAAGACCTTAAAGATCCTATAAATCAGAAAGATTAGAGAAATTCCAAATTGTAAATAAAATAAAGTTCTAAGATTATCCATATCATATAAGAAAAATCCAATAAAATCCTAAAAGTTTTAAAGATACTGAGGGTCTTAATGATCCTGGAAATTCTAGATCGCTTTAAAGATCCTCAAGATTTTAGAAATTCTAAACATTCTAAACTTCCCAAAGCGTCAAAAATGTCCAACGATTCTAAAGACTCCCACACATTATAAAGAACTGAAAGATTCTCTGAATTAGAAAGATCCTGAGGCTCCTAAAGGTTCTTGAAATTCTAGAAACCTTAAAAATCCTCAAAATTTAGAAATTCTAAACAGTCTAAACTTCGAGAAATCCAACGTGTTCAAAATATCCAATGATTCTAGAGACTCCAGACATTCTAAAGATCTTAAAGACCCTATAAATCAGAAAGATTAGAGAAATTCCAAATTGTAAATAAAATAAAGTTCTAACATTATCATATAAGAAAAGTCCAATAAAATCCTAAAATTCTTAAAGACACTGAGGGTCTTAATGCTCCTAGAAATTCTAGATCGCTTAAAAGATCCTCAAAATTTTAGAAATTCTAAACATTCTAAACTTCCCAAAGTGTCAAAAATGTCCAACGATTCTAAAGACTCCCAGACATTCTAAAGAACTTAAAGATCCTCTGAATTACAAAGATCCGAAAAATTAAAAATCCTGAGAATCCTGAAGGTCCTTGAAATTCTAGAAACCTTAAAAATCCTCAAAATTTAGAAATTCTAAACAGTCTAAACTTCGAGAAATCCCAAAGTGTCCAAAATATCCAATGCTTCTTGAGACTCCAGACATTCTAAAGACATTTAAGATCCTATAAATTAGAAAGATTAGGGAAATTCCAAATTGTAGATAAACTAAAGTTCTAAGATTGTTATGTAAGAAAGATTTAAAAAAATCCTAAAAGTTTTAAAGATCCTGAGGGTCTTAATGATCCTAGAAATTCTAGATCGCTTGAAAGATCTTGGAGATTTTAGAAATTCTAAACATTTTAAACTTCGCAAAGTGTCAAAAATGTCCAAAGACCTTAAAGATCATCTGAATTAGAAAGATTAAGGAAATTAAAGTTCCTGAGTCTACTAGAGGTTCTTTAATTTTTAGAAACCTTAAAAATTCTAGAGATTTTAGAAATTCTAAACATTCTAAACTCCTAATAATCCTAAAGTGTCCAAAATATCCAATGATTCTAAAGACTCCAGACATTCTAAAGATCTTATAAATTAGAAAGATTAGAGAAATTACAAATTGTAAATAAACTAAAGTTCTAAGATTGTTATGTAAGAAAGATCCAAAAAAATCCTAAAAGTTTTAAAGATCCTGAGGGTCTTAATGATCCTAGAAATTCTAGATCGCTTGAAAGATCTTGGAGATTTTAGAAATTCTAAACATTTTAAACTTCGCAAAGTTTCAAAAATGTCCAATGATTCTAAAGACTCCCAGACTTTCTAAAGACCTTAAAGATCATCTGAATTATAAAGATTAGAGAAATTAAAGATCCTGAGTCTACTAGAGGTTCTTTAATTTTTAGAAACCTTAAAAATTCTAGAGATTTTAGAAATTCTAAATATTCTAAACTCCTAATTATCGTAAAGTGTCCAAAATATCCAATGATTCTAAAGACTCCAGACATTCTAAAGATCTTATAAATTAGAAAGATTAGAGAAATTCCAAATTGTAAATAAACTAAAGTTCTAAGATTGTTATGTAAGAAAGATTAAAAAAAATTCTAAAAGTTTTAAAGATCCTGAGGGTCTTAATGATCCTAGAAATTCTAGATCGCTTGAAAGATCTTGGAGATTTTAGAAATTCTAAACATTTTAAACTTCGCAAAGTGTCAAAAATGTCCAATGATTCTAAAGACTCCCAGACATTCCAAAGACCTTAAAGATCATCTGAATTAGAAAGATTAAGGAAATTAAAGATCCTGAGACTCCTAGATGTTCTTGAATTTTTAGAAACCGTAAAAATCCTAGAGATTTTATAAATTCTAAACATTCTAAACTCCTAATAATCCTAAAGTGTCCAAAATATCCAAGGATTCTAAAGACTGCAGACATCCTAAAGATCTTGAAGATGCTATAAATTAGAAAGATTAGGGAAATTCCAAATTGTAAATAAACTAAAATTCTGAGATTGCCATTTAAGAAAAATCCAACAGAATCCTGAAAGTTTTAAAGATCCTGAGGGTCTTATTGAGAACTTTTAGATCGCTTGAAAGATCTTGGAGATTTTAGAAATTCTAAACTTCGAAAAGTGTCAAAAATGTCTAATGATTCTAAAGACTCCCAGACTTTCCAAAGACCTTAAAGATCATCTGAATTAGAAAGATTAGAGAAATTAAAGATCCTGAGTCTACTAGAAGTTCTTTAATTTTTAGAAACCTTAAAAATTCTAGAGATTTTAGAAATTCTAAACATTCTAAACTCCCAATAATCCTAAAGTGTCCAAAATATCCAAGAATTTTAAGGACTCCAGACATTCTAAAGATCTTAAAGACCCTATAAATTAGAAAGATTAGGGAAATTCCGAATTGTAAATAAACTAAAGTTCTAAGATTGTTATGTAAGAAATATCCAAAAAAATCCTAAAAGTTTCTGTGGGTCTTAATGATTCTAGAAATTCTAGATCGCTTGAAAGATCTTGGAGATTTTAGAAATTCTAAACATTCTAAACTTCAAAAAGTGTCAAAAATGTCCAATGATTCTAAAGACTCCCAGACATTCCAGACCTTAAAGATCATCTGAATTATAAAGATTAGAGAAATTAAAGATCCTGAGTCTGCTAGAGGTTCTTTAATTTTTAGAACCTTAAAAATTCTAGAGATTTTAGAAATTCTAAACATTCTAAACTCCTAATAATCCTAAAGTGTCCAAAATATCCAATGATTCTAAAGACTCCAGACATTCTAAAGATCTTATACATTAGAAAGATTAGAGAAATTACAAATTGTAAAAAAACTAAAGTTCTAAGATTGTTATGTAAGAAAGATCCAAAAAAATCCTAAAAATTTTAAAGATCCTGAGGGTCTTAATGACCCTAGAAATTCTAGATCGCTTGAAAGATCTTGGAGATTTTAGAAATTCTAAACATTTTAAACTTCGCAAAGTGTCAAAAATGTCCAATGATTCTAAAGACTCCCAGACTTTCTAAAGACCTTAAAGATCATCTGAATTATAAAGATTAGAGAAATTAAAGATCCTGAGTCTACTAGAGGTTCTTTAATTTTTAGAAACCTTAAAAATTCTAGAGATTTTAGAAATTCTAAATATTCTAAACTCCTAATTATCGTAAAGTGTCCAAAATATCCAATGATTCTAAAGACTCCAGACATTCTAAAGATCTTAAAGATCTTATAAATTAGAAAGACTAGGGAAATTCCAAATAAACTAAAATTCTAAGATTGCCATTTAAGAAAGATTCAACAAAATCCTAAAAGTTTTAAAGATCCTGAGGGTCTTAATGCTCCTAGAAATTTTAGATAGCCTTAAAAATTCTAGAGATTTTAGAAATTCTAAACATTCTAAACTCCTAATAATCCTAAAGTGTCCAAAATATCCAAGAATTCTAAGGACTCCAGACATTCTAAAGATCTTAAAGATCCTATAAATTAGAAAGATTAGGGAAATCCCAAATTGTAAATAAACTAAAGTTCTAAGATTGTTATGTAAGAAAGATCCAAAAAAATCCTAAAAGTTTTAAAGATCCTGAGGGTCTTAATGATCCTAGAAATTCTAGATCGCTTGAAAGATCTTGGAGACCAAAATATCCAATGATTCTAAAGACTCCAGACATTCTAAAGATCTTAAAGATCATATAAATTAGAAAGACTAGGGAAATTCCAAATTGTAAATAAACTAAAATTCTAAGATTGCCATTTAAGAAAGATCCAACAAAATCCTAAAAGTTTAAAGATCCTGAGGGTCTTAATGCTCGTAGAAATTCTAGATAGCGTTAAAGATCCTGGAGATTTTAGAAATTCTAAACATTTTAAACTTTGCAAAGTGTCAAAAATTTCCAGTGATTCTAAGGACTCTGAGACATTCTAAAGACCTTAAAGATTAGGAATTAATAATTAGAAAGATTAGGAAATTCAAAATTGTAAATAAATTAAAGTTCTATCTATTCTATCATATAAGAAAGATCCAACAAAATCCTAAAAATTTTAAAATCCCGAGGATCCTAAGATCTTAGAAATTCTAGGGAGACTTAAAGGATCCTGGAAATTCTAAACATTCCAAATTTGTAATCCCAAAGTGTCTAAAATGTGTTCTAAAGATAATTGTTGGCGTTCTCAGCTGATTTTTCTAATTAATGACAACAAATTTGGTTTTATCCAAGTGTTCGAAACTGGTAGATTTGGAGTCGTATAATTAAATAATAAAAGACTTCCACCTGAGTTAACCCTTGCTCCCTTCCAGTGTACGGAAAAGCCCTCGAGTCCGACCTAAAAGGCGACACTTCGGGCCACTTCAAGCGGCTACTAGTCTCCTTATGCCAAGCGAACCGCGACGAGAACCAAGGCGTCAACGAAGCCCAAGCCACCGCGGACGCTGAAGCCTTAATCTCCGCCGGCGAGGGCAAATGGGGCACCGAAGAGTCCCAGTTCAACTCCGTTCTCATCACGCGGAGCTACCAACAACTCAGGGCCACCTTCGCCGAATACGAAAGACTGGCAGGCCACGATATCGAATCCGCCATCAAGAAGGAGTTCTCAGGGAACATCCAGAAGGGCCTCCTGGGAATCGGTAAAGTTTGATTGAATTTGGAATTACGGGTGGTAAAGGTGGTGATTTCAGTCAAGTGCGTGAAGAGCAAAGTTGGGTACTTTGCGGAACGCCTCCACGACAGCATGGCCGGATTGGGAACTAATGATAAGACTTTGATTCGGATTATTGTCTCCCGGTCGGAGATCGATCTAGCTGATATTAAACAGGCCTTTTTGGATAAGTACGGGAAGGCTTTGGAGAGTTGGATTTCTGTAAGTATCGGGTTAGCGGGTTTGATTAACGACTATTAACACAATTAACGGTAGTAGTTTTCATTGACGTGGACTAAACTGGTTGCGGTGATTAACTCCCGGAATTGTGGGTGGTGCACATTCGTGCACAAGCCGCAAGGTTGAACGATGGAAAAAATTAATTGACTGACAAAGTGCTTTGTAATCACGAAAAAAAATTATTGCGTTGGAAATTAGGTGTTGATTTTGTTCGAAAAGGAGGTGTCTGGCGCCATTATATAATTCGAATTTCATTTCACTGTTTTAATTACCGAAATTATCAGAATTAATTTGTTGTTTGTAACAAGTGGGCGTTTGCCGCCTTGTCGAAATGTGAATTTTAGTCAGACTGTCACACGAGAACTAATGACGTCGCTTGATTGTAGTAAATGTCACAAAGGAAACGAGCGGCAAAGCTGTGTATTATGTAAACACACATCAAGTCTAAAATCTTAAAACACCTTGAAAAAACTTGCTGACCCTTGAACTATGAATATGAAATCAAGCGAGTCTGAAAGAGATTTCGTTGCATAAGACGACATTGTATGCATTCGAAGCATGACAGTTACGTAATTATAATATTAAATTGGTCCAATTTAGCTCTTTGAATCCGTAGTCAAGGTGCATACAATGTTGTTTCTAATAGAAGGTCAACATCTTTGTATTGTGGATGTAAAAACTACAAATATCATTTTATAAAAAAATAATTGGCGTTTGAGTATAGTTGGTTGCATATCCACTTTGTACAATTAAAAGCTCTGATGAATGTTTTAATAATGGTTCTAACGGGGTCTAGCACCACCGTAAAAAGTTATTTTGAGAGCATTTACAAGATTATCACGAAATTATGGAAATGGATCGTTATTGACGTATTTAATGTCAGCGGTAAACATAACTACTTTGAAAATTAGTATGAAATAGGAGCTTGTGAACGCCTTTATTACTTCTCAGGTTATTATTCTAAACACTAGTACCTAATAGCAATAACGGTTTAATAATTCTATGTGTATAAACGGACTTGAAATTATTTTTAGTGTAATCGTGTATAGTGGGTTGCCTATACTCGTTGTGTTACCGAAATTTGTTATTAAAATACAAAATTGCTGTAATTAGAGTAAGCTAGAAACAATTTTTGACCCATTTCATAAAAATCTAAGAAATGTTATTAGTTAGTGACGTCATTTTCAAGTCAAGTGTGAGTATTTAGCGGATGATCAAAAAATTTTGAGGTTAGGGTCAGCTGTGGCAATATTTTTCATTTCTTTGATTAAATCGTAATCCTAAACAGTCGAAAATGTCCAGTGATTATAAAGACTGCAGATTTTCTAAGAACCTTAAAAATCTTCTAAATTAGAAAGATGCGAGAAATTTCAAATTGTAAATAAACTAAAGTTCTAAGATTCTAAATATAAAAAAAATATCCAACAAAATCCTAAGACATTTAAAGGTCCTGAGGATCTTGAAGAGATTTAGGACTGCCAGGATCTTTAAATTGCAGATTTTAAAGATTCTAGAAATTCTTGTGATTCTAAAGGGCACAAAATATGCATTGATTCTAAAGACTCCCAGACATTCTAAAGATCTTAAAGAAGTTATAAATTAGAAAGATGAAAGAAATTCAAAATTATAAATATACTAAAGTTTAGAGATTCCAAAAACGTACGTATAAGAAAGATCCAGCAATAGCTTGAAAATTTTAAAGATGCTGGAGATTGTAAAAATTTTAAACATTCCAAATTTCGAGTAATCCAAAAGTATCCAAAATGTCCAATGATTCTAAAGACTCCAGACATTCTAAAGACCTTAAAAATTCTCTAGATTAGAAAGATTAGAGAAATTCCAAATTAAAGATTTTCAAGATCCTAGAAATTCTGAACTTCTAGTAATCCTATGGGTCCAAAATATCCAATGATTCTAAAAACTTACATTCTAAATACATTCAAGATCCAATAAATTAGAAAGATAAGATAAATTCCTGATTGTAAATAAAACTAAAGTTGTGAGATTCTAAATGTAAGAAAGATCCAATAATATCCTAAAAAATTGAAAGATCCTAATAATTCTACGGACCCTTAAAGTTCCTTAAAATTCTAGAAGTTTGAAAGATTCCAAACATTCTAAAAACCTTAAAGATCCTCTAGATTAGAAAGACTATAGAAATTCCAAATTGTGAATCAATTCAAGTTCTAAGATCTTAACTATAAGCAAGATTCCACAAAACCTTAAAAATATTAAAGATTCTCGGGATTCTATAAATTCTAAATATTTTAAACTGCTAGTAATCCCAAAGTGTCCAAAATGTCCGATGATTCTAAAGACTTCAGACATTCTAAAGATCTTCAAGATCCTATAAATTAGAAAGATTAGAGAAAGACCTGAATGTAAATAAGCTAAAGTTGTAAGATTTTAAATATAAAAAAGATCCAACAAAATCCAAAAAATGTTAAAAGATCCTGGAAATTCTAAAGTACTTTAAAGATCCTGGAGATTCTAGAAATTTTAAACCTTCCAATGATCCTAAAGACTAAAGAATAAAGTCTTTAAAGGTCCTCTAGATTAGAAAAACTCTAAATGGTGATCCAACTCAAATTCTAAGACTCTAAATATGTATAAGAAATATCCAACAAAATCTTAAACATCCAAAAAAATTCTAGAAATTCTAGGGAGCTTAAAGTCTCCAAAATGGCAAATGATTCTAAAGACTCCAGACATTCTAAAGACCTTAAAAATCCTATAAATTAGAAAGACTAGAGACATTCCAAATTGTAAATAAACTAATGTTCTAAAATTTTAAATATAAGAAAGTTCCAATAAATTCCTAAAAAAAAAATAGAGATTGTGAGGGCCCTAAAGATCCTAGAAATTGCAGAGAGGAGTTTAAAGATTCTCGAGATTCTAGAAACTCCAATCTAAACTACTAGTAAACCTACAGTGTCCAAAATGTCCAATGATTTTCAAGACCTTAAAGATCCTCTAAATTAGAAAGATTTGAGAAATTCCAAATTATAAATAATCTAATTTTCTAAGCTTCTAAATATAAGAAAGATCCAACAAGTCTCGAAAATTTTAAAGATCCTTGAAATTCCAGAGAGCCCTTGGAGATTTTAGAAATTCTAAATATTCTAAACTTCTAGTACTCCTATAGAGTCCAAAATTTCGTATGATTTTAAAAACTCCAGGCATTCTAAAGACCTTCAAGATCCTATAAATTAAAAAGATTGTAGAAAGTTCTGATTGTAAACAAGCTAAAGTTCTAAAATTCTAAATATAAGAAAGATCCAACAAAATCCTAAAAATGTTACAGATTCTAGAAATTCTAGAATACCTTAAAGATCCTGGAGAGTTTAAAAAATTTAAAGACCTTAAATGATCCTCTAGATTAGAAAAACTCTAAATTGTGATTCAACTCAAGTTCTAAGATTCTTGATATCTATAAGAAATATCCAACAAATCTTAAAAATTCTGAAGATCTTTAGGGTCCAAAAAAATCCTAAAAATTCTAGAGAGCTTAAAGATCCTCGAAATTCTAAAAATTTTAAACTTCTAGTAATCCTGAAGTGTCCAAAATGTCCCCTGATTCTAAAGACCTTAAAGATCCTATAAATTAGAAAGATTAGGGAAATTCCAAATTGTAAATAAACTAAAGTTCGAAAATAGTCATATAAGAAAGATCCAACAAAATCCTAAAAGTTTTAAAGATCCTGAGGATCTTAATGATCCTAGAAATTCTAGTTCGCCTTAGAAATTCTAAACATTCTAAAGTTCCCAAAATCTCAAAAATGTCCAATGATTCTAAAGACTCCCAGACATTCTAAAGAACTTAGAGATGCTGAGACTTTTAAAGGTTCTTGAAATTTTAGAAACCTTAAAAATCCTGGAAATTCTAAATATCCTAAACTTCTAGTAATCCTAAAGTATATAATACTAGAGACTCCAGACATTCTAAAGATCTATAAATTAGAAAGATTGGACAAATTCCAAATTGTAAATAAACTAAAGATTGTCATATAAGAAAGATCCAACAAAGATCCTAAAATCCTCAGGATCCTAAAGATGTCAGAAATTCTAGAGAGACTTAGGGGATCCTGAAATTCTAAACATTCCAAATTGTAAATAAACTAATGTTCTAAGATTCTAAATATAAGAAAGTTCCAACAAATTCCTAAAAAAAGTAAAATTTTAGAGAGCTTTAAATATCCTCGAGATTCTAAAAACTCCAAACAATCTGAACTGTTGGTGTCCAAAAATCCAATGAATATAAAGACCTTAAAGATCCTCTAAATTAGAAAAAATTGAGAAATCCCAAATTGCAAATAATCTGACTTTCTAAGATTCTTAATATAAGAAAGATCCAACAAAATCTTAAAAAATTTAAAGATCCTTGAAATTCTAGAGAGCCTTAAAGATCCTGGAGATTTTAGAAATTCTAAATATTCTAAACTTCTAGTAATCCTATAGTGTCCAAAATGTCCAATGATTCTAAAGACTCTAGACATTCTAAAGACCTTCGAGATCCTATAAATCAGAAAGATGGAGAAAGTCGTGAGTGTAAATAAATTAAAGTCTTCAAATTTTAAATATAAGAAAGATCCAACAGAATTCTAAAAATGTTAAAGATCCTAGGAATTCTAGAGTCCCTTAAAGATCCTAGAGATTCTAAAATTTTAATCATTCAAAATTTTTGATAATCCAAAATGTCCAATTCTAAAGACTCGAGATATTCTAAAGACCTTATAGATCCTCTAGATTAGGAGAATTAGAGAAATTCTAAATTGTGACTCAACTCAAGTTCTAAGATTCTAAATTTATATAAGAAATACCCAACAAAATCTTAAAAATAGCGGAAAAAAGAATTTAAAGCTCCTGTAAATTAGTAAGATAAGAAAAATTCCAAATTTAAATAAACTAAAGTTCTAAATTCTAAATATAAGAAAGATCCAACAAAATCCTAAAATTTTTAAAGATCCTGGAAGACCCAAAATAAAGCCTTAAAGCTCGTGGACATTCTAGAAATTCTAAACCTTCTAAACTTTTAGTAATCCTGAAGAATCCAAAATGTCCAATGATTCTAAAAACTCCAGACATTCTAGAAACTTTAAGTTGTAAATAAACGAAAGGTCTAAGATTCTAAATATAAGGAAGATGCAACAAAGTCCTACAAATTTTAAATATCCTGAGGATAAGATCTTAGAAATTCAGAGCCTTAAAGATCTTTTATCTTCTCGAAATTTTCAACTTCTAATAATTTTAGAGTGCTCAAAATGTCCAATGATTCTAAAGACTCCCGATATTTTTAAAGAGCTTAAAGATCCTCTAAATTAGAATGATAAGAGACTTTCCACGTTGTAAATAAACTAAAGATATTGGTAGTCCTAAAGATCCTAAAAATTCTGGGGAGATTCTTGAAATTCTAGTAATCCCAAAGTGCACAAAATGACCATTAATGTGAAATAACGGACTTAAAAATCAACAATTACGTTGAAAAATTATGCTTGTCACATGAGCACAGCAAAAGTGATGGAGTTTTTTAGGGCAAATAATTCAGATCAATTATCATTTTCTGTTTTCCAGTACTTTTATACGTATGCAATTAATTAATCAAGGAAGCGAAGATATTTACTAAGTGACATATTGCTAAGTTTGAAATGACTTTGGAATTATTCTGTATATTTGGCGCAGAGTAAAAAGGGCATCTACTTATACAGCCGTGATGTAAAGTCTTTTAATTCATGTAATACGTATGTTCAGTGCTCTGAATACATTATTATAAACCTTGTGACTAACCTCCATGGATATAATATGACACTATATATTTTTTAAATTGCATTAATTACAACAATGTTCTTAGTACATCATCACGTAGCTACTCATTGAAGTAGGTAGTATTAAAGAATTAATTTAATTAATACAATTAAAAAAAAAAAACTTTCATACTACTTACATTAATGTGTAAAATATTTAGGGCTTTATTAAATTAGGCGATAGGGTCACTTTCGCGGAGCACTGAATATACATGAACAGAGTCACATGACACCACTAGAACGCATTGCAATAAAAATTTACAATGTCAATATTTGCACTTCGGTCCTATTGTATATGAAATTAATACTAAAACCAATGGCGTTTACAGAATTTCAGACTTCAATCCGTGTCCAAACACGCGCCAGGAAGTTGATGATTGATTGACAACAACGTCATCTGTTTATAGTTGTGAATTTTAAAAAAGCGGTTCAACCCGTTGTGAGTTTCAGATCGTCAGGACCTCGTAACCGTGTAAATAGCTAACGTCTATCATTGCGTATGCTCGTATGCAAAATAACGTTTCTTTAGCCTAACTCCGCGTATTCATTCATAACTGGGACTGGTGTATTTTAGACTAACGCTTGTTGAGTGCATGGCCTTCTAGTGACTGATCTGTCTTTCCAGGGTGACACCTCCGGAGATTACAAGAGAGTCCTCCTGGCCGTGGTTGACTAATTCACCTATACCTCTCTGTAAACGCACCATAATTATATATAGCTTCATCATACTGCCATTCACTTACAATATCGTCCCAATAATTGGCACTCAACGTGTTGTTTTCTGTATTGCAGGAAGATCTTGGCGGAGATTTGCAGTACTTGTTGGTAACATTAACAGCTGGTTAAGTCACTAGCTCAGGATACACAACTCGATATTCAATTAAAGCTTATTATATTCTAGACCTTAGTTTAGTGGCCTTAAAACTCAGAGCTTTATATTTGTAATGTTATAATGGAGTATTTATGATGTTACTAATTATTTTACTGAGGGTTTTAATGTTAAGGAGGGTGAGGGCATTTTCTTTTTTTATATGTATATGAAGTTTCGAGATTAAAATTTTTGTAACGTTTATAAATGTGCTTAAGTGGTGCTTAAATTAAAACTATATTTAAAATACTGTTAACACTGTTTCAGTTATAAATAATACATATAAATAAGTTAGATCTTAACCTAAGTCCGAGTGGAACGTCACAGATCAGGATCAAGCCGGGTACAGCGGTGACCTCAGGCGAGAGGTCATACCCGGCTCAATTTACGACGCAAGCCGATGGACGACGACAACGACGAAGTCAACAGTCCCAACGATGGCAATTTACGACTCGTTATCGTCCTGTCTCCTTATCATGTGGAAATATCGGGTGGTTCGTTTGCGACCCATGTTGCATATCTTAAAATGGCACAGCGTGAGATCTGCAACAACTGCCACAGTTAGGCTTCACACCCACAACTATTTGCGTTGACGAACGTCAATTAAACAAGTCGCGTGTGCCAAACACCTTACATAACCTCAATTATTAGCGACGCAAGTCTGCGTTATGTAACGTGTCGTAGCGGAAAATTTGGGTCCTGGATGGCTAAAGTTACTTTTTTAATGCCTACTCAGGTCACAATTTTTCTCGGTCTTGGCATGTGTGATCGGTACTTACAACTGACGTATCTCTTGTTTCTCTGTCGCAGAGTTTTGACTAGCAAGTAGGCCTTTGTCGCTTTTGGCTGCTTACCATTTTTGCCTATGGTGGTTGTGGGTGTGTCGATGTACACTTGCTGTACTCGAGATAGTACGTCTACTTCGTTATTGTTACTCGCTCGATCGTTCTGAAACAAGGAAAAATCGTAATTATGCGTTTGCGTCGCTTTTTATGTTATTGTCAATCTCGTTTCGTGGACACGGCAACAAAAACAATTTTTATTGATTGAAATTTTTTCTACGGTCGTCGTTAAACATTCATTACGGAAGCGGTGATTATCGCTAATCGGTTGTTGAACAACGAAATGCCATTTGGTTGTGTGTATTTTTGGTAGCTGATTGACAACGTTTCATTAGTTTTATTTTCTCGTTATTGTTTCATACATAATTTTTTCATTAAACATTGGGTACACTTTTATGACGTTAAAAAGAAAAAAGAGCAATTCGTAATAAAATTATTTGAATTACATCGGGTGATTTTTTAAATTTCTGCTCTAGTTACTCATGACACTTACGTCAGCAGTTTCAATTTCAAGCTAGAGCTCAATGCTAATATATAGCTCATACTAAATCTAACTAAATTTTCGACGAATATTACAAAACTAAAAATCGTTAGCCTAAGATGTGATGATTTTTTTGGTTCCATGTACAGAGATATCAGAGAGATTTGTCTTTGATTGCATTTTGGTCACTTTGACGATCAAAGACAAATTTTTAAAAATTCATGGCTGCTTTTGATCATGTTTTTATTGCTCTCTCGAGAGAAATCGTCAAAAAAATAACTTTCCAAGAAGTAAAATCCAAGAATGCAATTCTGACGAAATACTTAAAATTAGGGTTATAAAACATGTGCTTGTGCTTCAGTCATATCATGTTTTTATAATCCTTTATACTGGATGTTTCTACAATTAAGGTAAGTATAGAACAATTTATTTATGTTATCAATTATCTCTGAAAATGCTCATCCATCAGCCCTGAAATTTTGATTTTACGTATGGTACATGTATAACCCCAAAAAGTATATGACTTTATTAAAAAAAAATATTTAGTGGTTATTTCAGACAGTTGATTCTAAGTGCCACTAATGTTCATCTGTGAAAGATGGGTGTCGGAAGTGGAGTGCATTGGAAAAATAGTATATACGACTACCAAATATTAAAATTTTAAACGAAAAAAATAAACACCCAGTATATATCACTAAGCGCTCTTCAATTTCTCATTATTAGAAATAGCAAAAGAAAAAAACTGAAGTTATATGGCTTTTTGAGAACCGTACACAAAGTCGTTTTTTTTTTTATATTTTTACATATTTTAACTACAATTTCGATGCGACGTTGCCACAATGCCATTTTTTTTATTTCTTAGCAATGGATTTATGTTTAAAATCTGTGTTACATTACTTTATAGTGTAAACATAATTGAGCCTTAATGTACAGGGTGTTTATACAACATTAAATTACCTATTACACTTTTTACGCTTCGATTTATCAGTTTTTTCCAAATAGAACACTCTGTATTTTATTACTGCGTCTTAATATGTTTTTTGTTATCTGTTTACCTAATGCAGTTTTTAAAAATAACATTATGTATTACGTTTATTTTCAACTCGTGCATTGTTAAAAAAAATCAAAAAAACTGAGATAATATGGCAATGTCGCATGTAATCTGTAAAAATATATGGGGCGTTCCATATAAAAAAATAAATGTTATCCCTCAAAGCCAAAACCCTCTGTATAGTCGAAATTATATTCAAAGAACCGTACAACTTTGGCGTCTCATCATGTATATTATAAAAATGGAATAAATTTTGCAAACTGACACTGATTTCATTGTTACATGAAATCATGAAGACTGGAACAAATTTTCGAAATTATTTTATACACCGGGTGTCCCAGTTTATCTTGTTTCACTCTAAAAATAACTCTCACTCTATTTGAAAAAGATATAAGTCGGAAATTTAGAATGTTTAATTAGCACAACGAAATATTTGTGCCGAATATACGAGTAGTTTTTCTGGAAATGACATCAGCTTTTTCTTTTCGAATACAATAGAGTACATATATGTATTTGAGCTAATAAAGTGAAACCGTTCAGTAGGAATGACGTCATTTAAAATTAACGGAATTACTTATCAAAAACATACTCCATAAAAGTATATTTTTATAGATTTATTTGTGCTAATTAATCTTGCTAAATTGCCAACTTTTATTTTTTGCATAACTGAGATATTAAAATCGAATAAGAAGACTGGGACACCCGGTATACTTAATTATATTAACAAAAACCATGAAAACAACCACATATTTAAATAAATAAATAAATAATAAATAAATAAAGTTTATTGCCCAACAGAACTACACATTCCAGTTACAGGACAATTATAAAGAATATAAAAACAATGACAACAATTCAGAATCAAAGAAAATAACAAATTAATAAATTAAATGCATAAATAATCAAAGATCTCAATATAATGAAACATAAGAACAGTAACTTAACTTAAATAAAATTAAAATAGAAATAAATGAATGAATGAATAAATTAAAGCCGAAATAAATACCTACATTTATCTGCAATATCAAAAATCAAACACACAATCTGTAAATCTAGGCATATACATCAAGAAATAAATAACTTAAATTAAAATACAACAGTATGAAAACCATATCTGAAAGTAAAGTGTAAACTACTTAAGCTTAATTCTAACAGTGTCTTTTATAGACTTAAGGCTAGTGTTAAAAATGTCAAAATCGGAATTCATTTCTATTTCTTTTAAAAAATAGCTTATTAGATATATCGGTGCTTTTCTCCCAAAATTAGTTCTAGCAATGCTAGTGTATAATGTTACAGAATGCCTGCTGCTAGTTCTAGGTACCAGAAAGGACAAAGAATTAGTTAAGGCCCTGCAATCAATTTGATTATTTAATAATTTATATAAAAAGACGATAACGCCAGTAACACGTCTACAAAATAATGAACTCATATCAAATTTTTCTAGTAGAGCTGTTTGCGGATAATTTCTCGTTGGCCATGTTTTCTGTTCCTTAAAATAGAGGTACTTTAAAAATCTGCGCTGTATGTTCTCAAGGCATACTACTTGATAGTTGTAATAAGGAAACCAAGCTAACGCACAGTATTCTAATTTAGAGCGCACCAAAGCATAGAACAAAGTTTTCAAAGCTTGAATGCTAGTGAAATCTTTGCAGTTTCTAATAAGGAACCCTAGTGATCTTTTAGCTTGTGAAGTAATGCTCTCCACATGTTCTGCAAAACTGAACTTATTATCATACAAAACACCTAAATCCAAAATGGAAGAGCATTTCTGTAAGCTGTGATGATTGATTTTGTAATCAAACTCGCATACATTAAGCTTGTGTGTGAACGAAATAATAAAGGATTTATTCTCATTTAAAGGTAAAAAGTTGAGCAATGACCAAGAAACCAAATTATTTATGTCTTTTTGAAGAAGCAAGGAGTCACTATTACCACTAATTTCACGGTATATTTTAATATCATCTGCGAAAATGAGAACTTTTGAGTAGCGAATACAATCTAGCACATCGTTAATAAATAATGTGAATAGCAAAGGACCAAGAGTGGAGCCCTGCGGCACTCCAGCAGCTGTGATGTAACTGTTGGACTTAAATCCATTTACTACCACAAAATTGTTGCGCTTAGTCAAATAAGATTCAAAAAGATTTGTGAGAGAATTAGAGAAACCAATATTCGACAGCTTTCTTAATAAGAGCTGGTGGTTGACTCTGTCAAAGGCCTTTGAAAAATCACCATACATCACGTCCAATTGACCTCTGTTATCCAAAGCCTGAGATATATCTTGGGAATAGCAAGTTAAATTCGTTAAAGTGGATCTGCCCATGGTAAACCCATGTTGGCCCTCATTTACTAACAACTTAGTTTGGAAGGAGATCTGATTAAAAAGAATACGTTCAAATATTTTTGAAAAATTGCACAGCAACGAAATAGGTCTATAATTGCTCACTGCTGAAACATCACCACTCTTGAAAATGGGCACAATCTTGGCGGTTTTCCACTTATCCGGAAAGCATGAAGTTTTTAAAATTATATTAATGATATGCATTAGGGGCTTAACGAAAACATTAGAACAGTCTTTAACCAGAAAACTGGGAACTTGATCATCTCCAGCAACTTGACTATCCTTAAGTAATTTTATTGCCCTGCTTACATCATCTTCAGAAATAACCACATTAATGCAACTATTACTAATACCTGTAAGCTGACTTGAATGAGCAAAACTATTCAATGAAGGATTATGAAAAGACGAAGAAAAGAATTTAGCAAAGCAATTAACAATATCAGCTGGGTTATCATGAAAATTATGGTTAAGGTGAACTTTATTGGGAATATTGGAGCGCCCCTTTTTTTCTTTGATATACGACCAGAAGTATTTAGGATCACGCAGTAAAGCATGCTGAACATTTTTAATGTAGTTATTAAAATCCCGACGCAAGAGTTGTTTAACAATACGACGTAAAGAACTGAAGTGATTTCGAAGATGACAGGAAGGCTTTCGTTTGATTTCTCTAAACACTTTATGCTTCAGAATGATTTGTTGTCTAAGTTCAGTAGTATACCAACTCGGGAAACTGAATTTGGAACATTTAAACAATGGTACATGTTTATCAAACAATGAGTACAATATTCTGTATAACGTCTCACAGGCACTATTCACATTAGTGGACTCATACAGGACATCCCAATTAGTGGTTAATAGACCATTATATAAAGAAACATAGTCCGCCTTTTTAAAGTTATAAGTTTTTACATCTGTACACATAGACAAATTTTCGTAGGTACCAGTTTTTAAAACCAAATTAATATTAAGCGCAGGATGGTGTCGATCTTCTGGCACAATAGGACAGGTGTCCTGTTCAACCAAACATTTGCCGTAATTGGTAAAAACTAAGTCCAGTAATACCTTATTACAGTTACGAATATTGTTATACTGTGTAAGGTTCAAAAAAGACATCATATTAAATACTAAATTAGATTTTGAATCTTTTACATTATTCGAAAAAGTAGGAGCATTGAAGTCACCAATTATAAGAATATTATCTAATTCAACAGCAATATTTTCAAAACATTCTAAAAATAATTCATATTCTTGAATGGACACATCCGGAGGAATATATATCACAAAAATAAATAAAGAACTACGTCCACAACATAACTTACAAGCAACTATATCAATAAGATGAAAAGCGTCGAAAACTGATAAATCAACACTCGACACAGGAAATTTGTCACTAACTGCTAAGACCACCCCTCCACCTCTTTGCCGATTACTACATGTAAAATTACGATCGGCACGAAACACACAATAACTAGATGGCATAAATTCACAATTACTGATTGATGAGTCAAGCCATGACTCAGTTAAACAAATGACATCATAATCCGAAACATTTAAACAAAAAAATACCTCATTAACTCTCATTAACATTTAGAAAAATACCGGCAAAAAAAAAATCACTATCAAAGTTAACCATGGATTTCTGAAGGTTTGTCTTTAATCCTTGCATTTTCAACTCAAACTTCCAAATTGACGGTAGAACAAGACGAAAATTCCATCAGAGACAATTTTCAAAGTTCCATGGTTGTCTTTGATCGTCTTTTTTGTTGCTCTCTCGGCACATCATGCCAAGTATACTGGGACACCCGGTATATTAATTCTTCTTTAACATAAAAACGATTTTTTCAAGTCAAAATATTTACATATGAGTACCACATATTTAGAAAAATACCAACCAGAAAATAAAAAAAAAAACAGTATCAAAGTTAAGCATGAATTTCTGAAGGTTTGTCTTTGATCGTTACATTTTCAACTCAGACTTCCAAATTGACGATAGAACAAGACGAAGATTCTATCAAAGCCAATCTTCAAAATTCCATCGTTGTTTTTGATCGTGTTTTTTGTTGCTCTCTCGACACATCATGCCAAGTACACTGGGACACCCGGTATATTAATTTTTCTTTAACGTAAAAACAATTTTTTGAAGACAAAATATTTACATGAAAACTACCACATATTTAGAAAAATACCGACCAGAAAATAAAAAAAAAACACTATCAAAGTTAACCATGAATTTCTGAAGGTTTGTCTTTGATCGTTGCATTTTCAACTCAAACTTCCAAATTGACGATAGAACAAGACGAAGATTCTATCAAAGACAATCTTCAAAATCCCATAGTTGTTTTTGATCGTGTTTTTTATTGCTCTCTTGGCACATCACGCCAAGTACACTGGGACACCCGGTATATTAATTTTTCTTTAACGTAAAAACGATTTTTTGAAGACAAAATATTTACATGAAAACTACCACATATTTAGAAAAATACCGACCGGAAAATAAAAAAAAACACTATCAAAGTTAACCATGTATTTCTGAAGGTTTGTCTTTGATCGTTGCATTTTCAACTCAAACTTCCAAATTGACGATAGAACAAGACGAAAATTCTATCAAAGACAATCTTCAAAATTTCATAGTTGTTTTTGATTGTGTTTTCTGTTGCTTTCTCGGCACATCATACCAAGTACACTGGGACACCCGGTATATTAATTTTTCTTTAACGTAAAAACGATTTTTTGAAGACAAAATATTTACATGAAAACTACCACATTTAGGAAAATACTGACCGGAAAATAAAAAAAAAACACTATCAAAGTTAACCATGTATTTCTGAAGGTTTGTCTTTGATCGTTGCATTTTCAACTCAAACTTCCAAATTGACGATAGAACAAGACGAAGATTCTATCAAAGCCAATCTTCAAAATTCCATAGTTGTTTTTGATCGTGTTTTTGTTGCTCTCTCGGCACATCATGCCAAGTACACTGGGACACCCGGTATATTAATTTTTCTTTAACGTAAAAACAATTTTTTGAAGACAAAATATTTACATGAAAACTACCACATTTTTAGAAAAATATCGACCAGAAAATAAAAAAAAACACTATCAAAGTTAACCATGTATTTCTGAAGGTTTGTCTTTGATTGTTGCATTTTCAACTCAAACTTCCAAATTGACGATAGAACAAGACGAAAATACTATCAAAGACAATCTTCAAAATTGCATTGTTGTTTTTGATTGTGTTTTTTGTTGCTCTCTCGGCACATCATACCAAGTACACTGGGACACCCGGTATATTAATTTTTCTTTAACGTAAAAATGATTTTTTGAAGACAAAATATTTACATGAAAACTACCACATATTTAGAAAAATACCGACCAGAAAATAAAAAAAAAAACACTATCAAAGTTAACCATGTATTTCTGAAGGTTTGTCTTTGATCGTTCCATTTTCAACTCAAACTTCCAAATTGACGATAGAACAAGACGAAAATTTTATCAAAGACAATCTTCAAAATTGCATAATTGTTTTTGATTGTGTTTTTTGTTGCTCTCTCGGCACATCATACCAAGTACACTGGGACACCCGGTATATTAATTTTTCTTTAACATAAAAACGATTTTTTGAAGACAAAATATTTACATGAAAACTACCACAGATTTAGAAAAATACCGACCAGAAAATAAAAAAAAAACACTATCAAAGTTAACCATGTATTTCTGAAGGTTTGTCTTTGATTATTGCATTTTCAACTCAAACTTCCAAATTGACGATAGGACAAGACGAAAATCCTATCAAAGACAATCTTCAAAATTCCATAGTTGTTTTGATTGTGTTTTTTGTTGCTCTCTCGGAACATCATACCAAGTACACTGGGACTCCCGGTATATTAATTTTTCTTTAACATAAAAACGATTTTTTGATGACAAAATATTTACATGAAAACTACCACATTTTTAGAAAAATATCGACCAGAAAATAAAAAAAAACACTATCAAAGTTAACCGTGTATTTCTGAAGGTTTGTCTTTGATCGTTCCATTTTCAACTCAAACTTCCAAATTGATGTAGAACAAGACGAAAATTCTATCAAAGACAATTTTCAAAGTTCCATGGCTGTCTTTAATCGTGTTTTTGTTGCTCCCTCGGCACATCATGCCAAGTACACTGGGGCACCCGGTATATTAATTGTTCTTTAACATAAAACCGATTTTTCGAAGACAAAATGCTTACTTTGTTCATGAAACAGTGCATAGGGAAATTTGACAAAAAACATGAAAACTATAACATATTTGGAAAAAAACACCATCAAAGACAACCATGTATTTTTCAAGGTTTGTCTTTGATCGTTGCATTTTCAACTCAAACTCAAGACGAAAATTCTATCAAAGACAATCTTCCAAATTCCATGGCTGTCTTTGATCGTTTCTTTTGTTGCTCTCTCGGCATATCATGCTAATCTGAATTATACAGGGTGAGTCACTAAGCGCACGTTCCTCGATATCTCATTAATTATTAGAAATAGAAAAAAAATCAACGACCAACGTTTTTGTTAATTTTTTTAATAAAATTTCTTATATTTTAATTGACCTTTCTCTAGTCTTTACAATCACAGTTTATTTCTGAAATTACGTGCGACGTTGCCACGTTATTCCAATTTTTTTGAAATTTTTTGGGCAATGAAAGGGTTCACAAAAGAAATCACAGTAGGGTTATTTTAAAAATCTATGTTACAACATTTCGTGGAGAGATAAAGAAAGTACGCGCTATGTTGTGGTATAAACGAAATGACATTTTCATATACAGACTGTTCACAAAATATGTTTTAATTATTACAATTTTCAAATACCAGTATTTCAGTTTTCTACAGTTAGTTTCAGTTTAGAACACCTCTGTTACTTTTTTACGAGACATATCGACATATTAGAAGAATAAGGACAAAAAATAGAGAGAGTAAGATACACTAATAAAATACAGGATGATCCATTTAAAAAACTAAAATATAGTAATGTATAATTGAATACGCAATCCGTAAATTTTTTGTTATGTTTTTTTGTAATATTCTTATAAAAACATATATAAAGTATTATTAACAAATGAAACTGTAAAAATATATAGGGTGTTTCATTGACTCACCCCGTATATTAAAAAAACTAAGCTGTGTGCCATGTTCCAAAAACAAAACACTCACTCTGTATGGTCGAAAATAATTTTAATGTAAACTTAAACAAGGGTCAAACGGTTGGTGATTCACCCTGTATATATAGCAGCTGTTTCATATGTAAAAAAAAATCAAAACGAAACTCTAATCATTTTAAAATAATTTTCTCAATTTTAAATTTTTTCAAATTTTTAATACATAATATTTTTTTTTAAGTTTCAAAATTGAATTTTAGGTAAAAATAATAATATTGTTTCGTAAACAACAATTTCCTTAAAACTTAATTTATTATTAGATCTCTTATTTTTTCAACACAATTTAAAAAATGTTTTATTCAATTTGAAAAAAAAAATAACCACATATTAGAAAAATTCTTCTTCAGGACCCAAATATATTTAATTTTTTTTCTAAGCAAGATGGTCATTTAAAAGGTTTAAATTTTGAAGAATCTGTTCAATGTTTAAACCATGCGAATATACGAGGTTTAGCGTAAAACTTACCGAAATCGAGACATACGACCTGTACATCTCGTCGTCGCTCTTCCCCTGCCCGTTGGCGATGACGTGCCGCTCCACCGGCAGCGCAAAAATATAATCACCGAAGAAACCTCCGAAAATTCCCGTCACGAAAACCACCTCTACCGCAATTCGCATCTCAAAGTAGTCCGAATCGTCCAAACGAAAAACGAAAAAATAAAAGCGTCGATCTCCACCGGTTCCAAGCTCGCCGGACTACGCACACATCTCACTTTTCGGAAACCCAGTCGGAAGAGCCGCAAAATCGCTTCCAGTCGACTAAATGCACATTTGTTTACCGAAGAGAGGCGTGGAAACTATAGCGAGCTATTAATTTTTGTCGAACATTTATATATATGTTATCCCCTCTTACCTCACCGACCTAAGAAAACTCCCCGCTAGATTCGCGGCGGCGATTCAGATTTGCACATTTCTCGTATGAATGAAATCACGTTGACGATTGTTAGTCTACCTGTTGATAGCATCCCTTACGAAAGCGGCGCCGCCGCCAGCTGGGGGCCCAATTTGGAGGCACGAGGTTGGCTTTGTTCGCGAAAAACGAGATGTATGCGAGAGCGTGTTTACACCTGCAAATTTATACAGGTGGGATGAGAAAAATTGTTTCCTTTGCTGAATTAATCCGGGATTTGCATGGGAGGGAGGGCGGCGTGGTATTGAGAGATGGGCTGTCAAGCGGCCGCGAGGTGCTGAATGTCGCGTGATCCGAGGAAAAAAGAAAAAATGTTGTAGCTATTTCCAGTACAAAAAGAGCTATTATACATAGAAAAACTAAAAACAATTTTAGGCGTAAATTGGATTTTTAAGGAAAAAAAAACCTGATAAAATATTGAGCCCAAATATACAAATATAATTTTAGGAGTTTCACAAGGGTGCCACCTTACCCCTATTCGTTTTTCCTTTATATGAATGATCTGCTTGTATTTTTAAATTTTCCAAAAAACATTGAAACTATTTCCTGATTAAAATAAACATTTTATTTTGAAAAAAATCATTTTTGTGTTGTGAATAGTTTTGGAGGAAATTTGTTTTAATACAATACTGGGTGTCCCATTGTATTTCGATTTTAATGTCTTTAATTAAGCAAAAAAAGTAAGAGTTTATAATTTAGCAACATTAATTGGTACAAAGAAATCTAGAATGCGCATTATACATCACTTACGGTTTTTTCGGAAGTGACATTTTTTCTTAAATAGAGGGCGTGTTTTTATATTTTCAGGAATAATCACAAAAGCAACTTTTTTAATTTTACACTCGTACTAAACTTTTCCATTTCCATCCAATATCTCAAATATTCTATGTTCAATTTGAAAAGAAAAAGTTGATATCAGTTCCGGAAAAACTGATAAAATAAAAAATAAATTTCCGATTCTTATCTGTTCAAATAACTCGAGGTGTTTTAGAGTGAAACAGATAAACTAGGACACCCTGTATCTAATATAATTTCGAAAATTTGTTCAAGTATTCACGATTTCACTGTAACAATGAACTGTGTCTGTTTGCAAAATTTATAAAGACCCAATATAATTCGATTTTTGAGAAAAATGAGAAAATCGAAAAATCAAATCATTAAAAATTCGAAAAATCGAAATTTGGGAAACCGAGAAACTGAAAATCAAGAAAAATTAAGAAATTGAAAATTTGAGAAATTGAGAATTTCAAAAATCGACAAACGAAAAGAAAAACCGAAAATTCGAAAAATTAAAAAATCGAAAAATCAACAACCGAAAAATCAACCAATCGAAAAAATGGCAAATTGAGAAATCCTACAATGGAAAAAACGAAAAATTGAGAAATCGAAAAAAAAAAATTAAAAATTAGAAAAAGCAAAAAATCGAAAAATGGAAAAATTGAAACATCGAAAAATCAAAAATAAAAATTCGAGAAATCGAAAATTGAGAAATTGAGAAACTGAAAATCAAGAGAAATTGAGACTTTAAAATCCGAGAAATGGAAAATTCCAAAAATCGGCAAACGAAAAAAAGGAAAATTGAAAATTTGAAAAATTAAAAAATATCGAGAAAACGACAACCGAAAAATATACTAATCGAAAACATGAAAAATTGAGAATTCGAAAAATCAAGATTGAAACATTCGAAAAAATGGTAAATTGAAGAATCCTACAATCGAAAAAAGGAAAAATTGAGAAATCTAAAGGAAAACTTAAAACAAGCAAAAAACGGAAAATGTAAGAATCGAAACATCGAAAACTAGAAAAATCGAAAAATCAAAAAAAATTAAAATTCGCGAAATCGAAAATTGAGAAACTGACAAATTGAAAATGAAGGAATCGACAAACCGAAAATTCAAATAATCGAAAATTGAGAAATTGAGAAACTGAAAATCAAGAAAAATTGAGAAATTGAAAATTCGAAAAATCGAAACACCGAAAAGTCGCAAAATCCAGACTTGAACATGAGAGAAATTGAAAATCTCAAAAATCCACAAACGAAAAATCAACCAAGCGAAAAAATTAAAAAATGAGAATTTGAAAAATCAAAAAATGAAAAAATTTAAACATCAAAAAAATCGAAAAATGGAAAAATCAAAAAAATAATAATTCGAGAAATCGAAAATTGAGAAATCGAAAAATTGAAAATGAAGAAATTGACAAAAAAATTAAACAATCGAAAATATAAAAAATTAAGAATTCGAAGAATCGAAAATTGAGAAATCGAGAAACTTAAAATCAAGAAAAATTAAAAAATTGGGAATTGAAAATTCGAAAAATCGACAAACGAGAAATAGAAAAACTGAAAAGTAGAAAAATTCAAAAATTCAAAATTGACAACTGAAAAATCAACCAATCGAAAAAATGAAAAATTGAGATTTCGAAAAATCAAAAATGAAAAATCCTACAATCGAAAACACGAAAGATTGAGAAATCGGAAAAAGAAAAATTAAAAATTAGGAAAAACAAAAAATCGAAAAATGGAATACAATTAAATCATGGAAAAATAGAAAAATCGAAAAATCAAAAAAATTAAGATTCGAGAAACCCAAAAATTGAGAACCAAAAAATAGAGAAACTGAGAAAAGGGAATATCGAGGAATCGAGAAATTTAAAAATTGAAAAGTAGACGAGGAAACGAAAAGTTCCAAAAAAATTGAAAAATCGACCACCGAAAAATCAACCAAAAAATGGCAGATTGAGAAATCCTACAATCGAAAAAACGAAAAATTGGGAAATCGAAAAAGGAAAAATTAAAAATTGGGAAAAGCAAAAAATTGAAAAATGGAAAAATTGAAACATCGAAAAATCAAAAATAAAAATTCGAGAAATCGAAAAATCAAACCACTGAAAAAATAACAACTGAGAATTTGGAAAATCGAAAATTGAGAAACTGAGAAACTGAAAACCAAGAAAAATTGAGACTTTTAAACCGAGAAATGGAAAATTCCAAAAATCGACAAAACGAAAAAAAAAGAACACTAAAAATTCGAAAAATTAAAAAAATTGAGAAAACGACAACTGAAAAATCAACCAATCGAAAACTTGAAAAATTGAGAATTCGAAAAATTAAAATTCAAACATCCGAAAAAATTGTAAATTAAAAATCCTACAATCGAAAAAAGGAAAAATTGAGAAATCGAAAGAGAAAAACTTAAAAATTAGAAAAAGCAAAAAACGGAAAATGGAAGGATCGAAACATCGAAAACTAGAAAAATCGAAAAATCAAAAAAATAAAAATTCGAGAAATCGAAAAATGAGAAATTGACAAATTGAAAATGAAGAAATCGACAAACCGAAAAATCAAACAATCGAAAATATAAAAAACTAAAAATTAGAAAAAGCAAAAAATGGAAGAATCGAAACATCGAAAACTAAAAAAATCGAAAAATCAAAAAAATAAAAATTCGAGAAATCGAAAATTGAGAAATTGACAAATTGAAAATGAAGAATTCGACAAACCGAAAAATCAAGCAATCGAAAATATAAAAAAATTGAGAATTCCAAGAATCGAAAATTGAGAAATTGAGAAACTGAAAATCAAGAAAAATTGAGGAATTGAAAATTCGAAAAATCGAAAACCGAAAAGTCGCAAAATCCAGACTTGAACATGCGAGAAATTGAAAATCCCAAAAATTCACAAACGAAAAAAATTAAAAATTGAGAATTTGAAAAATCAAAATTGAAACATTCGAAGAAATGGTAAACGAGAAATCCTACAATCGAAAAAAGAACTAAAATTTAGAAAAAGCAAAAAATGGAAAAATTGAAACATCAAAAAAAAAATAGAAAAATCGAAAAATCAAAAAAATAAAAATTCGAGAAAACGAAAACCGAGAAATCGAAAATTGAAAATGCAAAAATTGACAAAACAAAAAATCAAACAATCGAAAATATAAAAAATTAAGAATTCGAAGAATTGAAAATTGAGATGGAGAAACTGAAAATCAAGAAAAATTGAAAAATTGGGAATTGAAAATTAGAAAAATCGACAAATGAGAAACAGAAAAACTGAAAAGTCGAAAAATTAAAAAAATTCAAAATCGGCAACCGAAAAATCAACCAATCGAAAAAATGAAAAATTGAGATTTCGAAAAATCAAAAATGAAAGATCCTGCAATCGAAAAAACAAAAGATTGAGAAATCGGAAAAAGAAAAATTAAAAATTAGGAAAAGCAAAAAACCGAAAAATGGAATAAAATTAAATCATGGAAAAATAGAAAAACGGAAAAATCAAAAAAATTAAAATTCGAGAAACCCAAAAATCGAGAATCAAAAAATACAGAAACTGAGAAACGGGAATATCGAGGAATCGAGAAATTTAAAAATTGAAAAGTCAGACGAGGAAACGAAAAGTTCCAAAATTGTGAACTGAAAAATCTAAAAATTGAGAAATCGAGAAATCAAAAACTTGGAATATGAAACATCGAAAATTCGAAAAATCGTCAAGCGAAAATCCAAAATTGATAACCGAAAAATCGAGCAATCCAAAAAAGACAACTTGAAAATTTGGGAAACCGAAAAATTGAGAATCTAATAACTGAAAATCTAAAAATCGAGAAATCGAAATTCTAAAAATTAAAAAATCGAAAAATTGACAAGCGAAAATTCAATCGAAAAAATGAAAAATTGAGAATTCGAAAAATCAAAAATGAAACATTAAAAAAATGCCAAATTGAGAAATTCCACAACAGAAAAAAATTGAAAAAAAAAATTGAGAAATCGAAAAATGGAAACATTGAAATATGAAAAAATAGAAAAATCCAAAAATCAAAAAAATTAAAATTGGAGAAATCGAAAAATCTAAAAATTGAAAAATCAAACAATCGAGGAAACGA